TTCAAATGTATTAAATGGTTTTGAAAAACGGAGAACAAGCCGTAGAAAAGCTTTAAGTGCCCCGTTTTCATTTAAGTTTAAACGTGCAAGTTATAAATGTGCTGTTTATCATGAACAGCGCCCCCTACTGTCCCGATTTATTTTTGGATTTTACAGTATTATGCTCATCCCTTTTTTTTTTACCCCCATCAACCCCCTCCCACTTCCTCCTAGTGGCCGACACGGACTTACGCCACTGGAACCACTCCAGTGAAAACTTGAATGAAAACTCGATCGCTTCCATTGAATGAATTTCATGCGGAATCGTCTGGTTCAGTCGGATCGAGCGAGTTTTGAACTGCAGTAAATGTTAAACTATTTTAATCAAGGGACTTACTTTTGGCCACAAAAATAGTTTGATAAACGGGACGGAGAATTAGCTTAATGCCGATGATGAATTATTTTTGAGAGCGAGACCGTCGTGTTTCTGCTCCCAGTGCTCCGAGGATCTCTTCGGTGCAGGGCCATGCCACAATCTTTGCATGTTGTTAATCACTTATATAAGAAATTTTCAACTTTTGAATTGCCTACACTTAGATATTTTAAACTTTAGAATTGCCTACTACAATGGCGACGCCGACTTTCCAGTTAAGACCGGGTCACGTGGGTCAATGAGAGGGCCCTATTGGTTAGATGAAAGTGGGAAGAACCACACAAATGAAGCCCATCCCAATGGTTCATTGGAGAGGGAGGGGCAGAGACTATTAAGAAAGGGAAGTGATCGCTGGGCTTGAGGCGTCCAAGTCACCACATGTAGAGAGAACTATAAGGCCATAAGCAATGAACTAAGATTTGCAATACATTTGTAATATTATTGTATAGCTTTGTATCAGGGATGGGTTTTTGTTGATAGTAATAAGTACTTATATTAATATAGGGTCCGATCGTATGACGTTAAAGTATCACGTGACCATCCGATTTCCCGGTGATTGGCCATCATTGCAGTTAGCGTTTGGTTAGCACTTACATGTAGCAACGACATCGTGCATTGTAAACTAGACAGTAGGGCTAATATTCACGCAAAAATGACTGCGAATTCTTTATAAAATGACACATTGATCATGTGCCGTGTACGGTTGTCATAATTAGGCCAGGATTAGGTGTTTCGAAGACCAGTGTTCACCAAGGGCGTCAAAGCGCTTGTCAAAAGTGGGGGATGGTGTTTCTTGATCAGAACTAATGTTAGTGCGAAGCCTAAAGGGCGTGGGCTTCGGGGCCCACTTATAAAGGGCCCCGACAATTTTTTTTTGATTATAGACGCTCTGGGGTGCGATCTAAGGCAATTTCTGAAAACAAAAGGTTTGCAAAAGATCATTATTTAACCATCATTTTCGAATTTGGAGTCATCGAATCAGCTATTCTGAGCTATAAAATCAAATGTATAGGCTTTAATTGTTTTTATTCGGGGACGAAAAGAGTTAGGGGGAGGGGGACGACATGTCCCGCCGCCCCCCACCGATGGTTGGCACCGTGCTTCAGAACGACGGACTTTAAACGTAAATTGTATACGTAGGGTCTACATGTACAGCGTCAGTTGGTGAAATCGAAAATTCTGAGAGAGACCCTAAAAGTTTTTTAAAACTTTTCTCTGCGTGTGGGTGTGGGTGCGTGGGTAGGCTTATAATGTGTTTTATGGCACACTGCGGTTTTTTCGTAGGCCCCCGATTTTTTCGTAGGCCCCCGATTTTTTCGTAGGCCCCCGATTTTTTCGTAGGCCCCCGATTTTTTCGTAGGCCCCCGATTTTTTCGTAGGCCCCCGATTTTTTCGTAGGCCCCCGATTTTTTCGTAGGCCCCCGATTTTTTCGTAGGCCCCCGATTTTTTCGTAGGCCCCCGATTTTTTCGTAGGCCCTATACACAGTGCCTACTGTGCCTATTGGATAATCGGGGCTGTAGTGGTCATATTAAATTGCTGACCTAGCACTGGGTGTTGGCACGCGTTTTCTTACAGTTTTTGCCATCCATCTCAACTAATACAGCTACTACGCGCGGCACAGGCGCTAGTCTACTATCTTTGCCTACTACAATGGCGACGCTGACTTTCCCAGTTTCCGAATATAGGCGTGGGTCAATGAGAGAGCCCTATTGGTTAGATAAAAGTTGGAAGAACCACTCAGATGACGCCCATCCCAAGTGGTTCATTGGAAGGGGGAGGGGCAGAAACATTTTATTTAAACTGAAATTGAAAGACCGTTGTTGCCCTTCTTCGGACAACTTCATAAGTTTATTGCAATACAAAACCTTGTTTCCTCCACCAACGTAAAAAAACATATAATATATTCCATATGATTATGCAATCTATCGATTACAAGAAATAGTTTGAAATCACAAACCGCTCTTAGAACTTACTGAAGTAGGATCAAGAGGTTTTGAAATCGGTTGTACTTTTGGAGGGATTGTTTTCGCCGAATCAAGTTTCCCTTTCGAAGTGTATCTCCCTTTGATTTCTTTTTCTGGCTATACAAAACTTTTTCTGAATGAGACAACAAACCAAAACAAAACCAGACCATTTTCAGTTACGGAAGAATAAATACATGTATGTACAAAATGTCGTATTAGTTTTATGCTCGAACAATAATACAGACGGTTTTGGTGCATTAGAGCCGCAAAATAGCAACCCCAAAACACCTGTTTTCAGAGGGTTGCAAACTCACAAAATAGGGGGAAAAAGTAGGTTTTTTGTTCCGTTAAAATTGAGCACACAGAACTAACAATTCGCTAAGAAACAACAACAACAACAACAACAACAACAACAACAACAACAACATCATGTGAAGAATCTGCATAGTTCATTAGCCATTCCGCCCTGAACAAAAAAATTCAAACGAAGCTACGCGCTGGTTCCCAATCCCTCCATTTGAATGTGGTGCGGGAGCCAGTGTATAACTATACTCCCATGGTGTGATAGAATAAATACATTTAACATACAACCATTTTCATGTAAATATGAAATTTTGCAAAACAATATATTGTTATTAACATAATGTAATTATTGTCTTTCAGAGAATAAATACATTCAGTCGAATAGGAATACATTGCAATTATGTAAAGTTTGTTTATGCAAGTAATTCCATCGTTGTTGAGGTGGGTGTATAATATGGCTTCACTTTGAACAGCCTAATAATCAGCCCTATGGTTGCGAAAGCGAAGTTTCTGCCGTTGATGAGCTAAGCTAATCCGATTACGTACTTAGACGCTATAACAGAGCAGTGAAATTCATACACCCCCAAAAAATGGCATTTTGAACGTTGTGTTCCTCAGAAAACTTAGCTTATTTTGATTGAAATGTTAAATTAAAACGGAAGAAGAAAGTCTTAACTTCATGTCAGTGAAAAAATCGACGTCATCGATGTCAAAACCTCAATACTGGTTACTGGTAAAGCTGACTTAAAGTCGGGAAGAAATCGTTCGAAAACGTCCCCAAATATATGTATTTACATCAATTTCTAGGAATTTTTCCAAGTTGTTATTTCACGAGTAGTTGGACACTTATATCATCTAAGTATATTCCGAAATTCAGCTTAATCTGTTGTTGCAAACGCTGGGGTTACACCTTGAACTGTCTCCAAGGAAAATGTCGACGAGGATTTCTTTCCGACCCAACCCACCTGTATGGTGCAGCAAAGCACCGTATTCGCTACGGTTGACCGATTTCGGCCCGGCAACACAATGGCGAATGCACATTCATTAGCGTCACTCGGCGTGACTTGGCGTGGGTCTCGGTATCGACCAATGGAAGCGGAAAGGTTGATATTTATCAATTATTCATAAATACCTAAGACAGTTAACGCATTCCTATTGGTCGAAAGCCCGTCACGTGCCGGTCTTAAACGGATGATAAAGACATGGCAAGCTGGCAATTTGGACTCCCATGAAATCCAGTGCCTTTTAACGTTTCATTGGTTGAAAGTTCACATTCCTCACTAACGCATGCGCAATGTTCTACCAGTGAATCAGTATTTCATGGTCCGAAATTCACACTACATCAGCCCAGCTGCGTTTTGCACGACATCGCGCAGTACGCGCGACGCGCACGCCAATGTCGATAAAAGGTAACGAGTTGTGGAGGGGCATTCCATATTATAGTCATAGTCAAACTTGTTGAACAAAATGGTTGGTGACGTCTAGTTTTTGACATGTTTTGAATTTGGAGGGAAAAGATTTTTTTTCGACCAAAAAGTATTTATGAATGGGAATAAATATGTGTTCGGTCGGTATTAAACACTCTGTTTAAGACCGGTGGGAGTCTGGATGGGTGATAATTAACCGAGGCGAAGCCGAGGGTATTTATCACCCATCCAGATTCCCACCGGTCTTAAACAGAGTGTTTTAATACCTCCCTTACACACATTTTATTCCCTTAATAACTCGTGAAGGAGGCTTTTCTCCAAATGTGTGCTGTACACCATAATGGATATTAGGAACCTTATTAATATTCGTGAGGCTTGAAAAGATTGACAAATCTTGCAAACGCCATGTTCGGTACTACAACTTTCAAAAATGCACGTAGGCAGGCCTAGTTTTCCAATTTCAACGAAAGGTAATGAACATATCACAACGATTTTAGCACATAATTGGATCATTTTAAGGGAAATAAACCCTAAAATTTGCAAGAAGATACGGGCTTCCAAACGGGAGAAATTAATTTTCAAAGATTTCGCCCGCCTGTGTGAACATGTCCTTTGTGCATTTATAGTTTTATTCAAAATAAAGTGTTACGTAACCTTTAGAAATCGCACTTTGCAACCACACGGCTGTAATGGCATTAAGGATTGTTTACATGAAGATCAGTGGCCTCTTGTGAGTAGACCAGTGGCGTAGCCAGGAATTTTTCAGTGGGGGGGGGGGGGGGGCGCTGGGGGGCTGGAACATTTCATGGGGGGGGGCGTCATGTAGATAAATGATAATTTTTTTAGAAACTCAAAATCTCAGTGGGGGGCGACAAGGTTTCATTGGGGGGGCTGTCGCCCCGCCCCCCGTGGCTACGCCACTGGAGTAGACCACATAGCACCATCCGCTGTTTGTCTACTAGGCCTATATATAATATACGAGGTCTTTATCGGTTGGAGTGATACAATCATTTGAGTGATACAACCAGTTGAAGTCAAACCGTTGACCATTCAATACAATTCGGTGACCCGAGGTAAATATGGTTCACTTCTTGTCGGAATCTCTGGTGATCCACCCTAGTTTGTACATCACACCTTCCATCACCATGACAACGAGTGACACGGACCAGATACCTCCCATCAGAATAAACGCGCCGTCGTAACTTCCGCTTACATCATACATCCAACCTGAAAATAGACCAGCCAAAATCAATTCAAGATTTGTTCTTTGGATTAAGTACGCTTCAGGCTTAATAAAAACATTTCACTGCCATGCGTTTCCTCTAGTTTCTCAAGGCAAATGAAAGAGCATTTAACTGTAATACAGGGTGAGTAACAAAACAACCCCAAATGTCGGGATCATTGTTTTAGTGAAGTTCTGCATGTAGCACTTTCAAAATCTAGTAAATGAAAGCCCTTTTCATAAGCTTTCTTTTAGTACAAGAATCATTCAAATCATCATGTACTTTTAAAGTTATGGAATTTAAACACAACCACCGTTTTAAAGTTCTGTCCACGGATCACCAAAAGGTAAGTGTTCTTTCAGCAAAAACGAAAACAAATCACATTAAAGGATGTGTGAATTACTTTCGTTTTGCTGAAAGAACGCACACCTTTTGGGAGGGCTAGTCGGTTGAATCATACCGAACAAGAAAATCATTAATTGAATGCTCGGCAGTATATTAATCATCTTCGACAGATTGTAAGACAAATATTATAGGGTTTAAGGTTGCTTTTATAATATCAAGTCCAGTCAGCAAAATGTGGAGACGAGAACTCATCGCACGTACATGGATATTGAATGTCCGTGCACGGACTATTTTAACAAGCATATTGGTATTGACAAGGTAACTCTCTGGCCGGGAGTCAATTAAGGCTTCTCCAAAAATGGATGTTTGCTGATGTTAACAAGGGAAGTTGTTAAAGTTTACCCGGTAAGAATCCAAGGCTGGTTGTGGCAAATCCACTCAAGACTCCCATCCAACTGAAAGCACTGACAAGATAATCCGCACCGAGCAGGTCTTTGGTATACACATCTAGCAGCGCACCAATCACGCCAGCTGCACCCATGAAAACCACAGCATTGACCATTAGCCACCAGTAGGTGTTCATCCATGGATCAGTGAAGAGGCAAGCGGCAGCCACGGTTATTGTCACGACCATCATTGTCCGGAGCCCCATCCAACCCCTGTCCACCACAGGTCCGTGAGCTACCTTCGCAACCAGATTAGCCACTCCGGCCGCTGCGGTGAAAGTCACGGCGTCTTGCCCGGATAATCCTTTAGCGTAAACGTGGTCCACAAAGTAGATAACCCACAGGTCGTTGACTAGGCGGTTGCTAATGAAGAGGACCGCCGTCAGGTAAAAAGAGGCTTTCTCAAAGACCTCCAGGCCGAAATTCAGAGCGCAACGTGCACCACTGAACTGGAGTTCGAGGCAGCAGCAGCAGCATTTGGAACTCTGGGGCAGAGACTCGGAATCGCCAGGGAGCGGTGCGTACTCGTCGCCACTCGCACCACCGTGTCTTTGCGACGTCGGTCTGTCGGTAAAGAGGGTCCCACACGGGACAAGGTGCATGCAGATCCCGCCCAGGAGCAGCATGGCTCCCCTCCAACCATAGGTGTCCAGGAGGAGTTGAGTCAGAGGTGCGAAGACAATGAGAGCTACCGAATGGCCCGCGTGCCCGATGCCGTTAGCTGCGGTGTAGTGTGTCGTGAAGTACCGCCCCACCATCGCCCTGGTCAGGATATTGGCAAAACTTATACCACAGCCTGCGGAGAGGAAACATTTAAACAAATTCAACCCAAATTATTTCAGTTTGTAAATAACGTAAGGAGATTCAGAAAAAAATAGCATTTCCAACAAAACGTACAGTTGTATTGGTTACACCCCTATGTTTCGACAACCCTATGTTCCGACACCCCTATGTTCCGACTGCACATGTTCTTATCCTTATCCCGATCCCTATCCCTATCCATATCTCTAATCCTACCCCTAACCCTCACCGGGAGAAACACAATCTTATGTGCAGGTTGTCGGAACATTTATGTCGGAACACAGGGGTGTCGGAACATAGGTTGAGTAGTCCGAACATAGGGGTGTCGGAACATAGGGTGTAGGAACATAGGGGTGTAAGAACATAGGTTGAGTAGTCCGAACATAGGTTAAGTAGTCCGAACATAGGGGTGTCGGAACATAGGGGTGTCGGAACACAGGGGTGTAGGAACATAGGTTGAGTTGTCGGAACATAGGGGTGTCGGAACATAGGGGTGTCGGAACATAGGGGTGTCGGAACATAGGTTGAGTTGTCGGAACATAGGGGTGTCGGAACATAGGGTGAAGGAACATAGGGGTGTAGGAACATAGGTTGAGTTGTCCGAACATAGGGGTGTCGGAACATAGGGGTGTCGGAACACAAAAAACCCAAAATACTTCACGATTCAATGTTGGTGAAAGTGAGCCACATTCAGGGAGATGGTTCAGTTTGGACTCGGTCTCTAAAACCAGTGTGTTTCGTTTGCACAAGCTCTTCCAAATTATAATCAATTAATCAATGATTATTGAGCAGCTATAAAATCAGTATCTGAATAAACCTGCAAAGGCCTGTTCAAAGTCTGTAGAATAGGTATTTTGTATAATTTAGACGGGACTTCGGAAAGTCAAAGGCTCATCTCCAATGGAAGAATCAATGGTTTAAACATTAATGTTTTTTAAGGAGGCAATGGATGATTCAACATGGGTGACTTGTGTGCCATTCTGAATTCGTGAGGTGCAGCTTAGCATCCACATTACTATCGACCAGTTTCGTTACCTGAGAGCAGAGTCAAAGACACAGCAAATTGTATGACAGATGTTGCCAAGGAGGCCACCACTAGAGATCCACCAATCAGCACACCGCTCATCATAATGACCATCCGGGGTCCAAATTTCATCTCCAGCGGCCCGGCAAAAGGTCCTATTTATATCAAGAATATAACAAAATGTTGGTAAGCATCGTCAATATTCTAAAGTAGAAAGATTGCGGGTAACACCATGTGGAAAGTAATCTCTTCTTGGGGTACTGTGGTCCGATGGTTATGGTGTTCGACTAGTGTGCCGTGGTACATGGGTTCGAATCCTGAGCGTGGGAACATGGTGCTTGTGCTCTCTTTACCATTATTGCTTCGTCCTTCGGATGGGACGTAAAGCCGTAGGTCCCGTGTGTTGTGTAGTGCACGTTAAAGAACCCAGCAACACTTATCGCTCAGAGAAGGGCTTTGCCCCGGTATTTCTGGCAGTGGCTGCAATATGCGCCGCAGCACCTTGTAAACCCTTATAAGGTGCTACTTAGTGGGCGTCATATTTCTCATAAAACTTAATTTACCTGTCTTTAATAATCTACATAACTTCCAGCGCCTTGAGTACCCAAGAGTTGGTACTATGGTAGATACGTGCGCTACATAAGACTCCGGTATTATTATTATCATTATTATTATCAAGAAGTGTGGTTCTGAGAAGAACCGCTTGGTTGGGTGTAGAACTCCAACTCACAATCCTGTGGCACATAACGTTTACCGAGAATAGACTTGTTTACTGAATAAAAGCCCAACAAACTCCCACCTATAACACCATTTCTAAATACGTTCCTTTCCCCGAACTTATAATGTTTACTAAATTCTCGACCCCGGGAAACGGTTTAGAAAACTTTCGACACCAAAAGTCGTTCTTTAATATGTTGCTATTAGGGATGTGTGTGAATTGTTTTTCGTTTTGCTGAAAGAACGCACACCTTTTTTTGTGATCCGTGGACAGAACTTTAATTAAAACGGTGGTACCGTTGTGTTTAAAATTCCGTAACTTAAAAAGTACATGAATGATTTCAATGATTCGTGTACTAAAAGAAAGCTTATGAATTGGGCTTTCATATCCTAGATTTGGAAAGTGCTACATGCTACTATAGGGCGAGAGAGCAGTGGCGATTGCACCACGCGCCATGGATGTTATGCAACATATTAAATTAAAAATCGCTGGGATGCATGACATCATCGCCTTCACATGTCAGCCAAAATAAAAACAAACTACCAACAATGAAACCAACAAACAAACACATTTTGATTATTGTTTGTATAACGTGTAAGATCTCATAACTTAAATATGCATTCTGTTGAAATGCAAAAACAACAAATATCTCAAGGAGACACGTTGTAGTGAATTATTTGACATTATAGGAAGACACTGGGCATCAGGGAAACTTTTCGAGTGTCTCCCTAAAACTTAAACCATTTCCAGAACGACTTTCTGCATGTAGCACTTTCAAAACGAAAAAAAAATCACATTATGTGATTTTTTTTTTTCGTTTGAAAGTGCTACATGCAGAACTTCACTAAAACAATGGTCCCGATATTTGGGTTTCGGAAATTGTTTTACTCATCCTGTATACCGACGAACTTGTGCGCTAATCCCGTGTTTCGCTCGTAGCCCCCCCCCCCCTGCAAACAGGGCGCTGGGAGGGGTTGATGAGCTTCAAAGAATCTTGTGAAGGAAGTATGAATGACATTCTGTGTAACGTATCATGACTTTCGCACGCATCGCATATGCAACTAGCGCGCTACGCAACCTCGTCCCCAGTAGTGTCGAGCAGTACGCGCCTTCCACTACCTGCTCTCTTTAGTGGAGCTGCTTAGGTCCATTTTTGGCCCAAATCGTGCACTTTGTGGTAAAAGCATGAAATTTAGCAAATGGGGTCAAAATGGGCTAGAATTCATTTTAAGATCGGGAACCATCCTGGATCTTGCCCATTTTGGGGGCGGAGCTTGATTTTTTTTAAAAGGGGGCGCAAACAATACAAACTCATAAAAACTGTATTTAACATCCATTTTCCTTGTTTTTCTATGGTTTGAAATAAACTTAAACATAAAATATAACATTCTAGCATTCTAACACCAGTTAATTTCCACCCATTTTGTGGGCGTGGCCTAAATGTACAAAAGAGGCAGTATATATCAGCAGTTTGGTTCTAATATGGAAAACATTTTTCGGTTTGGTAGTAAAATCCTGAAAATTGGCAGGTCCAGTTAAAATGGGCTGAAAATAATTTTAAGAGGTGAACACATCTTGGATCTTGCACAATTTTGGGGGGCGGAGCTTGATTTTTCAAAAAGGGGAGTGCAAAAAATAAAAAAACTCAGAAAAACTGTATTTAACATCCATTTTCCTTTGTTCTTCATGCTTGAAATAAACTTAGACGTGAGAAATAACTTTATGAGAAATAACACGTTAAAATTGTGCAGCAGCAGGATTCCAGTCGAACCAGTGAGTTTGGTGGTTTGAGACATCATCTTACATTGAAAGACATCATCTTACATTGCCAACGCGCATGGCTATGGCGACGCGCGCGCATACCAGAAACCAGAGCCTTTTTTGGCCTAATAATCGTTTACTTCGTTTCGTATGAATAAAAAGGAGTAAATGCTTCAGATTTCAAATATGCACTTGTCATTTACAAGGCTGGGTTGGGGCAACCTTGAAATCATAAAGCAAAATAATTCTGCTCATAAACTACTGTATTCATAAAGTTCATAAAGTACAAATGATACCATATGTTTGTATGAATAAAGCATGGCATTTGCTTTTTCTACCACTTTCAAAGCATTTACTCGCATCTGTATGAATGAAAATTAAGCAAACACTTTTACTAAAAACCATTTGCTCTTGAGTAAATGGCCTGCAAAATGTAAAGCTTTACACGTTTATAGGTTTGCAGAAAATAAAACTATCGTAACCGAAACGGAAAGCGGCACAGGGGAGGGTCACGTGCTGGAGGACCGATACAAAAAAAGCGCATCAAACGTGACGAACGCAATGCCGTTTACGGGCACAATGCGCTGTGCATCGGCACCCATGGTCTACACGTGGATTGGGTTTTCAGTCCCTATCTGATTCCGTGGGTTTTCCCCAGACTATTCTTCTGGGGTTTTCCTCCCACCTCTAAAACTGTAATTTCTTCTCATTGTCTTCTCTCTACGGTTTTTTCCGGGGTTTGCGAGCTACAGTGCCTGGGGCATGCACTTTTGAGGATTACTTCGTTTCGTATGAATATAAAGGAGTAAATGCTTCAGATTTTAAATATGCACTTGTCATTTACAAGGCTGGGTTGGGGCAACCTTGAAATTATAAAGTAAAATAATTCTGCAAAAAAAATACTGCATTTAATAAAAGTTCATAAAGTACAAATGATACCATGTTTGTATGAATAAAACATGGCATTTGCTTTTGCTACCACTTTGAAGCATTTACTCGCATCTGTATGAATGACAATTACGCAAACACTTTTACTAAAAACCGTTTGCTAAATTCTGAAAATAATTACTTTTTACCTTTAAGCTTTTGCTACACTATAAGCGTTTACTTCGTTTCTTATGAATAAAAAGGAATAAATGCTTCAGATTTCAAATATTTACTTGTCATATTTCAAGGTTGGGTTGGGGCTACCTTAAAAATATAAAAGTACATAATTCTGCGCAAAAATTACTGCATTTATTAATGTTAATCGCGAAAAAGTACAAATAATACCATACGGTAGTTCGTATGAATAAAAACTGGCATTTGCATTACTCCCATCTGTATGAATAAAAATTAAGCAAAGGCTTTTACTGAAAACCATTTGCTCTTGAGTAAATGGCCTGCAAAATGTAAAGCTTTACACGTTTATAGGTTTGCAGAAAATAAAACTATCGTAACCGAAACGGAAAGCGGCACAGGCGAGGGTCACGTGCTGGATGACCGATACAAAAAAAGCGCATCAAACGTGACGAACGCAATGCCGTTTACGTGCACAATGCGCTGTGCATCGGCACCCATGGTCTACACGTGGATTGGGTTTTCAGTCCCTACCTGATTCCGTGGGTTTTCCCCAGACTATTCTTCTGGGGTTTTCCTCCCACCTCTAAAACTGTAAATTTTTGCTGGTAAAAACACAACTTTTCCATTTCTTTTAACTATGTTTACCATACACTGTAAAGATAAGTTTAAACGGTTGCAAGACTAATTGTTGCCCTTTAGGGGTGGAGCTACATTTTAAGGTAGGCGGCTGTAAAAAAAATCATATCTAAATTGGTATGATTGTCTACAAGTAACTTACACAGGGTGAATCAAAAAAAAGGAAATCCAAATGGCAGGACACATTTTTTTAATGAAGTTCTGCATGAAGCACTATCAAAATCAAGATATGAAAGCCCAATTTATAAGCTTTGTTTTAGTACAAGAATCATTCAAATCACTTATGTACTTTTCAAGTTACAGAATTTTAAACACAAACACCGTCTTCAAAGTTCTGTCAGCAAAACGAAAACACTTCACATATAGGGGGATGCGCTGGAATTGTTTTCGTTTTGCTGAAAGAACACACACCATTTTTTGTGATACGTGGACAGAACTTTAAAACAGTGGTTGTGTTTAAAATTCCGTAACTTGAAAAGTACATAATGAGTGATTTGAATGATTCTTGTACTAAAAGAAAGCTTATGAATCGGCTTTCATATCCTAGATTTTGAAAGTACTACATGCAAAACTTTATTACAAAATAACATTTTGCACATAATATAAAAAATGAAGACCCTCGATAATTCTATCATATCCCACGAAAATCATATTGATTTTATATTGATTTTTTTTATATTGATTTTTAAAGATCAAATCTATTAATCTCTAACGAGACGTCACGTAACCCATTATGAGGTCATCATGAGTCACTTCAATTTTCATCTATAACACATCCCGGTCTAGGTACATACCAACTTTCAACCCAATCGGACCAGTGGTTCTGTAGATATTGGCCTTCAAAATATGCAATTTTAATATGGCGTCACATGTCACGTGACGTCATATTAAAAATAAAAAGATGAAACACCATGTCTGTTTGCAAACAGAACACAGGGCTTTTGGCATTTTACAAATGTTTATGTTTCGTTGGTCCTTTTGCAGTCACTTGTCATAGTGCTTCATGCAGTTAAAGGTTGTTCAAATGCTTAGAATAATTCCTAAAATATAATGTTATCACTTGACGTCACATACGTCACATGCCCTGCAATGACGTCATCTGTAAAACCCTTCTCAATACACATTTTGTCATTGTGGTCTTGGTTTGAACCAAGTTTAATGGTTATCCGATGAAAGAAAGTGTGCAATTTTGGAAGCAGAATAAAATCATAAATATTTAAAAATCATTAAAAAAATCAAATGATGACGTCATCGTGACGTCACTTCGGACTTTGCATACAAGTACCATTATCTACCTACCCAAGTTTTTCAAAAATGTTGTGCAAATACCTATTACCTAACAAACCAAATACAAAAAAGAATTTTTAACTTTGCATGTTGCGTTCGTGAGATATGGCTAAACGGTCCAAAAATTCAAATATTCATAAAAAATCTCAGGATGGTGTCATCAGACGTCACTTCATTTTTTTTTTATCTATAACACATCCCGGTCTGGCCACATACCAAGTTTCAACCCAATCGGACTTACAGTTCTGTAGATTAAGAACTTCAGAAATATGACAAGTAAATATTTGAAATCTGAAGCATTTACTTCTTTTATATTCATACTAGTAAACGCTTATAGTGTAGCAAAACCTAAAAGGTAAAAACTAATTATTTTCAGATTTTAGCAAATGGTTTTGAGTAAAAGTGTTTGCTTAATTTTCATTCATACAGATGCGAGTAAACTGCTTCAAAATTGGAAGTAAAAGCAAATGCCATGTTTTATTCATACGAACATGGTATCATTTGTACCCTATGAACTTAGTTAATATTAATTTTACGCGATTAACATATAATTATTTGCTTTATAATTTCAAGGTTGCCCCAACCCAGCCTTGTGAATGACAAGTGCATATTTGAAATCTGAAGCATTTACTCCTTTTTATTCATACGAAACGAAGTATAAACGTTAAATAATTTTTTTCTGGTAATGAAACCAAGGATTTCTCAAAAGTGCATGCCCCAGGCACTGTAGCTCGCAACCCCCCCCCCCCAAAAAAAACCTATAGAGAAGACAATGAGAAGAAAGATGATTTTCCCTCGTTTGAATCAAGCTGCTCTAATGTACCGCCTCTTTACATATTTAGGCCACGCCCGCAAAGGGTGAAAATAACACGTGTTAGAATGTTAGAATTTACATCCACTTTGTTTCAAAGCATGAGAAACAAAGTGGATGTAAAATACAGTTTTCTGAGTTTTCTATTTTTGCACTCCCCTTTTGAAAAATCAAGCTCCGCCACCCAAATGGGCCAAGATCCAAGATGCGTTCACCTCTAAAAATTATGTGTAGCCCATTTCAATTGGACATGCCAATTTTTAGAATTTTACCACCAAACTGAATGATGTTTTCCATATTAGAACCAAACTGCTAAGATATACCGCCTCTTTTACCATTTAGACCACGCCCACAAAATGGGTGGAAAATAACAGGTGTTAGAATTCTAGAATGTCTTATTTCTACTTGAGTTTATTTCAAAGCGTAAAAAAAACAAGGAAATTTGATGTTAAATTCAGTTTTCATGAGTTTGTATTGTTTGCACCCCCTTTTTTTGAAAAATCAAGCTCCGCCCCCAAAATGGGCAAGATCCAGGATGGGTCCCGATCTCAAAATGATTTTTAGCCCATTTTGACCCCACATGCCAAATTTCATGCTTTTACCACAAAGTGCACGATTTTTCGCTTAGCAGCTCCACTACTTACCCTGGTATTGGATCATTTGCATGGTGAAAATTGTTTTAAAACGGATGCAAAATGAGGAATTCTCTGGTGTCATCCCGTGCTTTACATCAGCGCGTTTTTTGTATTATTGGTTTGTGGTGTATGGGGTAAGGGCACGATCAATTCGTCGCGGCGTGAGCATGGCGTGAGTTACGAAAACACGATGTTTTTCAAAGTAAACATGTTATCTTATCCAGTCAATATGCAGTTTCAAATTTCATATTAAAATGAACGAATTGGAAAGGAAAGGATTCTTGTTGAGAAGGTGTGGACGTTATAATTACAATGAACGTGAAAACACGTTGGAAATAACAACACCAACTACACGATATAAATCCAGTTCTTGCTCATTGCGGTATGGAATCAGGATACAGGAAGAACGTTTCCTCTACAAGGCATACTATTGGAAACGAGGTTGGAAATCAAGTAAGCCCTGGGGACGAGGTTGCGCGCTAAGTATGCTTCACAGCTCTAGCGAGTTTGTGTGCAGCATCTATGTCACAGGTCACGCAAAATGTATCCAGTCAGAGCTCAAACAAGATCAGCCGTTCCCAGCGTCGTCCTGTTTGTAAGCACAAGATGTGCGCATGCGCGCACACGTAAAAAGTCATTGCTACCTAGTCTGGTTCCCAGACCAACAGATTATTAGTATTTCTGAAGATCAGAAAAATTAAGTCAGAATATTTTGTTCTCGGAACCAGACTACTTGCTACCACGCGAAAATACGCTTACGCGGAACTTTCTGGAATAGGCCTAGTTAGTGCAAATTCTTTTCATACTGAAAAGCCGTGAAATTGGGCCATGATCGTCGCCCGAGAGCCCAGCCCGTGCGATTCACAGGACGAGCGACCTAGTGCAACACTCATTGTATCCCCCTCCCCATCCCCCCAAAAAGGAACGAAGATTAATTTACCTTAATTTATACTGCATGCTGTTATTCATTTAATATTACAACTGAAAATGGTATGCAGAACATGTATGTTTCCTTTCGCAATTATTACAGATTAATTGATGTCGTATGCGAACGTTTATGTCGCACACGAATACAAGATAATTTTGATATTATTTGCTGGTAACGATGATTTAAATTAGCAAAAATTACGCATGTCACCTCATGCATATTATTCATTTTAATAACACTTTAACAGCTGTTCAGGGAAGTGGTACGCACAACACGTATGTTTCGCAAACAATGTTACGTCATTTTGAACCTTTTTGTCGCACATCATTAATCACCACGAATACAAGATAACTTGAACAAAACCGAGGGTGCTTCTTTTCAAGTAAATCGTTATATTGCCATATCTGTGCCTCAGTGGAGAATTAGAGGTTGCTCAAATAAACTACACAAAAATTGACTTCAGGAAACACAAGTATTGCAAACCAGAAGACAAAAAATCTATGTTTCACGAAATATGATGCTTAATTTAATTCTGGCAAACAGAATGAATTATTCTACATGGTGGAAATTGTGCATAGAAATTAAAGCTGGCGTTAAAATAAACGTACCTTGCTAAAATCTCCACTTTATAGCTGTCACACTGACATTGTTGACTGAATATTACCAGATTCCACAAAATTAGTACAGATTTTCCGCGTGAATAATAAAAAGGAGCATACTTTAATATCGCCTCATTCATAAATGATTTGATATCTGGAAGAGTATGGTCATTTCGTTTGCGCAAATATTTCGCTTCCTTTTGATTTACAAATGCAACATTTTGTTCAGAGGGTCGAAACTAAGTATAGCAACTGGAAAAAAATGTTGCATCCTGACGCCACTTTTTGTCATATTCATCGCAGGTCAGTCACTGCAAAAAATGTTGAAAAGACATGAATTTTGGACTGAGAAACATTTCCAATTTTGTTAGAAAATACTTTGAAAGTGCACTCGACTATCTCTCCATAGACTTTGTACACAAACTCAGAAGTGGCGCCTGGATAGTACATTCTCTCATCCTTATTAATTAAGTGCTTATCTATACTTGAAGTAACCTCTCGACCTACCCACAAAGTCGCTGATTCCGTTGATGATGGCGATAGTCCAGCCTACCAGCCACGTACTCGATTGAAACTCTTCCTGCAAGACGGGCAGCATCACGCCAAGGCCCTTGATGAGACCAGTCCAGACCAGCCAGGTCATGTGCAGGGAGAGCACAGCACACCATCCCGATCGAACTTGAGCCGACAGACAACCCATAGTCGCTCCAACACTGCAATGAAGGGTAACCAGAAAGCTATAACCTCCACGATGATAAGCTATGGCATATATTTGAGCGAATGATGGCTTCAATAAACGTACGCGTGATATTTCTGTTTGTAGCCTGTACGCAAACAATAATTGCGGCGTTATACCGCGACTCCGTTCTTTCAAAAATCTTGTTTTCTTATCAACATTATGAGTATAGCTGAGAAGGACTGTTCTTTAGCAAGACTAGGCTCCTGTTCCAGCCCCTGCCCGCTCAATGAACCGTTGATTGGATGCTCTTCCCGTGGTTACGAAAGTGCGAGTGAGTAATACTCTAAAAAGTGGACGACTGCTTCGCCCGCACGCAACGCCCTATGATCCACGGGGCCCAGTGACGGCTAAGCATATTCGGATAAATTTCATATAGGTTGCAGACCAGTAAATCGGTCCGAATTGCCTGCGCCGGCCAAATCACGATTTGCAAGCCCTCAAAATCTGCAGTATTTGAGCATGCTGTGGGCCATGAACTTGAGGGTTTGTGGAAATATGGGTGGAAGCCGTGCACAGGACTGTGAGCTTGTAGTTCCGTTCAATCTGGATGAAATTGGGGCCCTTAAAGCGCTCTATTTTGCAATGGAGTGTAGGCATCGTTTTTCAACATGGCGATGGGCTTGAGGACTATTTTCAGGGGTGATCATCTTCGGATGGACATTTCTCCTAAAAGTCATCAGTTAACCACCCCCCCCCCCAAAAAAAAAAGAAAATGAAAGATGATGAAATAAGCTTTAATTTGATGTGTGTCTCGAAGAACACCTTGGAGAGTTGTGAGTATTTTTCCCGAATTTCTGAAGTGGGAGCATGGGGTCTATGGAAGTTTATTTACTGGTCTGCAACCATAAGCATTCGCGCCCTCTGGAGATGTACGCGCAGCTCAATGTCTCCTTCGCTCGTACCCCGCCCTGCAAACAGGACGTTGGGATACTCTGATGAATTCATGCTCTAATTGGTTGGATTTTGCGTGACCAGTGATCTGCGCGTCATCAAGGTTATGACTCTGCAAGGTTTGCAACGGCCGTTAAGACTGATTCATTACTCTTTAATTCCAGTTTAGAGATGTTTTTTCTCGTTGAAAAGCGTCATAATGTAGGAAATTTTGTAAAACTTATCTGTGTTGCAAATTTACAATTCCCGTCACTCGCTCAGGCTCCGTTTCGAATCACGAACGGTCGGATTGCATTATGCGACGCTCAATATTGTGTCCACATGGTCCGCAATGAAACAGAAATCACATCCGGTATGGAATGTGCGCAATTCTATGGGAAGTTTTCGGATGGCATTTGCGCACATTGTCTAACTGCGGTCTTGAACAGCTGCAGCCAGATGCCTTATATATATTAGGTCATAGGCCACTTCCTTCACAAGATTCTGCGACTCATCAGAGTATCACAGCGTCCTGTTTGCAGGGCGGGGGTACGAGCGAAAATGTCTCCATCAAATTGGCATTCAAATTTAGTCGGTGTGGATTTGCCCCATAAAGCAATTTCGCGTTCCAGTTACCATTAACTTGAATGGACGAACAATTCGTGACGAAAGTAGAACGGAAATTTTAAATAGGACCTACGTTAATTTGCCTGGATCATCACAAAAGCTTGATTATAAATGTACTAAATGACTTACTGTACGCCTTGCAAAGCCTGGTCAAAAATGCTGCATAAAGTGTACATCTTATTTTCTTGTATTAGACGCATATGCTTTAGTTAATTAAAGCTGTAGTCCATCATTTGCAGCTATTCAAAAAGTGACTGACGTAATAAGTGTTGAAAAACGTATTTAGCTGAAAGATAGTAAGGGGACTAAACTCCCTGGGAAATTATTCTTTCTGGCATGCTGTTATTTTGAAGAAATCAACGAAAGAAGGCCTTTCCAACTGTGCTTCTTAAGACGCACTGTTGGAAATTTCTGTTAGTAGTTCGTTTTTTTATTCAGCGAAGCGCGCGCAAGCGTTGACACGACGCACACGCACGCGCGCGGTTGCTATAATTCGTCGGATCAGTGCGCGACATCGGGTAGCTGCATTCGGCTCAGTAATAAGAACGTGTCTTGGACATAGATATAGAACTTAAAAAACTAGATCGGACACGCGTATGATACGCGCGTTTTGACAGGACGCTGCCATTGGTCACGTGAATAGGGTCAAAAATTTAAACGCGCATTTCTTCGGCATGACGATCACTTGTACTGTACTCCATCACTGCTTGAAAATGGTTGCAATCTGTGCGGCAGCAAAGTTCAACGAAGACGGAGAAAGGGACCCGGAGGACAGTCTCTCAAGAAGTTAACATCATGTGTGAGTAACTTAATACACAGAATTTATCTCTTGAGAGTGCATTTCGAACAAGACAGCTTTTATAAAAATTAACTCAATATAAGCTACGTTACGCAATGCCAAATGGGCATAAATCACAGGAATGGGCGGTGGAGAAAACCCCCATGTGTGATCCAAAGGATCCTCCGAATTTTGTAATAACCGCGCAGGGCCTACTTAAAATATTTTCAGTGTATTGTTTTAAAAGTTAAGATGGTACCCCTGATCCTGAACATCGAATAACAATTATTTCTGGCCTAACATCACCCTCCCCTCTCCTGCTTTTCAATAATAGTCCGCGGGGAACGAGGATTGGGAGTCACTTTTTGTTGTGGGATGTGGGTGATTAAAGAAAATGCACCATTCTCCTAGTTTGAACACATCAATGAGAAATATTCCAAATGGCAGCAAATGGAATCCAACAAAGCACCATCGTCTTTGCAGCGACCATTTCCCTGCAGAGTGCTTCAAGGTGGAATGGGGGAAAACACGTCTGCGTGTCGATGCCATACCGTCAATCTTTGAAGACTACCCGACTCATTTGAAGCCTGTAAGTATTACAATGAGCCTTGGGGCCAGGATAGGCTATCGATAATTACTGTCATGTATTTAAATATTTCGTAGAAAGACTACAGTCTCGTGTATGGACTTCAGCACGAGAGAGAAAAGCTGCCAACGGCAAGGAAAGAACCGACCCAAGCCCCCGTCGAAGATATTGCTTCAGTGCACGGCTGTACCGGCAAAACAAACATCAGCGATAGAGCATGCATACAGTCTACCACCAGAAATGGATCTACCCTCGAAAGTAGCAGGAAGGCTATATATTCCAAGCTTGAACAGGAAAACAGACAACTCCGGCAGGAAAATCGACGATCATGTCGAAAAAGATCTTATCCGTCAAAGAGGTGGTAAAAGGCCTGTAAGAGGAGCAACTTGTTACTCCAGAGATGGCCGACCAGATGGAAACACAGTTTCCTATTCTGCAATTGGAAGTCACTTTGCTGGAGCTGGGAAAACTGCGCCTTGCTCAACGAATCACAATCATAGTGAACAGATGAAGAAGTTTGCACTGCTCGACAAAAGCGTACGTCTTCGTCAGAAAGAAGATTGCACTGCCGACTGTGCGTAGTGAGGAGATAGCTGGCCACGCATGCATGACTGGGCCTCGTGCGTGGACCATAGCTAAAATTTAACAAGTTTCGCTTAGTATTTCGTTATCGTCTTATTGTTGCTCCTCAGAAATTGAAAGATTGAATAGCCCTCTGTTTGCGTTCATGCATATGAGGAAGATATATTGGATTACTTATTCTGGTTCATAAATTTATGGGAAGCAATACTCACCTGCTGGTAGTTGCATAGGCTAGACCTTTATATAAATATTCGGATGGTGACAACCAAATGTATTTTTTTCATGAGCAATGATATTCTTGACACCTTGATTAATGGCTATGGATATGGAACTGCCATTTCATCAGTGTATTTATTAGCTAACGAGTAATTTTTCATTGTATATAAATTGTTTATTACCTAAAAGTTATTTAAGTATTAGTTTGTTCAGTATTCACAACAGATGGCCAGAGACTTGTTTTTGTAGTCATCCATTCATTTCAAATGTAATGTTCCTATTGATGTTAGCAGTATTAAAGCAAAGCAATATTTCGAGTGCCCGTTTTTATCGTTGCTCATTTACAAAATGATTTTCTGTTATTTCATTTTGATGTTGGTAAAATTAAAAGTTTATGTTTTGTCTGATAGGCAAGTAACGGTTGATTTTTATTGCACATTTTAAACTAGAACGGCGAAGCCGCCATGGCTCGCTGTTCAAGGCAGGAAGGGAGGCTGAAGGTAGGGTTGGGGATGGGCATGATGGAAGGGGATCAGGATTCTTGTTGATGTGCCTAGGTGTAGGGGTCAGTTTTTAAATGTCAACATAAAAAGTCAACAGATTACCTAATAAATACATGTGTATATAGGTTAGCCGTCACTGTATTATTGTGCAGTCGCCACAAATGCAGAACAAGAATGGGTATACATGTACATGTAGACACAGCACCATCACCACCTCCCCCAAACCTTACCCCATCCCAAAACCTTACCCCATCCCCAACCCGCCCCCTCCACCACCCAACCCCCTACCCACACCCATTCCATCCTCCCCTAACCATCCCCACCCTATCACCTACACATCCCAACCCCACCCAAACTCCAATCCCTATCTCCTTCCCCCTCCCCTGACCCGTACACTCCCCTACCCCAACCCCCTACACCCACCTACCCTATCTTCCCCTATCTGTCCTTACCCACCCTACACATCCCCACCCTAACCCTTACTCGAATTCCAATATCCCGCCCACCCCATTCCCCCACCCATACATCCCACCTGACCCCCATGCAACCCCTACTCTGATCCCTATATACTGCCCCCTCCCCTTATCCAACCCCTACAACAACCCATCCCCAACCCAACCCTACTCCGATCCTATATCCCGCCCCCTGCCCAACCCCCTCCTAACCCAACCCCTACATCCATGCCCATCCTCTCCCTACCTGTCTCCCCCTACCTGTCTCTCCCTACCTGTTCCCACCCCACCCCTACAAATCCCCACCCCACCCAAACCCAGTATTCCAACCCCTCTCCCCACCCCACCCCACCCCACCCCACCCCGCCCCACCCATCCTAGCTCCCCTACTCATCCTACTCACACAAACCCTAACTCCAACCCCTATCCCCCAACCCACCCCACCCCACCTTCCCCTACCCCATCCCTACTCCAACCCCATAAACTAAAAGATCAAACCAGAAGCTCATGCACATCCCCAAAATGCATAATGTACATGTACATGTTATACCGGTATACACACATGTACATGTTATACCAGTATACATGAACATGTAACAATTAAAAACTTTAACATTTCCTTGAATTAAAATTCCTCAAAAAAATCATTGAATTTACTGCAATGATATGAACCTAACTGAAGTAATAGAGATGATACATGACAACTGCTTTTAATTTTTTTCCCCAAGTTAACTAGAACCAAAAACTTCAACATTTTTATCTGAACGCGGACGGCCGGACAGACGGCCCGACGGACGGACGGACGGACGGACGCCCGGACAGACGGACGGAAATTGGTATTACATAGGCTCGCATCTGCTTCGCAGCTCGCCAAAAAGAGGGGGAAATCTCATAAAACAGGTTGACATTTAATTACGCTTTTGACATTTACCTTTGTTAAAGATATGAGAACACAATGTGGCTACTTTTCGGTACATATTAGTATCCTAGACTGAAAATCAATTACCTTCAACACAGTCGCCAATTTAGCCCCAAATAAGACACAGAGGCAAACCCATGTGTAACTTTTCAAAGGAATGTGAAATGTCACATTGTCAAAAATCGTAGTTAAAAATGTCAACCTGTTGTTTAAGAACTTCAACGCATAGCTGAATTCAGGTGGGAGTGTTGGCGATATTTTTCCGTCCAGCATTCACCAGCTGCCCTTTGCGCGTGGCCCTATTCACGTGACTTTGCATGCAGCGCGTCCATGAATAACCCAGAAGTTTTGTGCACAGCGAATGGCGCATTCGAACGCGCGTCCGATCTAGTTATTTTAAGTTCTATATCTAAGGTCTTGGACGCTGAATTCAGGCCCAATTCAAAACATGATTCAGCAGCTTTTGATTTGAAATCGAGATCCTAGAATGCTGTTTTTCTCGAAATATACAGCTGAAGCTGAGCTGAAACTTCATCAGGTTAGTTGTTCAGCACCCTTCTTCAGATTTTGAGTAGGTGTGTTGCTTCACACGAACAAATTGCACAAATTACAAATGATGGACTATACCTTTAAGTGTTCATGTGTACACACAGTGACACGTTAGAGTTGAATGAGCTTTGGTATATAGTTGAATATGTTAATCTTAAGCGTCATTACATTCCTATGAGGCGCCCTTTATGACTTTATTACGAAACAAATATATATAGAACGAAACCAAAATATATAGAACGAAACCAAAATATACAGAAAGGAACCAATATATACATTCCGTGCGAATTTGAACAAGGCCGCATTTGCTGCATAAATAAATTCGGTAGGGAAGACCATTATAATTAACGCGCATATACACAGCTGTCGGGAAACGATAGTCTAACCGAAATAAATACCGGGAAGTCGCAACAATATTGGTCAATAGTTAAATACTGCATGGTACAATTAATCCAAAAAAAAAAAAAAATTAGTTGCTGAAGGGTAGCGAAAATGAAGCTGAATATGATACATTTTACATATAATAGAATTAGGAGTATAATTTTGTACAAGCAAAGTGACATCTGGCGATGTTCATTAATTGCGTGATCAGGTTAATTCGGGTACGACCCGGTCACCGTTTTAAACTTGTACAAATTAATCTTCTTTTTCCGGACAATAATTCTCCGCTGTTTTCTGTTTTCTTTATAGTATAAACTTATAATTTTGAACATATATCAACCCTGATCCCGAGTGGTGCATATTACTCTGACGTAATGATGACGTCATCAGGTATCAAAGTACAAGCGATTTTTATTTCAAAATTGACAAACTTAACTTGTAACTCTTGAACAAAAACGATCAATTATGTTCATAGATCATTAATTGATAAATATTTTTGGTTGCGTACGTCAAGTCACTTGACCTTTATTTCCGGGTCTACCGGAAGGTCAATTCAGGAGGATTTAAAATACAGACAACACGGGTCTCAAATTTCAAAACGAACATAATTTCTTTCAAACGATTCGCGGGATGATAAACCTAGTATGAACTTGAAACCTGGTCGAAGAATGACGACAACTTTGACGTCATCATGCCGTCATCGGGTATCAAATTACAAAGAGTTTTAAAAATTACTTTTAATTATAACTTTAGAACGGAATAGAGTAGCGTTCTAATTTTTGTTATGTTCTAGACATTGCCTCCGCGTCTAACCAATTAGGGCAAGCCCGCTCAATGCATTTTGTACTGGAGCTCGGAACAGTTAAAGTCGTTTATCCTCCGTGGTCCATGCGACTGAAATACACATTTGTATTTTTTGGACTCGACTTAAACAGCAACGTCTGCATGCGGCATGCAATGCGATATTGTGATCGTACTCCGGGGGGAAACTTTAGAACGGAATAGAGTATTATTTTTGTTATTGTAATTTGACATTGCCTCCGCGTCTAACCAATTAGGGCAAGCCCGCTCAATGCATTTTGTACTGGAGCTCGGAACAGTTAAAATCGTTTATCCTTGTGTGTAGGATCCGTGGTCCATTCGACTGAAATACACATGGGGGCTCGTGCCATATTTTCAATATGGAGCGCTGATAAAACCCTACAATCAGGCACACTATATTAACTGAAAGTGTACAAATGCACCCTTTTCACGACTAGTTATTCAGGGGCCGGGAGAGACCGTTCGCATGTACGTCACATTCTTACATTTTGGTAGTGCAATTTCTTTTTTTATGGATTTTTTGGGTGGGGGCCTAACTAAAAAATGGGGAGGGGGGAGGGCTAAAGCCCCTCCAGCACCCCCCTCCCCAGCTGCTACAATAACGAACGTCACTGTATAGCCCTATGACGATAAGTGGACTGTAACTGAACTTGACCTTTAGCCTCCGATTTTACAAAGCATTGGAAATGTGCATTGTACCGAGCAACCATCAATGACATTGTGTTCGTTTTGTATGACTTACCATACCATTTGACTCTTCAATAGTCAATAGTCCCAACACGCGCGCCATGTGTGAGATGTTTTGCAAATACCTGAACATGTTTCCCTCCCCAAATAATCACACTCTTATCTATTGCTAAGAGCCTGAATACAAAGTCTATAATTCCTTATTAACCCATGGGGGGGGGGGGGGGTATTCGGGGTGATGGAGGAGGTTTGAGTCATAATATTTTATAATTTAATAGTTTAATGTTATTTTATGGTGGATTGGGGGGGGGTTAGGGGTGATATGGAGGAGGTTTGAGTCATAATATTTTATAATTTAATAGTTTAATACTATTATATATATAGCACTCACTACTCTGCTGCTGCCTAAATATAGAGGCAGGATAGGAAAGACATGATTTTGTGAGACTTCAGGTTTTGTTGAGGATTGGAACAAAAGTTATAAAAAAATATTAAGAGAACAGGGACTGTTAACTGTACAACACACCAGGCGCGGATCCAGAAGGGGGTTTTGGGGGTAAAAAAAACCCAGCACTTACTAAATTTTTTATAGATATATATAAAATAATGTAAAACACCCTCCAACACCCACCCCCGCCCCTGCTCTGACACCCAAATATGATGACAAGTTTACCAGTAATAATGTCTGCCTGTGCCCAACATTCGGACTGAGCCAGCTGGGGTACGGTGATATTTTTTAACTATTTGCTCCCATTGAAAGTATGGTACTGCAACAATTCCTGTATCTGCCCCTGAACACTTACGGCGATCATGACCAGATCAGGCAAAGTTTCGAGAAGGCTTCACGTAAGTACATCCCTTATCAAGTGTATCGAGTCATGGAGCTATATAAAACACATGCTATAAAAAAAGAATATGTGTGTTTTATAGCTCCATGATCGAGTCGACAAACCTTTACGCAACAATCGTATGCCACTTATTCCTTACAAAACATAACACTCCACCGCAATCGAACTCACTCTTTGACGATTAAGCACTCTTTGGGATTAATATTTTTTTAAATGAACTAGTGAATGTGGATGCAATGACAATAGAATACAACATCTGAATCCGATCACTGATGAAACAAAACCGTAAAGGTTGCAATTTATTGACTGTGAAAAAATGGAAATTTTTACCCGATGATGAAGGTGTTAAGGAAAAAGCCACACGAGTTTCCGTCGATCTCGCCAGCGGTAGAGCGTGGTGTACTGTCGGCCACTGCCTGTCTTACAAGCGCTGGCGCGAGACCGCGTCAACAATAGGCAGGGCACGCTGTGCCAAATGAACAACCCTACGAAAGCCCATTAGCGCCACTGCAAGTATATATGTTACAGATTATGTAATTCGTTATTACGGATTATTAATTCGTTATTACGGATTATTAATTCGTTATTACGGATTATTTAATTCGTTATTACGGATTATTTAATTCGTTATTACGGATTATTAATTCGTTATTACGGATTACTAATTCGTTATTACGGATTATTTAATTCGTTTTTACGGATTATTAATTCGTTATTACGGATTATTAATTCGTTATTACGAATTAAGTCTCATGTTCTCACACGTGGAGAGCACGTGACCAGGGGCTTATATATATCGCCGCTAGGCGGCGCTATATCTTTAATAATTAATAATCCGTAATAACGAATTAATAATCCGTAATAACGAATTAATAATCCGTAATAACGAATTAAATAATCCGTTTTAACGAATTAGTAATCCGTACATATATACTTGCAGTGGCGCTAATGGGCTTTCGTACAGAATCGATATTTTTCTCAAGGTATCTAAAATCATGACATGTCTATGATATTTTCCGCCATCATGGAAGCTTTGGCCCGAAAGCAATAACCTCGGCCATGCATATCCATGACGATGGTGGCAAAGTTGATTATGCTAGCCAGGATTTTTGTCATTCGATCTTTCAATAGGGTCAATTGTTCATACCTTTCCCCTGAAGGTTTTTCTTTTCACGTAAAAGTTTCATTGACGTTGCTAGCATTCTGTACTCGTTGAACATTAACAAAGAGCAAGGTTCACACACACATGCCCAACCCAATAGGAGTGGGTTTTCATGGAAACTAGTCACGCTTCACGCCAATTCCAGTGTAGTTTCGTTGTAATAAAAAAGCTATTCATGTTTTTATGAGGCTCCATGTGTAAATAAATTATTTAACAAAATTATTTATATATAATTCATTATTTATTATATAATTCAGTTTCCCGGACAATTATATGTAAATATTGTTTGGCAGTTTGCATTATATGTAAATAAATTTATTTGCCACTGCATTATTTATATATAATTTTTTTTGCAACCTAATTATTTACATATAATTTTGGGCAAACTAGAATTATTTATATATAATTTATTTGCAACCGTATTATATATATATAATTTTTGCACACTTTTTTTATTTATATATAATTTATAATGAATTATATATAAATAATTTTGTTAAATAATTTATTTACACATGGCGCCTCATATGTTTTTTACCCTCTGCAAGTTTTTCCTCATAAAACTCAGTAGACCGGTAAATCCTGGCCTAGCCCCAAACCTGCCATCTACCGATCATAAACAAAAAGATGCATATGGTCTTTTAATCTTTTATATCTGCCATTCTCTGTAACAAACAAATACAAACTGCAAATATATCGAGAGCTACATCGTTTGGCGAGTTAGAACTATGTGAATATTTTTATGAACAGAAATTCATCCACTTCCAGTGGAACCATTTGTTTTAACTTGAACCAAAAAAAATCCTTTCGTGTTTTGTAAGTTTCAGTATACTTCAGTATATTTCATCACAGTGCATCCAGAATCCAACATTTTCCGGGCCTTAAAGCGGACCCCTGGCCCTGTGGCCCTACGCCGTAAGGGCTCGGACAATAAAACAAAACATACACGACGGAATTTACTAAATGTAAGAAAGCAGCCTTGCAACAATAATATTTACATGCGATGTCGTGCATAATGATACAATTCTTTTTCCAGAATTAAATGTAACAAAAAATGGAGATAAAAATACAGGGTTCTCCACTTTTCAGTACAGTTAAACGTTTTAAGAGAAACAGTATAATCTAAAACAAAATAATAAATAAATTGTCTTTATAATCCCAGCAAACTATTGCTAAAAACGTCAAATGAAAGTGGCCAGGAATCGCCTCAGATTGCACCACAGAGCATCCATATTCCAAATTAAGCCACGACGTAAGGGCTTTGCGCTCCGCTTTCGTATTAATTTTGTCCGTCCTTTAGAAATTCCAGCACCCCCTGGCAAAGATTTATTCCAGCGGCAGTGTGATAACCGCAAGATGGACAGAATAAACGGACCGGGGGACACTTGTAACTTGTAACTTCATGTATCGGTAGGTATTCTGTACCCCGGACAGTTTTAGCGGGGGAAGGAATTACCGTCTACACAGGCCTTACACCATACCGGCGCGGGGCACTTCAAGATGATTCCCCGCTGTTTTAGAGTTTCACGTCGACACTTGTTTTTGAAAAATCTATATGATATCGATTTTTTTTCCAATTATTTCCCCAGAAAATATAAAAGTTATGCACTTTCGAATGAGACATCGAACGAAAAGCATAAGTTGCTGAATTATTTCTTCACAAAATTCAATTATTGACTGCCAGACAATAATTCTAAAACTGACATTAGGCCCTATTAGCCTAGGCCGTGCCGGCTACGACTTGAAATTACAGCCGAGCCTATGGAAAGTGGCTTCAGCCGCTACCGAAGACGCGTGTGTAATTTCAAGCCGTTTAGCCAGGTAATTCGGACACGACCTTATTTGTCCTACAGCACATATTTACCAGGTTGTTTTAAAATGGTTACCATCATCACAACTGACCCAAATTATAACTCAGAGTTTTTTTAACTGAAAAAATATGAAACATCTAGCGTACTCACAAACTGACTCACAGGCACACGTTTAACATGAGCTAGTGGCAAGCGGCAGTCGTGGCGGAAAGCGAACCAATGACCAAGTGGCATCTTGGGAATCTCAAACCAACCAAGAGCTTTGTTCATGCGTAAAGTGCGAGGGCTATACAATTCAATCATGCCTTTGTTAAAACGATGGGTGAGGCCACTATATAGCTGATTTTTTTGAGTAAGCGAACAATATTTTGGATTGGCAGTGAAAAGGTCAGGCGAAACCAATTTGTACAATGGCTTCTCGGGCCATAACCTCAACCTGCCTGCTAATTGTGTAAGGGTGCAACAGTGCAAAAAAAATTCCCATAGCCACTAGTGCTAAATGCCCATACTTCAAAATTGTTTTAAAGTACTCAGAACTCTCACAGGTATTTAAGCTGCACAGAAAAATGATGATCGACATGTTATCTTTCAACTTCTTTTCATTTTTTGGTGGGTTGACCATTGACTTTTCGAGAAATTCTCGCCCAAAGAAGACGACCCCTGTTTTCCCCAAAGCGGAACGGTAGCCATCTTAAAAAACGATCCCTCCACAACATGGCAAAATAGCGCCACTCTCGAGCCCAATTGTATCCAAAATGCCCAGAATTAGAAGCCCCGAGTCCGGGCCAGAGGTTCATTGCCATATCTCTTCAATACCCAAATGTTATGGCTCTCAGAACTCTCTAATATAGAATATTTTGAGGGTATAACTTTTATTCATGAGCTCGGCGGGCCTATTTACAGGCCTACAGGTGTGCACCCTTTAATTCCTCTGCTCAATACTGACAACAAGGCGGTGTTCCATTGTCTTCAAAATGAACACTTCTGATGCTCGAGTTTCTGCAGTAAATTTTGACCTGATTTTTCCTTCTTCATTATCCTTTTTTGGTTCGGTATGGTTACAAACTTACAACCCGCGTGAATCGTTTTTGTCTTAGCGAAATCATCTGCGGCACATATTCCGTCACGAATAGCGCCACCTGTTGTGCGATAGTGTTCAAAATCGTCCCTTTCAACAGCGCCCCCAATGTGGTGTCCAATTCCCAAGATCAGTGCGAATTCCTCGTTCGTTCTTATTATTATTCCGTCTGCAACCCTCTGAAAAAAAAGGCCATTATTCGCATTACTAAACCTGCACTGCGAGAGTCGAACTATTGTCTGGCAGCCAATAATTGAATTGTGTGAAGAAATAATTCAGTATCTAAACGTGGGTGGATTTTATGTCGTTCGATGTCTCATTCAAAATTTGAATAACTTTTATATTGCTAAGAAAATACAAAGTAGCAGTTGAAAGAAATGTTGTTGTTTTTGCATGGACTTTAAGACAACATAATGAACTTCCACCGAATGCAACCTTCATGAAGCTGGCAAGATGAAACTTTTAAATAGTCTTTGTTCAAGACAATGGAGATTGGCACAGTGGATCACTTTGTCCGTAGCATAGTAGCGCGGTTCGAACCGCCCGTAAGTAAAAAATATCATGTGGGAGCGCACTACTATTTTTGAAATCGTACCTGCAGCTATTAGACTGGTTCCCGGTCCCTCCATTATCTTTTGGACTTCGAATGTAGGACCAGGTAGCTATCAATGAATCCCGAATACATTAGGACGTTTTCCTCCTAATATATGCAAATTATACGCAGGACTGGCCTTGGTCTGAGATAATTATAGCCGACACAATATTGAGGGCGCTATTTGGTTTGTATGGTGCAGTGATGAATACAAAAGACTTTATCCGTATCAAACAGCGCCCTCATATTGTAAATGCCATACCTCCAAATACATTTTTCTTATGTAATGAGGACGTTATGGAGACTCTTTGTGGAAAAAAAATATGTTTCCAACCACGGCTTCAATTTATGCGCTTTTGGCAGCTCATACAAAATGGCGCTGAATGTTTACAAACAATGTAAAGGTCTATATGCTTTTATAGTAGTTGTCAAGACGATCATTAGATCCGTTTACATGGACCGCGACTACAAATTGGCAATTCCATGGTAACCGTTACATTTAGTGGTTTTTTATGCTTTTATTCTATAAGTCAAAGCATTCAGTGTGGAATTTTCTCACAGAGGATCCGTACAATTAATTTGCTGAACTACAAAAAAAAGGGCAACAAAATAAAGTTCTATTGGTTTGTTTATCAGTAACTCACGTTACCAGAAAATGACATGGTAAAAAATTAAAACCTAATTACATTTTAAAGTTTCCTCATACTGCGGGCTGATGGAAAATCATTTAGTGCATGCCCTTACATCATCATGGGGATGATGCTTTAGAATTTTAGTTATTAAAACAAAAATAATCAAAAAATCTCTTTGGCACCAGTTAAAACATAATTATAAGAAACTAAAAATAAACAATCTTTTCGCATAAAATTTGAACCCTCTTCTCTGCCTTTAAAAACAAAAACTTGAAAAAAGACATGGTGCCATAATGACTTCCTAAAGTCCATATAGCTTCCCCAAAACATGTTTTTTTTTACAAACAAAATACACTTAAAGTTGGTGTTCGCGTGCTTTCTAGGTGTGCCACCTTTAAAAAAAAATGGATTTTCAAATTGAATTGATAGGTTTCGAGCATTACATTAGTTATGAGCTTTCCAATGAGACATCGCATGAAATAATCGGCACACGACAAGTAATCAATTAATTAATTTTAACTTTTGAATTAAGAGCGGAACGCTCCTAATTCGTTCTGAATAGTGTGCGCAATTTCTGAACTGAAGCGCGCCAAGCAAATTCATTTGGTACAGGATGTTATATTCCTTTAAATTTCGTTTGGAAAAGAAAATCGAAATTTTGAAAAAGCACGTATATATACTTTAACCATGATTCCATCTCACTGCATATGGAGCGTCAAAAGTGGACAACCGTATTTTCCCATTTTCTGCTAGTAGAATTTTAGGTTTTTTTTATTTGGATTTTATAATTATTAACACCGGATTTTAAAATTTTTAATTTTCTGCAAGCAGGAATTTGGATTTTACTCAAAAGTGGACAACTAAAAATCTCAAGTTCTTACTAGCAAAAATTACGATGGTCCAAAAGTGGACAACCCCGTTTTTCCATCATTCCTGCTTGCAGAAATATTTTGGAAGTCACAAAAAATGTCAATTTTCTGCCACCAGAAAGTTGAGTTTTACCTTGACGGCTTTAGCTTTAATATTAAGTATGGACAGCTTGAATTTGAGTTTGTTCACTTTCGCTTCTGCTGGCAGAAAATACGAGATTTTGGTTTCCACAAAAAGTTCAACCCGAATATTTACTAACGGAAATTACGGATTTTTAAATGTCCACTTTTGAGGCGTCAAGAAAAGTCGTCAAAGTAAAACTCACATTTCTACTGGCATTTTTAGTTGTCCACTTTTTAGGGGTATGAATCCGTGAGTTCCACTAGTCTAAATGTGTGTTAGATTTTCGGAAGTTAGAGGTCGATTGTTGACAAGATACTTATCTTTCATGTCAGGTTGATTTATCTGTTTCTATAAATTGATATTAGTTTATAAATTTTACAAAGGCCTTTTGCGAGGGAGATCTTCTTAACAAATCAGTGAACCAAAAATTGTTATTTTGGAAATTGTGTGCGTTAATATTCCCATTTAAGGTTCCGGTAGAAGCGCACCCACCACAAGAGGGCTTTCAGGCTCTATAATTGTCGTTATAGAGGGGGCTGGCCGACTGGCTGACCGGCCTTTAAAAATTCGAAAAATAGGGGAACTGGATTTCACTTCACGCTACGGGTACTCTTTTCCCTCTCTTTTCCCCTTTAGTTTTGGTTTTGAATCCTTACATCAGAGGAAAAAGGTATGAGTGAATCCTTAAAAGGGGATGAGTGCATGAACCTCATCGTCGACCGTATAATCTCGACTCATCTGGTACATGGTTTAGCTATTTGACATAGCTTTTTGGGTTGGTGTAGGCATGTACCTCGTTCCTCCTGATCCGCCATTGAGAATTTATTGCTTTCCCACAGCGGCGATCATCTTTCCCGATTATCATTTGGATGGAAGAAGGCAGTGGCGAACCCAGGATTTGTTTATGGGGGGGGGGGGCTCACAATTTTTTTTCTTCTTAAATTTGTTAAAAGTTGAATTAAAAAAAAAATTGCCCCAAATACCCCTATTATACTACTCGAAAACAGGCCACATTCATATCACCAAGGCCAAATCATGGGACTAAAAAAAAAATACAGTGGGTGCGCTACTGGAAGAAAAAACATTCAATCGTTGAATAATCAGGCCAGTTGCGGAGAAGCTCTCGGGGAAGATTTTGGTCTTCGCCCAACTCCCTGGAAAGAAAATCTTGATTTGTATCAAGCGTCATAGACAAACTTACTCTTGAACGTTTCATTTTTATTTCAACAACTGACATCGCCTTATTTGTACATCAGGTAAAGTTGAAGAGGTCACAGTAAGTGAATCATACGGTGTGTGGGACTCGGTGTGCATAGCCGTCATAGTAGCACACATGCACGGGGTTATACATGTAATGGTATAATGAAACATGAAAGTTGGCGAACAGTTGCCTGAGATGTTCAAAGATAAAAACTCTGAGTCACTTTCCTCCTTTCCTTCGTATTTATTATGATAATTGCAAGGTCAGGGCTGGCGGGATGAAGTGAAAGTTTTTGAGTGGGGGGTTGGGGGGGGGGGGGAGCGAGCTATAATCCAGTGTGATTCATCATCCGAGCAATCGTTTCACGAGAACAACCCTTCAGACCACACATCCCGTGTTGGCCACCGGTCTGTGAAACACAACACACACACACGTGAAGTAACCTGTCAAATGCTGTATGTTCAGACAACTTTTGAGGAACTTAGTGTTCGTGACATGATTATCAACAAGGAAGTATATTATGAAGTGTTTGGAGAAGTTGTAGAATGGTTTGGAAAGCGAAGTCTTGATTTCACCGTGAAACTGAACAGAATGTGAGTAGCCCTATACAGGCCAGATTCTTTGGCCACAATAATGTTTGCTATCGATCTATTATTGTTTGAAATTATCTGAGCTGAACAAAGTTTAATAATTGGCATTCTTTTAGAATACCCTTCTTTATGATCCGTAGGCTCAGTAAAAAAAAAAGAAGTGTATATTAAATGCGTAATATCGCATGGTATGAGCTGAGATATTGACTTTGCATTACTTCGCTTAATATACTTTTCAAGACTCCGATAGCAAGGCGGAAGGCACGCGTTTTGATCGTGTTAACGTGCGTTTTGTTTTAATTTATATGAACCAATAAATTCCACAATGTTCAAAAATGGTACCATCATACACCATTTCTGCCTCGTTTTTACAGCTAAATAATTGTTTGGTTCAATCCCTTTTGAGCCTCCTTTTGAAATCTCCTCGAATGGTCAGAACCTGGAGCCAAAGCAATCCGTTTTATTATATTTATTCGTATAGTACACTTTTAAGTTGAGTGTTTTTATAGACATTCTTTCGATCTGATGCTGTGAAGCCGCACCTGTCCCCGGATTAGTCTGAGCCTCATCAATTTGATAAAATCACCCAAGGAATCCCGAAATAAGTTCTTTCCAGAATGTACTGCAAATAAGTACAGCACAGAAGAAGCCTGTTCTTGAATTTTGGTAAAAAAAAAAATAAGTCCAAATGCCTGCGCCTATATACCCCTCGGGTAGTCTTGGTTCAAGACTGTAGATTTGTATGTTTATTCCGCTATTTTGCAAGTCGTGGTTAAAGTGCCGCAGCGGTGGAGGTCGCCAACAAGTTGAATCAAATCCAGTCTTAATCTTGGGAATTTTGGCAGCGCTACCCGGGAGAATCCGAGCATACGTCACGCGCATGCACTAGCTTGATTACAGCATCCGTGAGGTTTGCTGTCGAAATGATCCTGGGTAGCGCTGCCAATATTGCCAAGACTGGATTTGATTCATCTTGCGACCTCGCTTGTCTCGGACCGGATGTATCTGGGCCCCAAGACTTCAACCCCGGTCTGCGGGGAGGAGAAACAGTTCAGCAAAAATAATTGTCAACTTCAGGTACACGATAAATTAAACTAGTCCTGTACCAAAGATAATGTTCATCGGCACAGGAAAACAAGAAAACTGAACCTGCACTTTTCTGAACAGGTTATCCCCTCCACGCTCCCTTTTGTTTTGTTCAGTTGTTGTCCCTTTTGTTGTCGATGAAGCCTATTTTGAAGAAAAAGAAAGAAAGAAATTTTAAAAAAAAGGGAAAGAAAAGGCACCATATATACCTGGGCCTGGGGTATTTTTTTATATAGATATTTTCCGACATATAAAAAGAAAAGACAGACAAAGGAGTGGTACCATCTCAATCCATGATGATGTGTTTCACTTCAGCAGGGACGGTGAAACGCTTTCAAACTGGGGGGGGGGGGCAACCCCAAAAAGGGGCACTTGCTCAGAAAAAAGGGGCACCTTCCGTCGGTGTGAAAGTGGAGGAAAAGAATATGGTCCCGTTCGTTTCGCTATAAACCTATGACGAGGAACAAGTACGTTGTCCATCTTGCTCTTTGTGTTTTTTTTCCTAGTTATGTAGAGAGACAATGTTTTTTTATCGCGAGAGGGCACTGTTGCTTTCGATGGCCAGTTCAGTGACCATTTTATTCGCGTGAGGAGCACTATTATTTTTAGGGGCCATTTTTCCATCGTGAGAGGGGGCACAATCTTGTTAATGCGAGAGGGGTATTTGTGTTTTGAAGGGCAGTTTTGCATTACAAGAGAGGAGACAATAATATTTGTAGCGCGATCATATGCTTTCATGTGTACCTTTGAAGGGCCTTTTTGTTTTCATCTCCAGGGGGCACATTTATAACCGTGAGAGAGGCACTTTTGTGGGGCAAGTTCCCCCCTCCCCCTCCCCTGCACTTCAGCAACAGAAAAGCCCTGCCCCGCCCACCCCTTTGCCCCGGCGATCGAGAAGCTTTTCAAAGTTGGTTATTAAAACGTTTTAGATCATTGTGCAAAAGTCAACTGACGTGAAAGAATATGAACGTTAGTGCTCCATGCTTTAAGGCATACTGTAAAAGATTTTTTTTCCATAATACTTTATAATTTTGCGATCCATACAGACAAACTGTCGAATGCTGAGATTAGCCTCGTCCATGCCTGGTACGGGTCGACGCAAGTACGCATGCGCGTTATCGCCATTTTCTGATGGAAGTCGGACGGACAGGAATGGGTTGTTTACCAAGGGCCTCGCGACTGTGCGCCTCCGAACCTGCTGCCTTTTGAGCGGATCGGCCATGTTCAGCAAAAAAGCTCACGGAGACGTCAAGAAATCGTCGCAGAAGCTCCTGGACTCGAAGAAGGATGCGGTCACACGGCTAAAACACCTCCGAGTTGTGCTCGGTAAGTGGTCGATTCTGGTGCGGCAGCTCAATGCCTGACGCCTACCGGACACCGGCGGTAAAAATCCCCATATGAGTACATTCAATCAGTTTCGTGATAAACTGTACGTCTGAAAATCAAAGAGAGGATTATATTGCCTGATATTTCTTAGCAAATTTTAGTTGAATTACAGCATCTGGACCTCTGCCTAAAGTCGTTCCCTGTACCATATCTACTATCCGTATGTCAAAAGCATGAAAAATCTCCAAATATGAGGAAAATGAATGAGCTCTGCTTTTTCAAGTTACAATTTAACTTATGCTTTAGTTTTAACTTTTACTTGGAAATAATTTAGTATCCAGACTCCACTTCTTTGGTTGTGTTCAAAGTCTATGGAGAGTTGAGTGCATTTTCAAAGTGTTTTCTAACAAAATTGGAGGAAAGAATATTGCAACCTGATGCCTTTCTTTTCTTCATATATCATCTCAATGTCACTTGTCAGGTCAGTCTGAGTCATTGCATTTGCAAAAATGATGATAAGACATGAATCTGGGACTGAGCTTTGTCCTTTTCTTTTTTTCTTATCAATATGGTGTTTTTTTGTAAGGCGGCAGAACGCTATGCTCCAATCTATAACATATTAGCTCAAGTTGTCTACTGACACTCATTCAAATGGGCCGTATTTTGTCGACCGTAAACCTGAAAAATGGACTCTCCATGGCAAACGCTTGGTGGCGCACTGCATTGTGAATCGCCCGAATTACACCTCTATACTGTCACTATCCCCAATGCCCATTCTGAGATGTATTCCTCAAGTTTCTTTCCACGCACTACCTTATACTCTGGAATCCCCTGCCTTCATCCTGGTTTCCAGATACCATAATCTCAGTTTAAGCTCATTAGCACAATGTGAATGTGCATCTCACAGTAAAATTAATCTTCTATCATTCACTTTTCTTTCTATTCTTTTCTACTTGTGGCCTCCACCTTGAGTGGCCTTGTGGCGGGCAACTTGCATTACAAAAAATACATGTATGGACATGTACAACTTAGGCCAAAAAAAAAGAATAGTTCTGCTTCCGGTTACCCGACCGACCCTATTTTTAGGCTGCGACCCTAAAAATTTTATTGGCAATTCCAAAAAAAAAAAAAAAAAATTTTTTTTGAATAAATACAAATAAAATCTGTCTTTTCTGTCTTCACAAAATACCTCTCAACAACCCTTTTGCATCCAAAAATGCTTGTATTTATTTGTTTTCTTACTTACATTCGTTTTTTTTTCAAAGAAACCTCCGTTATTACAAATTCGCTTCGCGATATAACTACTTCGCAATTCGATGTCACGCACGGTGACTATAATCACGTGGCGACGACTGGTTCCCGCCACGCCGCGCATGGGCCAATTTAAAAGACATAATGAAAATGCGGTAACCAGTCCATAGCTAGCTATGTGACCGATAGCGCGCTATCAGTACAGTGCAGGCCACTGTCAACTGGTCGGATTCGACATCGTAAAAATGCCAAGAAAACACCGATGGAGAAAGAACATTTTTGCAAGTTAATTTACAGAATTGATCTAGCTTGTCTGTGTATGTATTTTCTGTGTTCAGGAGTTCATTTTGAGATCGCACTACTCGTATTTGGAGTGATACATGCCGCGTGTTTCCCGAAATTGTTGACGGTAAAAACAGCCCATGGTGGGCTGCTCGCCACACACGCACGCATTACACACCTCGGAGTTTTGGCCAGCTCCCCGCGTCTTGACTAGCGTTGTGCATACATGTATGGTGCGAACGGCCTGAATTTTCCATTATTTTTTGAAATTATCGAACGTAAATATATTGACAATAATTTAAGGTAGGTTTTACTCACTTTTTGTTGCCATTTCGTGTATAGCTTTCGTAGTGCAATAGAAATAGTTCAGGCTAAAACTTCGTATAATTGAATACCCCATTCAATCTGCATAAAAAAAATTGGCAATTTTTTTTTTTTTTTTCGACCGACCAACCCTATTTTTGAAAGGCATGTAATCGGAAGCAGAACTATTTTTTTTTTTGGCCTTACAAGAACGCTCATATTTCTGGGTACAAATTTCTTATTATAAATGTATGAATTCGTTCACACCATGATTCCATAGGTACAATGTACATCTGTACATGTGCCTGGATCTGCATGTAATGACACTTGTAAATGGGGCGGATTTGACCAAAACTTAGTTCTTGTGTGTGACATCGCAACTATTACATTACATGTATATTCTAATAGGAATTGTCATTAATTGGTTACCATTCAGACACATCTAAAATTGGCACAACGAGGCCATGAATCATCTTTAATTAACCCTAACCCACCTCACTCCTCCAAAATCCTCCTGGCGGTTTTGGAGGATTCTAGAGGATTGAGGATGAATGGTGATTGAATCAAATGAGGATTCTGGAGGATTGAGGATGAATGGTGATTGAAGCACATGAGGATTTTGGAGGATTGAGGATGAATGGTGATTGAAGCACAAGAGGATTTTGGAGGATTGAGGATGAATGCATTTTGAGGCAGGACTGTCTGATGATTTTGAAGGATTTGGCGTTGGTTATCCTTCATTTAAACACGAGTGCGAAATTTTGGGATGAGGAGGATTTTGGAGGATTGAGGATTAATGTATTTTGAGGCAGGACTGTCTGACAATTTTGAAAAATTTAGGCGGAGTTGCAAAATTTTGGAGGATTTTGGAGGATTGAGGATGGTTGTAAGCAACAAGGGCCAAGGGGGTTAGGGTTAACAGCAACAATCAATAAGCCCTGCCTCAAAGTCAGTGTTTTATCCAATCACAGTCGTGATTAAAACCAGTATCTGGCACGCGTGCAAAAAAATCTGACATGCGTTCATAAAATGCGCAGGTGGAACGTGCAAGGGTAGCATTATACATGTAGAAGCGCATGTGTTGTCGCGCATGTGTTGTCGCCATGTGCGCAGTGGGCAAGTCCTACCAGCTTTTTGTTCATATTTATTAATCCTCCTGCTTACAGTCCACAGACAGTCAAAAACTTCAATCCCCTTCCCCTGCCACAGGCTAGTCACCAACAGTCAGATCATATTTCAAGCAAGCACTGTGACTAGTCAAATTCAGTCAACAGACAAAAACAGGCAAGAAGTAGGCTTATCAATCACCTACAGCCAAAGCATTGCTGTATCAAGTTACATAAACAGTCACAGCCAGTCAATCCTGCTTTCTGTAGCCTGGGAGTTCTTAATTGTTTAAAAAACAATCACTTGATTGATTTTGGCTGAAAGGACAACTTTGCAGAGAATGTACAAATGTATGTTTGCATAGGAGGGTTAACAACAGACAAAAAATTACCAACTGACAATATGCATATTAGTGGGGCAGATTTAGGGGGGAATTGTGCCTTTGATTATACAAGCATGGCATTTTGCACACAGTCAAGAGTACCGGTATTTCTTAAGAAAGAGATTTGGCTAAAGGGCCATCGCAGATTTGTCCTTTTGAAAAAATATAGTACTAGGTAGAATAACATGCCATTTTCAAAATTATCAAAATGGCTGCCATTACTTCACATGTGCTTGTTACTCTACTTATATTTTTTCAAAGGACAAATCTGCGATGGCCCTATAGCCAGATATCTTTCTCATGACATACTCTGTGTGCCAAATGCTTGTATCATCAACTTTTTAGGCACAATCCCATCACCTATCTGCCATACTATATGGAAAGGGTTTGCTTCACATATTAGCATAGCAAGTAGGATCTGCATAAAATTGTCATTTCACAAAGTAAAGTGTATGTAAAGTATTGCGGATGTCTGTAAACTACATTGTACATACACATTTGGACATGTTTGACTTTCAGTTTCTTTTCTTGTCTTTTTGGTTTTACATACATGTATACCTCTGTTCCAATGAGTAGTAGTACATGTAATACTTTCAAGCAGGCTACTTCAGGTTCAAGTACATGTATGTAAAAAAATGAAAAATCCTGTAGTTCCTGTTGCTTCATTGAAATTGCCATTAGCCTGGTAGAAAATAATGTATTGGGCCAAAAAAAAAAGTCTCCGGTTTCTGGTATGGAGCTTGCCCCAAAAGTGGTGCGGCGACGCGGCTTCTTTTTTTTTTTTACTTTTTTTTTTTTTTTTTTTGGCTTCAAATGTCGGCTGATGACCGCAAATGGTGCCCGACTAAACTTAGTGCAAATACATGGGAGTCCAGAGAGGCCACATAAAGCTTATTCTCGATCATAACCCCATCTAAAAACACGTTAAAATTGTGCAGCAGCAGAATTCCAGTCAAACCAGTGAGTTTGGCGGTTTTGAGACATCATCTTGTATTGAAAAAAAAACTTTTTCATTTTGCCGACGCGCATGGCTACGGCGACGCGCGCGCATACCAGAAACCGGAGCCTTTATTTTTTTTGGCCTTGTGTATCTTTTTTCTTGTTTTTTTTGTCTGTCGGTTGTTAACATTTAATTTGATTAGTTGAGGGTACATCTACATAAATAACACATTTTATTGTTTAATTTAACGGGTAACACACCAAAAACTGACACGGGGAAGACTGTTGTTTTCAAATATATTTTCTTGAAATTGTTGGCCAAATGTGGCAATAAAAAGTTTGAGGTCGACAATTTGGCCACAAAAACATAAGGGTACCGGTAGGTCGGGTTACCGTAAGGCCTTCTGGTATGCGCGCGCGTCGCCGTAGCAATGCACGTCGGCAAAATGAAAAAAATTTCAATGAAAGATGATGTCTCAAAACCGCCAAACTCACTGGTTTGACTGGAATCCTGCTGCTGCACAATTTTAACATGTTTTTAGTTTGGGTTATGGTCGAGAATAAGCTTTATGTGGCCTCTCTGGACTCCCATATATTTGCACTAAGTTTAGTCGGGCACCATTTGCAGTCATCAGCCGACATTTGAAGCCAAAAAAAATCAGGTAAAAAAAAAAAAAAAGCCGCGTCACCGCACCACTTTTTGGGCAAGCTCCATACCAGAAACCGGAGACTTTTTGGGGGGGCCTAAACAACCAATTTTGTTTGTTGGGCCTTGCCATTTTAGTCACTTGAAATATTCTGTGATATTTCATGGAATTTTTTCATGAAAAAAAAACACAGAAAATAAAATAAAACAGATAGTTTCTCAATCGCAATACATGTACAATACATTTAAATTGTTTGTGTCCTTTTTAACTGCAGATAATTTGGAGCAATTGGAAGCACGCAGCTTCTTTGAACAGTACTACTCTCACATCTTCTATGTATTCTACGAGAACTTCATCTCGGTGGAGGCTAGCCTCAAGCAGAGGGTGCACAAGGCCCAACGCGAGGAGCTGGACGGCATCGTGGCAATATTTGAGGTTGGTAGCAAAGCTTGAGTGGTGTTTCCTTTTCCGTTGCCAGGGAGAAATTTAGAGATTGACTTTTGTTTTGGTTACAAATTGAAGATAATAAGCCAATTCGGTATCGCGATGAAGTAGTTCAGGTCAAAGGTCATTCGGGATAAAATTGCTAACGCGACTCGAGCATCATGTACCTGAATGCTCATCTGCTCGCACTTAACGTACGGACGTCGTGCCACTGTCTCCTTGTGCGTTCATGCGCCTTCGATGAGCGTTCAATTATCCCGAATGACCTGTGACCCGTATCATTGTGCGCTTGCGCAGTTGTAATACCGAACTGCCTTATCTGAAGCCGCATTCTTTTTTTGTATGCTGTTCAGTTTAATTATTAACCAATAATGTTCTTGCAGTCTGGTTCCCTGACCCCACTTAAGATGAAACGGGGCAATTTATATACTTTGGGGAATTGTAAGGTCAGAGAATCAGTCTAGCAGACTTGTACCCCTTCACAGGTGTGTAATCAATTGCAAAGAAAATGCGGAATAAATAATTATGAAATATTAGGAGCAGTTTTTGAAAAATAGCCAGTTTTCTCCAACGCTGGTCGGTCTGGAAAATTACCATTTTCCTTGAAAATGTCAGCAAACCAGGAGCCACAATTTTACAGGATGCTTTAGACTGTCATTCCCTAACAATCCAGTAAGGTACATTTGTATTTCGTGATAATTTGATCATTTCGTTTTGTGATGTTTGCAAATGTTGTATACTTCCTTTTAAATTCAATTGATACCATTATTTTTGGGAAAAAATTATACGCTGTTGTGTATTCATGGATGAAGTCGAAGCAAATGGAAAAATCCATTTTCATAACATCCCTACAATAACTACAGGTATGGTGATATCCTCATTTTGAAACTTTGAAACGTTGCGGAAGACAACCCTAATGTACATTGTAGCTGAATCCATCAAAATCCATACCCCTGTTTTGGAGTATTTCGGTGGATTCAGGATACCTCCATATTGAAAACGGGGGAATTTTGATGGATGCAGGATTGTAAGCCAAGCGGTACTGCAGGATTTTGATGGATTCAGGATACCTCCATACTGAGCAGTCACCGACACCAGAACTTCTGTGCATGACACAATTGGTGGATTTTGGCGGATTCAGGATACTTTCTAGTAAAAGTGCTCAAGGGGTTAGGGTTAAAAGTGCCAACCAAATGGTTCAAAATTATTATATATTTTCCGTTTTTGATGAAATGATAATATAAACATTCAGCATAGCGTTAATTTAACTTTACTCTAGTTGTTATAGATGTTTAAATTAATACAAGATCAAAATCTGGTGTGATCCAGAAATTTGTTGAATTGAAATTTTGCTTTTTTGCAGAAAATTCTCCTTTACGTTCCTGATTTAGTCCATGCAAGATGGCAGTACCAAAGCATTGGTAAGTTCATTATTAACCTTTCAAGAGCATTTTCCAAATTTTGTACACGTAATTCGGGATCAGTATGGTGTACATGCATTTTCCAAATTTGCAGGGATTTTTTTTTATTTTATAGATTTGCACTAAAGAGTACAGAACACCTGTTGAACAAACAGCAATACCAAACATTTGGCTGGTATGTTGACTGTACTTTATGGCTCCTAATAATGTTCAGGACAGGTATCGGTACGTGCACATTGTATCTGCAAATTGTCACTATATAAAATTACCTACATGTATGATACATGCAACATTTTTGTGCAATGAACATTTCTTGTCCATCGATTGCATCCCACAACTCGTTTTGTAGTACGTTCTTCCTGCACGAGTACATACATGTAAACCTTCGAAAACAATAGAAACAAGACAACTGGACTCAAACTTATTAGATAGAGAACAGTGTCATGACCTTTCTGGGTCGCTATGTACTTCCCTATACATGTGCACTGTTGCTCTACAAATTAAAAAAAAAACAAGTGCGAGTGCACAATGAGCTCTGGCCGTGTTGCAAGAAGTCTTTCATGAAAATCTTGCATGAAATTGATCAAAATGATCCCTGCCAGAGCTGAAAAATGCAACGCCGAAAAATGCGACTCCGATGGCACATATGGAACACCATACTTTTGGTCAATTTTCGTGACAGACGGACCGACCACCAAGTGACATTCATGTAGAAGATCCTGCCAGTGCTTAAAAATGTAGCATAAAGTTTTGATAAATTGTGTCTAAATACAGTATATACAAAAGTACTGCCCCCTTCCCCTAATAAAAAAAGGAAGAATGAAAAGTCTTTCTTTGGGGTTTTTACCTGCTTCAAATACCAAAATACCAAGTACATGTACATTAGAGAATATTTAGATTCTACAATACTTATCATGTATACGATATTTATCCATTTTCCCATTGTACATTCTGATGATGCATTGCATGCTGGAGGACAAAAGACCCTGTTGCTGATGTGTAATATATTTTGTCCAGTGATCCCAATAGCACTCTGCAGTGGTGGATTTTACCCACTGTAGTTGATGTGAAATGACTATGCGATGACAAACCTCCATAAATTGCCACAGTTTCAATTATGATTCATAATTTTTCCCTCTCCCTCCCCCCCCCCCCCCCAACTTGGTGGGTATAACATGTTGATACATGTATAGGTGAACGTAAGGTCAGACATTGGATCGTTTCCAAGTTTTTACAAATTTATCGAAAACGGGTTTTTAGAATTAAATTTTGTGCTGTAAGTGTATTGTGTCTGTTTAGGTAATACACAACATTTGCTTTTGCTGTAAGTTCCAGAAATGGAGGGATTTGGGGGTTAGGATTTTATAGCAAATATCGTTCCACTGACCTGTTTTAATTTTTTGTTCATGGATGCCATGATTTTAAGCAAGAAAAAACGCGGACCTTCCGAATATGTAAACAGTTGCAAACAAAATGTGGACTAACTAAACTTGGTCGATTGGGGGAAGTATCTGAAAAAAAACCTGGGTTTTTTTTCCAACGATGGTGTGGCCGAACCATCGTTGGAGAATGACACAAAAGTCCACATTTCTTGGAAATTACAGCATTTCAGGCGCCACGATTTCACAGGAAGCTTGAGACTATTATTTACATGTACTTACAGACAAGTAAGGTATTTCATATTAATAGTTTTGTTTGTATATTTTTGCAAATGTGATGCGATCAAGCTAAATGACTCGTTTGTTGGGAACTTTCATTTGGAGATTCAGGCCAACATAGGGCCACTTCATCACATCACTTCATCACATCTCTTGGTGTTCCAGCTTCCATAATTTTTTAACTAAAAATGTTACCAGCATGCAGTTTAGCAATTATGCTGATATTGTGCTCTTTTCAAATCTGTCAAAGAAATAAAAAATTGACCAGGGTCGACAAACGCACTTTCAGCTTGTACGTTACCTTTAGAATCAACTGTCCTATTTTATTTTGTGCCAGTAGATTTTTTTTTTTTGCATCTTACATGTATTTCCCCCCTGGGCATGCCATCTTCATTCAGTCAAAGTGTGCCACGCATTTGTCAGTGGTCGGTTTCTCTGACGTTTCTGGACTACCGGAGGCAGTGTAGTTTGGAATGAGAAGCGACCTAGAGCAATTTGATCATAGCCTACTGTCCTCACTGAGATATCTAAGGAACAGGACCGAGAGATCACACAGTATGAGTAGTCTTATTATGCTGGCCGCACAGTCTTTACATTTAGTCCGACAGTGCTGTGGCAGGGAATTTTGAGAAGTCCCAATGTTTATATTTTGCAATATCAGTAGTGTATTTATGAGCATTAGCACTGAACTTAATAAAATTCTAAAAATAGGTGAGAGGGTCACTTTACTGTAGAAACACCCAGGTCACGATTAACCCTGACCTTCCTAACTCTATCATAATCCATCCCCCCATTTTGGTGGATTTTGGGGGACTTGGTCCTGCAGGGCTGGTGTGACTAAATATTGATGGAGTATGATGGACTTGGGCCTGGAGGCCTTAAAAAGCAAATTAAAGCATGCATTGTGATTGATGGATTTTGGGGGAGGGACTTGGTCCAGTTCATGACAGTAGGGAGTTAGGGTTAATGAACGATGACAAAGGACTAGCTTTGTTCATTTCAGGCTTGACTAGAGACTTGTGATGGACAGTGATAACTTGAGATTGGCTATTGATAACTTGTGATGTAGGCCTACCTGTGCAGGCTGTGTTAACTTGCGAAAGCTATGATGGAGCTATAATAACTTGTATTGGACAATTTCTGTCATCCTACAGCCTACATTGTACATGTATGTACATGTATGTACATGTACATCCACTTGCTTTTTTCTTATCATCTACATGTATAAAGATGTTTGAGTTCTTTGAAATGGGAGGAAATACAAAAAAATTGGGCGTACGCTCAACTAAGAAAAGAAATTTTGTAATTGAAAATTTTTTTAAGGATATTTTTGTACATATATGTAGTTTAATCAAGAGCCCATGCCCCATAGAAAAATACATGTGTACACATACATGACATATGTTTACAGTTCTTTTGCAGATGGTTCCTTACATGCCTCAATTGCAAAAAATGAAATCTATACCTTCAAAGCAGATTACATGTGTATCAGTTACAATGTACGGATGGCTTGCGATTCTAAAATAAAGTTTCAGCAATGGTGAAATTCCAAAAAAAAAACATTGTCCCAAAATTGAAATGCTATGAAAATGAAATTGTTTTTAGTATTTTGCAACAACAGCAATCGACATGTAGGAAACTAAGGAAAGTCATTAGCTTTCTTTTCATATTTGGCTGGGTTCTGATATTACAGAAGCTGGACAGTAGGCTCATGCAAAATGTCAAAGCTTTTAGCCAGTCACTAATTGTTTCCTTCCTTCATTATGAACACCACGTTTGATGATTGTACGTTGGTTAAAGCTGTCTGTTCATGTACATGTAAATGTATGCACCGTGTTGATGTGCATGTAGTTTCTTTAAAGTCCTGTACATTGAGGAATACACATTATATATGTGTACTTGTATATGAAACATACGTACAAGTACACATGTACATGTACATTGTAGGCCTACACTTTAGACAATGTTACTAATTGTTAGATATGTTCCACTGTTCACGTTTACATGTATTTCAATTACATTTGAACGGGAGGTTACTTGTATACATGTACATGTATGTAACTGTGCATCAGATCTAATTTTGCCATTTGAAGTCTGATGTTATAACCATGACAAACTCTTACAACATGTACGTGTACGCATGTTAGCTTCAAAACTGCATTTTGGCCAAAAAATTTTAGTTCTGCTTCCGATTACTTGGCATTTGAAAATAGGGTAGGTACAATGTAGGTAGGATTTTTAAAAAAAAATTTGGCCATTTTTTGTGTGTACGATCATATGGCAGCGTCTGCGTGTAGTCAAGGGTAAAAGGTAGAAAATTGATGGTTTTGGATTTTTTTCTCATTTTCCCAATAAAAAAATTAGGGTAGGGGCTGTCAGAATAGGGTACATGTAGGTACCGGTAGGGAAACCGGAAGCTGAACTATTTTTTTTGTTGGCCTTACCATACAAAATACATTTGGATACATTGATTGACAATCTACATACACATGTATGTAACATACATGTACCAGTAAGTCTACATTCATGAGAAATCACTTGTTTTTTGGCTCAAAACAAAACTGCCCGATAAAGCTGCAGTGTGTGAATGCACACGTACACTGTTCCCCGTGTCTGGGTTTTACCGTTTTATAGCCACACATTTGATCAGAAGAAAACTGTAAAAAGCCTCCCATTATTGGTCTGGCCACTGCATGGAATCTCAAAGTCTGATTGGACCGGGCAAATTCCATCATTTATTCTGCATTCATTATCTCAGTTTGAGTGGTTTGAAGTACCTCTACACTTTTAATAAACATTTAGGGTTTACATGTACCTTAGGCCCTGAGGTGCACACCGTGTTCATACATCTACATGTACGGTACATACACTTTCTAGTAATAATAAAATTGTAAACTGGTAAAATTATTGTAAATTATGCAAACTTGTACAAGTACATGTATGTGCAGACTATGCACTGTTTCATTGTGTTGATAACTGTACCAGTGATTATACAGATCCTTAAATGAAAAGAGTTTTGTTTATGTTTCACTGTCATCGTGAATGGTTTATAAAGTCGGTAATCTCCAAAAAGAAATCCTTTCCTTTGATTATTAAAGACTAAGGCCAAATAAAAAAAAAAAAAAGTCGGTCTCTGGTCTGGTCAGACCAAAGTTCTGGAATTGATGCCGCGATGCGTTTGTTTTTTTGTTTTTTTCCAAGCTTGGATTGTACAGACAAGGTGGGTTCTACCAGTATTTTGCTTTTTTTGTGTCCTCATACATGTACCTTGGTGTCCTCCATCAATTGCCTTGGTGCCCACCATTTGCCTTTGTGTGCCCTTGCCCAGGTCAAGCTGCCCACGAAAATTTGACGTGGTGCGGCAAAAGAAGGTGCTGTTGTAGCTACCGCGGAAAATTTGAAAAAAAATAAAATAAATTTACACGCATGATCAAAATCGACATGGGCGCTGACCAGAGACCCACTACTTTTTTGGGGGGGCCTAAAAACCAGCAAAATTATTAACCAGAAATCATAAAAAGCAAACTTACATGTACCGGTATTGGTATGTATAAATTTCCAAAGGATGTTTTAAAGATATAGTCCATCATTTGTAATTTGTGCATTTTGTTCGTTTGAAGCAACAAAAGTGTTCAAAATCTAATGAAGGATACTGAACAACTAACCTGATGAAGTTTCAGCTCAGCTTCAGCTGTATATTCCGAGAAAAAAAACAGCATTCTAGGATCTCAATTTCAAATCAAAAGTTGCTGAATCATGTTTTGAATTGGGCCTGAATTCAGCGTCCGAGACGCGTTTTCACTGAGCCGATTGCAGCTATACGCGATGTCGCGCACTGATCCGACGAATTATAGCAACCGCGCACGCGTGTGCGTCATGCCAATGCTTGCGTGCGCTTCGCCTAATAACAAAACGAACTACATGTACTCATTTAAATTTTCCTACAGTGCGTCTTAAGATGCACCATAGGAAAGGCCTTCTTTCCTTGATTACTTCAAAATGACAGCTTGCCAGAAAGAATAATTTCACAGGGAGTTTATACATGTAGTCCCCTTACTATCTTCCAACCAAGTATGTTTTCAACAATAATTACGTCAGTTACTTTTCGGATGGCTGCAAATGATGGACTAGGCCTAGAGCTTTAATCTACAAAATTCCCTTGCACATGTATACTCTGAACGTACAGTTTCAGTGCATCTCTAGAGAGTTATAGGAGGAAGAGAGACCATTTGTCATTGAAGGGTCCTTCAGTACTCAGTTTCACAAGAGTACAGTATACATGTACACAGTCGCTAGTATGCATTCACAATAGCACTGTGCAGCATGTATTGTTTAACATACGGGGAGTTCAGGAAGTGAGCTTGTGTTACATAAATTGATCATCACTTGTAAAAATTAAGGTTAACACATTGGCTGCTCATACATGTAGGTCAATGTGAAGAACAGACTGTGTCATTGGCCGTTGAAAAACAAATAAAAACTTCTGCACAATATCAGCAATGCCTTTGAGAATTCAGGAGGAAAAGGGGAGGGGCTATATTTTTTCGGGGGGGGGGGGGGGAATACATGTACCTTTTCATCACTGATATTCATGAGCTAAAATGTATACATGTACCGGTACATGTACATGTACACATGTATGTTGAGTGTGTACTTCTACTATTCAAAGTACATGTATTTGGCTTCAAATTTTCTTTGTCAATCAACAGTTTATTTGCTAATCTGAAAGAGGAGAGTACCGTATTTCATGCTTTGCCTCCTCACCCCAATCCCCTCTCAAAATAGTTTCAGGCAGGGTCGTGTCTTGATGTCTTTTGAAACCCTGTTTATGGGTTTAACTTGTACATATACAGATCTACAAATACAAGCGGAGAGACTCCGATATGTCAGGATTTTTGCTAATTTCAAGATTTTTGGTCACGGTTTTTCCTGATTTGAGGAATTTTTTGGTCACGATTTTTCATGATTTCAGGATCTTAAAGACTCCCTTTTGAAAGACGTTTTTACTTGTAGTGTTTGAAAGGGGTGCACTCTGTGATGCCGACAACCTTCAAACTCTCTGTGGATTATTTCATGGATTTTCATTTTCTCCCAATCCCATCACAAGGTGCTCCACATTTGTCCAGTATTTGACACATGGACAACCTGTTCTTACACTCCCCTCAAGACAAAGTATACAGTGGCATTATCATGAGTATTTATCCTTTTGTTTGTACATATGCAGGACGAGTCTTGAAGAAATTACTACATGTTGGCAATTGTCTGAAGGTAAGATCACAAGACATATTTGTTAATGAATGCATAAAAGCTCAAAAAACTAATACGTTTTTGTAACGTGAGTGTAAAATGTGTGGAGCCGACGACCCACCAATTGACCCACAAGGTCAGCATGACACCAACCGTGTCATTTTCCTTCGTGCATTCCAGCCCTGCAATATATCTTATTTCCCTAGAGTTCACATGTCACTGATTCATGTTCAACCAGTTCAGTTTAAAGGGAATAAACATCATTTGCTTTTGCTGTAATTTGCAGAAATGGATGGAATTGGGGGGTTGGAAATATATACATGTAGCAAATATAGTTACACTGACTTTTTTGAGGTTTTGGGTTCGAAAATGCTATAAAAACCAAAAAAAACAATCATTTTCCTGTAGTCTGGTTCCCTGACTCCATTTAAGAAGAAACAGAGTAGTTTACATAAATTGGGGAATTGTAAGGTCAGGGAACCAGTCTAGCTGGCTTGTACCCGTTCATAGGTGTGTAATCGATTGCAAACAAGTGCGATGGTCAACTGGGGCCAGTATTTGAAAAAAAAAGCCAGTTTTTTCCAACGCTGGTCGGCCGATCAGCGTTGGAAATTGATACAAAAATACCACTTTTCTTGAAAATGACAGTATACCAGGTGCCATGATTTTACAGGATGCTTAACACTCATTCACTAAAAGTCCAGCAAGGTATTTCAAAATGATTTGGTAGTTTTATTTTTTGATGTTTGCAAATGTTATATTTTCCCTTTAAAGTTACATTACATGTTCCCCATGCTCTTTAACAAAATTAGATTTCTTTTTTTTCTCTTAAATGTCCAACTTGTATATTTTAATTCCAAGCAAAAAAACTCTATTTAGGGGGGGGGGGGAGGGGGAGGGGGGGGGAGCATCTGCAACACCATGGGGCACTGTGGTCCAATGGTTAGGGTGTTTGACTCGTGTGCTGTGGTACGGTCCATGGGTTCGAATTCTGATGGGGGACATGGTGCTTGTGCTCTTGAGAGGGCACTTTACCATTATTGCTTCGTCCTTCAGATGGGGCGTTAAGCCGTACCGTAGGTCCTGTGTGTTGTTGTGTGATGCACGTTAAAGAACCCAGTAACACATATCGCTACGAGAAGGGGTTTGCCCCGGTGTTTCTGGCAGTGGCTGCAATATGCGCCACAACTCCTTGCAAACCCTTATAAAGGTGCTACACGTACATAATGGGTGTCATATTCTAATTCATTTACGCACAATGTACCTGTCTTTAATTGCATTCTCCCCTAGCGCTTTGTATCCCTTGGAAAAGGCGCTTTATAAATATGGTTATTATTATTATTATTAACACCTTGGGGGAAAAAGGTTTATATTTTGGGCACTAACAGATCCACCTTGCGAGGAGACTGAATCCTGGTCTGCGCATGATTCGATACTGATTTTCGGATGGTAGCTAGCCTATCCTGCGAGAAGTGAATTATTGTAATTATTAGAATTAGAAATTGCTGAAGTAATGATTCAACATGTAAACGTCGGCTGATTTTTTTCGGTCGATGTCTCGTTCAAAGTGAATACCTTTTGTACTGTTATAGCAATTTAGAAAAGGAATTAATTTTTATAGATAAAACTAAAAAACAGCATAGGGAATGAAACTTTAAAGTTCTACCTCCACTCACAACACTTGCGTGTACTGGTACGTACATGTACAGCACATGACGGTCCAAAAGAAAACAGCAGTGAAGCATTTGTTACTTCATCAAACTGGAGTACCGTATACAAACTTAAAGGGAATGTACATCATTGGCTTTTGCTGTAATTTTCAGAAATGAACTATTTGAGGGGTTAGTATAATAGATCAAATATTGTTATACTGACATGTTTGAAGTTTTGTGTTCGAACATGCTGGAAAAACCAAGAAAAACAAAAATGTTTAAGTAGTCTGGTTCCCCGACTCCACTAAAGATAAAATGGATCAATTTATAGATGTCAGAAAATTGTAAGGTAAGGGAACCAGTCTAGCTGGCCTGCACCCGTTCATGAACATGTAACCAATAGCAAACAAAATTTGGACTGAATTTTTTTTGTAAATTTGGAGCAGCAGTTGAAAAATAGTTAGGTTTTTCCAACGGTGGTCGGCCGACCACCGTTGGAAATGTATACAAAAATACAATTTTCTTGAAACTGACTCGACACCAGGTGCCATAATTTTAAAGGATGCTTTAGGCTGGCATTTACAATGTACCAACATCCTAGTAAGGTATTTCGTAAAAACTTGGTAGTTTTATTTTTCGATGTTTGCAAATGTTGTATATTCCCTTTAACTTGTTCAGTTTGCATGTTATATCATAACCTGAAGAAATACTGGTACATAGACATACAACATGTCATAGAGAACTGGATTAAAAAGCAAAGCAAGCAGGCGATTAATAAAATGAACTGCCATATTGAAACAGGACCAGTAGTGTACATTGTACATTATTTTTTGTTTAAAAACAGAAAGTCAGAAACCCGATGGTTGTTACTGTCTTGATGAGTTGTTTCAGTTTGCATTTTGTGCTTGGCCCATTTTAAAGGTATTGTCAGTGTTTAAAGAGGTTGTGGAATGCTCGAAGACATTTCCGTCATTTTTCGGGTATATGTAGCCTAAGGTGTGATGAAATAAAAACGACTATTGTTTCTGTCATAAAATGAGTACAAAAGGTACTTTTGAGCGCTGTTTTTCAAGTTCTGTCATGCCTGTTTCGACCCGAATGTGCAATTTGTGTAAAAGTCGTCGTTGCGGGCAGCAAACAAAACACAGTAAATCGTGACGTAATAAACAGGACTCCCGATGCAGAGTAGCATAAACGAGTCCTGTTTATTACGTCACGATTTACTGTGTTTTGTTTGCTGCCCGCAACGACGACTTTTACACAAATTGCACGTTCGGGTCGAAACAGGACCTGAAAAATAGCTCTCAAAAGTACCCTTTGTACTCATTTCATGACAGAAACAATAGTCGTTTTTATTTCATCACACCTTAGGCTACATGTACATATACCCAAAAAATGACGGAAATGTCTTTGAGCATTCCACAACCTCTTTAACATGTAAATATATTTGACAGCCCCTTCCAGTGGACACTGGGAAAGAGATATTTGTTTTGATTTCCAAATTGGTTTCAGTTTCAATACAACTTTTATGGTCTGCTGAGTTCTCAGTTTCTCAGTTTTCAAAATGAAATGTACATGTAAGAATCATCCTTGTACATGTACATTATGTGTGTAAGTCATTGTATTGTGCGATGTAAGTGCTCATATAAGTGTCAGCTAGACAAAAAGCTGATATACTAGTACATGTACATATATGTATTCAAATTGGTATCTTTGATACTGCAATTTCATTGGTCTAGAACAGCCATTGTCCAGTCTCTACATCATGACCGTACATGTATATCATATGGGAGGATATATCGTTTGTCCCCCCCCCCCCACCACATTTTTTGTCCCCGAATAAAAGTTGTAGCCATGGTAGCCTACATTTGATTCTACACATGTAGCTCAGAAAAGCTGATTCATTATGACTCCAAACTCGAAAATGATGTTTAAATGATGATCTTTTGCTTAAAAAAATTGGTTAGAGTAGTCAGAAATTGCCTCAACTCACACCACAGAGCGTGTACATGTAGAATCCAAAATTTTCTGTTGGGGCTTCGCACTTCATGCTCGCATTAGTACTGATCTAGGTGTGTTCCCTCACCCCCCCCCCCCCCCCCCCCCCCCACTTTTGAGAAGCAATTGACGCCCTTTCATGATGTGTATCCCTCTGGTGTGAAAAATGCCATATCCTAACAGTCAACAATTGATTAAATGGCACAGTTGCAGAATGTGTCCTCCAATGTTGTGTTGTGACTCAAAATAACTGCTTGCCAATGCAATATCAGTGTACATAGACCTCATAGTCATAGGAATTACAAAGATGTAGGCCAACTCTATGCACATGTACACACTTTTGTACACGTGTACATAATACGTGAATCAGGAGAGTATGATTTTTTTTAAAGGGAATATACATCATTTGCTTTTGCTGTAATTTTCAGAAATGGATGGAATTGGGGGGGGGGTTGGAAATATATAGCAAATATAGTTACACTGACTTTTTTGAGGTTGTGGGTTCGAAAATGCTATAAAAACCAAGAAAAACAATCATTTTCCTGTAGTCTGGTTCCCTGACTCCATATAAGAAGAAACAGAGCAGTGACTCCATATAAGAAGAAACAGAGCAGTTTACATACATTGGGGAATTGTAAGGTCAGGGAACCAGTCTAGCTGGCTTGTACCCGTTCATACATGTAGGTGTGTAATCGATTGCAAACAAGTGCGATGGTCAATTGGGGCCAGAATTTGAAAAAAAGCCAGTTTTTTCCAACGCTGGTCGGCCGACCAGCGTTGGAAATTGATACAAAAATACCACTTTTCTTGAAAATGACAGTATACCAGGTGCCATGATTTTACAGGATGCTTTACACTGTCATTCACTAACAGTCCAGCAAGGTATTTCAAAATGATTTGGTAGTTTTATTTTTTGATGTTTGCAAATGTTGTATTTTCCCTTTAAATTAAAGTTGCATTCCCTGTGGTACTGGTCTTCAACAAAATTCAATTTTTTGTTTCTCTATAATTTGTATGTTTTGGATATCTGCGACCTTCTGGAATTTTTTGTTTGTTTTGGGCACAAAGTGGCAAGACGAGATTTTGCGTAATTACATGCACGTGTAGTTATGATGCACAAGTAAATATACAATGTATGTATGTGCATTTCTCCTTGTAAATGTAACCTTTAATAGAATAGACGGACATTCCACAAGATATTATGTATAATATTCATGAGGAGATCTATAGAGACATACCCTTGTCAAAATGCAGTGTGCATACATGTGAGACCATGGGACATGAGGGAAATGCAACTTGCGTGACCCACAACCCTACATCCTGGTGGGAGCAGCTGTGTGCATGGGGGAACCATCATAGCTACTCCAAGGGATTCGGCCTGTATGCCACTGGCTTATTAGAAACTTCTAATTCAGTCCTGACATTCATCAAATGTGTACTTGGGTCATTCGATAAATTTGGGGTCCACTTTTTTTTTCCTGTCCCTGTTACATCTGACATTTATGATTTTATAATTTTAATTCACTCCTTAAAGGGAACATCATTTGCTTTTGCTATAATTTTCAGAAATGGATGGAGTTGGGGGTTGGTAATATATAGCAAATATTCTTACACTGACTTTTTTGACATTTTGGGTTCATAGATGCTATAAAAACCAAGAAAAACAATCATTTTCCCGTAGTCTGATTCCCTGACTCCATTTAAGATGAAACGGAGCAATTCATAGATGTTGGGGAATTATAAGGTCAGGGAACCAGTCTAGCTGGCTTGTACCCGTTCATAGGTGTGAAATCGATTGCAAACAAATGCGGACTAACTACATGTGTAAATATGGTCAATTGGGGCCAGCATTTGAAAAAAGCCAGTTTTTTCCAACGCTGGTCGGCTGACCAGCATTGGAAATTGATACGAAAATACCACTTTTCTTGAAAATGACAGTATACCAAGTGCCATGATTTTACAGGATGCTTTACACTGTCATTCACTAACAGTCCAGCAAGGTACATGTGTATTTCAAAACAATTTGCTGGTTTTATTTTGTGATGTTTGCAAATGTTGTATTTTCCCTTTAAAGGTAATATACATCATTTACTTTTGCTGTAATTTTCAGAGATGGATGGATTTGGGGGTTAGTATTTTATAGTAAACATTGTTACACTGACTTGTGTGAAGTTTTGTGTTCATAGATGCTGGGGAAAAAAAACAAGAAATAATGGTGTTCTTGTAGTCTGGCTCCCTGACCCTAATTCAGCTAGACGAAAGGGAGCAATGTATAGACGTCGAGGAATTTTCAGGTCCGGGAACCAGACTAGCTGGCTTGCACCCGTTCAATTCATGGATGTGTAACCAGTTGCAAGCAAAATGTGGACTAACTAGATTTGATAAATTGGGGGCAGTATTTGAAAAAAAAGTCTTCTTTTTTTTCCAACGATGGTTGGCTGACCATCGTTGGAAATTGATACAAAGATTTCACTTTTCTTGAAAATGAAAGCATACATGTATGTACCAGGTTCCATGATTTCACAGGATGCTTGAGACTTGTAATCACTTACAGTCCAGTAAGGTATTTCATAATAATTTGGTAGGTTTGTTTTTTGATGTTTGCAAATATGTAACATTTTAATGCAGTCATTCTACAAGATTGATTATGAATAACAAACTACCTACCTACATGTACCTAATCAATAAAAAAATTGTTTGAAGTCATTCTATTAGAATGACACTTGCATGGCAAATTACACAAAGTTCAGAGTAACAGGGACTGGGAAAATGTCACACTTTGGACCCCAGAATTAAAGAATGACCAACATGCTACGGTATGGTTTTGGTGTTCATGTACATGTACATTTTACCTGTACAGCATACCGGTATATTTACTTGTACTCCAGTGCCAACACATCTAGACTAGCTAAGGGAGGATCAAAACACACTTGGACACAGAATCAAGTGACTGGTTTCAAAGTTGGGGGCGGGGGCAAGATACATGTACGTACCCGTCCCTTTTGCCATTTTCACTAAGTACTGACATACGTGCAGTATGTATTCATATGTATGGTACATATAGCTTTGTATCTTTCTTTTAAATGGCTAAAGTGAGATCCTTAATTTAAGGTGAACAACATCTGTTTCTTACTTTTTTTCATGTGTCTCGCCTGCACTGACATGAGTGTCCTTAATTATTTAGGCAAAATTATCTAAGCATCTAGGGGTTTTTTTCCAGTCAAAATGTACATTTCAAAAGGTGTCCAGAAAGAGATTGATTTCAAATATTCTTGTTTTTGCCCTTAAAATCTGTCTTTTGAGAAGTGTGTTTATAGGTACAGGTACATTGTACCTTTGTAGCTGACTTGATATTGTATCCACCCTATTAATATTTGAAAGTGGATGATGTACCAGTAGCCTACCCGAATTTATAAATTCTTGTTGACGATTTCTGATAACAGTGGGACTTGGATTTAGTGTACATGGACATAATGCTAATTTCAGTTAAAGGGAATATACAACATTTGCAAACATCGAAAAATAAAACTACCAAGTTTTTCGAAATACCTTAATAGGATGTTGGTAAATGACAGTCTAAAGCATCCTGTAAAATTATGGCACCTGGTATACTGTCATTTTCACGAAAAGTGGTATTTTTGTATCAATTTCCAACGCTGATCGGCCGATCAGCGTTGGAAACAACTGGCTTTTTTTCAAATACTGGCCCCAATTGACCATTGCACTTGTTTGCAATCGATTACAAACCTATGAACGGGTACGAGCCAGCTAGACTGGTTCCCTGACCTTACAATTCCCCAATGTATGTAAACTGCTCTGTTTCTTCTTATATGGAGTCAGGGAACCAGACTACAGGAAAATGATCGTTTTTCTTGGTTTTTATAGCATTTTCGAACCCAAAACCTCCAAAAAGTCAGTGTAACTATATTTGCTTTATATTTCCAACCCCCCAATTCCATCCATTTCTGAAAATTACAGCAAAAGCAAATGATGTATATTCCCTTTAAGTCATTATGCGTATCCTATATGTTTGCCCATATCTGCAGATCCGAATGGATGGCTTACGGCTGTTCCTGCTGTGGTTCATGGCACTTCAAGAGAACTCGACAGAGGAGGCCTATCTGATCTATGCTACCCTCATTCATGGCTTCCCAACGCCGCCTTCCATACAAGGCACCCCCCTGGAGTCCATCATGACCCATACTATACGGCCGCCAGTCAATTCAGACTGTAAGTGCACTTGTGGGAAGACTGCCCCCCCCCCCTCTCTCCCCCCCCCCCCCCTCCCCCCCCCCCCGAAAAATAAAATTCAAATCAATTTATGTAATCCTTTACTAAGGAAATAAATGTGTGATTGGGAGGTATTAAACACTATGTTTAAGACGAGTTGGAGTCTGGATGCTGAGCTGAGCTGAAGGTGAGGGTAATTATCAGCATCCAGACTCCAACTGGTCTTAAACATAGTGTTTAATACCGACCAAGCACATATTTATTCCAATTCATAAATAGTTTTTCGGTTAAAAACAAAAATCCTTTTCAGTCCACAAGAGTAAAAACAAGTCAAAAATTATAATTTTCCAATGATTTGGGTATACAAAACACCCTCTACATGTAGCTATCAATGATAAGGCCCTCTGGTTAACAACTCCGTATATGGAGATTGGCTTGCGCGTACTGAGTGATGTTGCGCAGAACGCAGATGTACAGGTGTGGTGTGAATTTAGGATTACGAAATACTGACTCACTGGTAGTATTGCGCATGCCGACGTGAGGATTGTGAATGTCCAACCAATAAACGGTGCTGGCACCGGATTTCATGGGAGTCCACATTTCATGTGACACTGGAAAAGTGTTTAAGACCAACCAGCCATGTCTTTATCAACCATTTAAAACCAGCCACGTGATGGGCTTTCAACCAATAGGAATGGGTAAACTGTCTTAGGTACAATGTTTTTATGAATAAACATTTGTATTCCCTGTGTTCATTCACTCTAAGCCATAGCCCATCAAAATAAATAACTGTCCAGAGATTTGTCTTATGGTGAGGATTGGAACTGACCAGAGTCTGACTGGGACCTTTGCTTTGCCGCAGACCAAGTTCAGGACGTGGAGATCTTGCCCATCATTCCTTGCCAGCCAGGAGACAAGGTACCAGACAATCTGAACAGACTCATGCTGGAGGCTGTACTCCACTTCAGTGTCTCACAGGTAAGGCTGCGTCCGAATGACTCGGCTGTGGCTTGCATCTACACATGCCCCTATGGAGAGCGGCTGTAGCCACATCCAATAGATGCACGTGCAGTGCCGGCATAGCCACATAATAAAGACACCACCTAAGTACATCGGTTTCAGCATAGTGTAGACCTCAATTGTGTGGTCCATTGAGTGCCACCCATTGCACACTGGGCAACGTCACATGCTCCTCGCCAATGGCACACTGCATTCTCAGCTGCGTGCGTCATACTAGCATAAATGCATGCCAGACTTGTATGCACACAATTTGGACATAACCCTAACCCTCCTTAATCCTCCAAAATCCTCCTGCCGGATTTGGACGATTTTAGACGATTGGGGATGAATGGCAAAGATGTATCGCTTTTTTTGTGGAGGATGCATTATGTCAAGCCAGTAGGCCATATCCTGCATTGGTTATGTTCAGCCATGCATAAACCAGCCCTGTGTTTTTCTCGTATTTCATCCGCACTGCTTCTAAATGCTGTTCGCACTGCCTCAAACCATAGCAGTAATCGGCAGAGGATTTTGGAGGATTAAGGCAGTGGTCACTCTCCACGGACTAAATTCAAGAAATAACGGATGGTTTTGGAGGATTGAGGCTGAATCAAATTTTTCTTGGTGGCAATTGGAGCATTTTGCAGGATTGAGGTTGCATCCTAGCCAGAGGGCCTAGGGGGTTAGGGTTAATCACACCTGTGAAGTTTGGTCCAAATATCTTGGGGCAAGGCTTTATGCATCAGTCCTATTGTTCTCACATCCTCTCAGATCTAATACATTGTATCAAATAAATTGTCGACACTGGCCAAAACAAAAAATTATAAATAAAAAAAAATTAAAAACCAACAGACTCTTACCTTGACTTGTAAGGACAACTACAGATTGACTTCATGCATTGCTTCATAGTGAACACCATCCTCTCTCATTTGTTGTGTTTACGTTTCTGTCCCCATCACTCCTGTTTCACTGCAATATCAGATTTGAACCGGCCAGCTGATCTGGTAACCTCGGTGGTCGATGGTAAGACGACTGCACTATTAAACAGGATCGGTCTTTGGTTCAAGTCCCACCCGAGGAAGTTTATGATTTTGAACTCTCGTCTCTTTCTCCCCTCAGCTCATGAAGATGCATTGGAAGGAGCAGCGGAGGCACGAGGAGAGCTTCATCTTTCTCCTGGACAACTTCCGCCAGTATTACCTGCCCCACATCTTCCCTGGATTCTCCTTTGACACCAGCCTCTATAAACCAAACCTCGGTGAGATGAACCCCCCCCCCCCCTTCCAAATTTCCTCAAACCCACCAGGGTTCGAGCAAGAAACTCTGCTCAACGCAACCTAAAATGTAGAACGGTTGTCAGAGTTAGAAGCCTGTTCTGTGTAACAAGATCCAAAGGTTCCCAAGGCTAAACAACCACAAAGTTTGATGGCCTCAGCTGGACCCAACAGTCGAATGGTTCAATTGAACTGGCTACCTTTGTCTCAGAATAGGCAGTGTTATGGTACTACTGTTGGTTGCTCAATGCAATAAGGTCCCATAGACTTTTACACTTGTTGATCTGATACACCGTGCCCTCTGGAGACATGCACACAATAGGTAACAAAAGATTGTATACGTCTCCACAGGGCAATTTCTAGAGATGAATACGTCTCCACAAGGTTTTCACGAAATAGATACATGGATTTTACTCAAAAACTAGGAATTTCCAAGGTATTTTGATCTGTCGCAAATGGTAGAGTTTTAGAAAAGGTATATTAAGTCAGAATTTCAGCCTAAGTAATTAATTCTAGTTAAAATAAGAGCATGTTGAAACTACACTTTCAAACTCGAAAATTTTACTACACGAGAACAAAGAAATGTCTCCACAAGGATACAAATTTCAGTATAGGTGCACCATGTGTGTGTCTGGTGGGTTTGGGGTTTTTACATGAACATTGTTTGTAATATTGAAACCATTTGCTCCTCAAAAGTGCACTGCCAGTATAGCTTGGAAGCCCAAGAAACCTGGAGTGGGAAGCGGAAAAAAAGAAATGTTCTCTTAAGGAAGTAGAAAGCAAAATTCAAGTGTAATTTTCTAAGACCAACAACAAGCAGGAGATTCTCATTGCCAGGTTGATACAGAATTTCATTAGATTGGTAAATCATTTGAAAGTTTGGTTGGGGGGGGGATGGATTTGTTTTTGCAACACAACAAAAATTGAAGGGAAAGGTTTTCATTGAGAAATCAGAGAGAATAAAAAAATATACTGATAAAATATTTCACTGTATTTAAGAATCTATAAATGCAGATTTCAATGCACACAAACTGTAATTTTGTTTAATTCTTTTCTACTCACATCTTAAGGACGATAAGTAGTATATGTCATTTGGTAATACATGTATGCATGTATATTTTACTGGTCATATTCTCCCCTTGTTTGCAAATGTGCAGAGATTCCCGGCTCAAGATTCACATCAAGCTCCATTCTCAGCACTACCTTTGGCAGTTACGATCCCATGTTGTTGTGCAGAGTCAGCGTGGTACAATGGGTGGTGTCCTTCATTACAGTCAAGAAGGCAGACAATAGTACCATCAGGTATGTTACTGCGACAGAAAAGAAACCTCAGTTAAGCACGGAAATGTGCTCAGTGCAGAAAATACCTGCTTAGCGCAAACACTTGACCTTTACAGTATGATGTATACTGTTGTAACAGGTTGTCTGAGGTTTTTGGTTTTTGCTCATTACATCAACAGTGACATTTTCTGCTTACTGTAGGGTAAGCAGGAAATTTCATGAGAAATTGTGGAATCGTGTGCATATATTTCCCATAACTAAGTGTTATGTACTAGCCAAGGTCAATTGAAAAGGAAAAAAAAGGTAGAAAGGAGCCAGTTTGCAGAGGAAAATGAAATTTGTGTTTCCGATGATAAATTTCGTTGTTCAACAGAGTTGTAATGACTCAAGTCAATGACTCAACTCGAGTCCGACTCAAGGCACAATTTTTGGTGAGTCGACTCGATTCGAGTCCCAATGGCTAATTGACTCGACTCGACTGAAGTCACTGAGAGCAAATGACTCGATTCGAGTTCCTCATCAGAAGAGTCGACTCGACTCAACTCAAGTTGAAGGCTAATAACACTCGAGTCCCAAAACTGTGCGAAAATATATTTGCGGTGACTTGCGGTGCAAAGTTATTAATGTTTGCACGCGTACTTTGCGTTACCGCTTATTATCACGTACAAATATACATGTAAGCCGTATCACAAACCCCCGAGTTCCACCTCGTGGTTTATAATGTATCGCTCCAACTGCTATCCTCGAACCACACCTTAAACACATTTCCAAATTCCTGGTTTCATCATCGGCTTCGGGACGATTTCTTAAGTCCTTGATGGAACTCGGGCTAAACTTATTAATTTATTCCAGACCCGAAGCCAAACAAGAGATAAAACCAAAGTTTCACTTCTTGATAGAATTGTTACTTAGATGTAGATCCTTGGTAGAAACGTGAGCACAAACTACGTATTGGGTACAGTGCAGCATAGTCTTTTGATCTTCATAATAAATTGGTGCCTTTGTTCCTTCTTCCATTCTGTAATTCATTAGATGGTGTTCAAATGTCAGTGACTTGAATTGACTTGAGCATAAATTTGACTCGACTCGACCACACATGAAGTCCACTACATGTCCAGTCACAAGTACATCACAAGTCTATTCACAAGTAACAGTGGATGAACAATAACAAGGAAAATGCTTTTGTCAAAGCTTATTTGAAGAGCTTATGTTTAGAATTGGGACTGGAGGACTTGTGATGGACTTGCAGGGACTTGTGTTGGACTCGACTGTGTCCCTGGTTGAAAGTGATGATTTTTTTCCTCGCTGAATCTCTGTAAACTCAGTGCCTTGCAAGAAGAAAAGCAGGAGAGTCAGAAGGACTCGTTGGAGCGCAAGCTGGACGCCTCCTTGATCAAGGACGGGGAGACGCCCACCGTCAGTCCCAGCACCACCCTCAACAACAAGGAGCAGAACTCCCTGCTGGGGGCCGGCGGCAGCGTCGTGGGCCTGGTGCCCACCGCGCTGTCCCCGGAAGAAGAGGAACTGCTGGAGATTTCCAGGCAGATTGTGCAGAAGGTCTTCTACTCCTCGCGGGGGAATATCAACTTTGTGCACGAGGTGCTGAGGCAGGTGAGGCAATAAGCTTAGCAGGTTTATTAATTTTCTGCATGAGGTGCTGAGGCAGCTGAGGCAATAAGCTTAGGAGGTTTATTAACTTTGTGCACGAGGTGCTGAGGCAGCTGAGGCAATAAGCTTAGGAGGTTTATCAACTTTGTGCATGAGGTGCTGAGGCAGGTCAGGCAATAAGCTTAGGAAGTTTATCAACTTTGTGTACGAGGTGCTGAGGCAGCTGAGGTAATAAGCTTAGCAGGTTTGTTAATTTTGTGCACGAGGTGCTGAGGCAGCTGAGGCAATAAGCTTAGGAGGTTTATCAAGTTTGTGCACAAGGTTTTGAGGCAGCTGAGGCAGCTGAGGCAATGAGCTTAGGAGGTTTATCAACTTTGTGCACGAGGTGCTGAGGCAGGTCAGGCAATAAGCTTAGGAGGTTTCTTGGGGGGATAGGTCAATGTTGAGGTTGAGTTTGGATGAATCTTGAGGATAAAGGTGTACTGTCAATACATGGGAATGTAAGGACAATTTGACTCTCTTTCCTAATAGCTGCAAACTCTCATTTTGACCTCTGCCCAGTTCTGTCTCATTTTGCCAGAACGCCTCACAATATGTGTGATTGCAAGTCCAATGGAGTCCATCTGAGATCCAACCCAACAAAATGAGTCACGAGTCTCAGGAGGAGTTGCCTTTGAGTAATTTACCAATCCTGCACAATGGAAATCAGTACAGACTTTTAACATTTCAACATAATGTCTACAAATATTAGAATGTCAAAAAGAGTGATGTATCAGAATCAAGAAGCGAGTAAGCTTTTTCTACTGAATGTAAAAAGGCAATAACCGAAGAGTAAAAAAGAGAAGGTCCTTATTTTTTCATGGGATCCGCTCACGTGTCACAGCATGTCTCCATATTTGCTTTGGATGGTTATTTCTGATGGTCCTGTCTCATGTTTAGTAACAAAGTTAACATTGTCACACTGACTCTGCAATTTCCGTCTTGGTTTTAATACATTGAATGAATCATCCTTTTTGTTTTCAGGGTTTTTAGTCTGAAGTTTTGGCAGTTCTTTTTTTTCTGAATGCTTGCTTAGTTTTCAGATTCAGTTCTAGCAGTGTCACAAAATATTGCTTCAAAAGTTATGAAATGAATCCTGAAGCTCCCCACCAGCTTATACAGGGTGGATAAAAAAAAACCGAAACTGAGATTTTTTTGCTAATTGGAACAGAAGTAGGGCACATGTTAATCAAAGAGAGATATCTTCTGTTAGGGTTGAATCTCCTCTTTAAAATGACACCCTGATCATGTCCTTACATTCACGGTTGACTGAGCAGTGACCAATTTTACGAAAGGGTCTATTTTGATTGGCAACCATAGCCTTTCACTCTGTGACAATTGACACAACAAAAATTTCAATTGAAAAGTGGCGCAATTCTCTATATAGACCCCTTCATAAAATTGGTCACTGCTCAGTCAACCGTGAATGTAATGACATGACCAGGGTGTCATTTTAAAGAGGACATTCAACCCTAATAGAAGATACATGTGTCTCCCTTTGATTCACATGTGACCTACTTCTGTTCCAATTAGCAATAATATCTTGGTTTCCTTTTTTTTTTTATCCACCCTGTAGAGTACACCCTACAGTAATAAAAGAAGAAGAAAAAAGACAAGAAAGTTCTCAGTTAGGCTTTACACTTGAACACCAGATTTTTTTTTTGCAAACCATCTGAATAAGTCTTATTCACCCACCGTGGGCTGACCTTCCCTTTCCTGTCCCTTTTGCTGTGATTTTCCTCAGGGATTCCTCCTACCCATGTCTGAGGCTGGAGCGGTCAGGAAAGCACTCAGGATATACAATGACTGGATCCAGGTAAGACCCCAGCCCACACACAAGACAACCACTTCCTGCCAGAAGCCATTCAAAACTTGCTCATACTACACAGGGCTCAGGTTTTTGTCAGGCAAAATGGCTACGCTTTTGGTGTTTGAAAAAAGGAATTGGTTTTTTTTTAAGTAATTAAAGTTGCTTTCCTTGTGCTCTTCAACAAATTCATTTTTTTTTTCTATTAATACATTTTCAAGTTGTACGTTTATTCCAACCTAAAAGTTTTTTTTTTTTTTTTGCGTCTGCAACCTTCTAAACAAAAGGTTTTTGTTTTGGGCACAAACAGGACCGTTTTGAAAGTAGACTGGCTCCTAATCTGTACATTGTTGATACTGATTGTGGGGCAGGAACCAGCCTATCCCGCGATAACAGAATTATTGTCTGGCAGCCAATTATTCTAAATTATTAAGTACATAATTACTGAACATTGGCCGATTTGTTTTCTTTGGGGGGGTGTCGATGTCTCATTCAAAAGTGACTAACTTTTGTTTTGCTTGGAAAAAAAAGCAGTTTAGGAAAGGAATCTATTATTCAGGATGAAATTCAAAAATAGCACGGGGTATGCATTTTTAAGTAATTAAGTTGTACTTTTTTTTCGAATTCAGACCCCCAACACTACTTTTGTTTTAAAATAAATTGCTATTTTTCTAGCTGTACAAAAGTCATCCACATTTGAATGAGACATTGACTTAATAAAAAATCAGCCCACTTTTTAGAAACGGAATAAGTACTTTATTTAGGGACTGACAATGATTCAAGCAAATTGTTAAGGGGTGCAAAAGCAACCCAAAAATAAAATATTTGAATTTAAATGGTAATCCTGCAGATGCCTAAAATAGAAAAAAAAAGGAGTCCTTCTGTTCAAGTACAACATTTTGAAATGTTGTTTGGAGAAAAAAAATATCAAATTTATTGAAGAGCAGACGTAAAGCAACTTTGAAGTAGAGAAAGTTACAATGTACCGCTGCACTAACCTCAGAAACGGTGAAATGTGGTCCCTCAGAAACCAAGTTCATGCTAACATATTTTGTCTGAAATCTGTGCTCAAAGAGTAAAGCGGATGGCACCTTCGGAAAATGTCCAAAGAAATGATTTTGCTATATTCAGTTGTTGCAATGCTCACAACTTTAAATTGAATTGATATTGAAAAACTTTCTTAATATTTTTGTTTCACAAAACTATTCCGGCTATTTTTTATTTTTTTTTTTTTTGGATCAAACTCAACGTTTCTGTGTTTTTAAATGCAAGTTTCATTTACTACAAAGACAAAATTAACACTTGAAAAAAATTGGTTAAAATGTATTTTTGGGGGGGGGGGGGGAGGTCAGGGGCGGCAAAAAGTTGTTTTTGTCTGATGTTTCCGATCACTGCCTGATTTGCAGCATTCTGAACTTGTCCCTCCTTTCATGCACATAATTCTAACAGACATTACACTGCCATTTTTAAATTGTTGTGGGCTTTGCTCAGATATTAAAGGTCATCAATACATCGACAAAAGTGTGTTTTGAGTGCCGACAGCTTCAAAAATTGCTGCTATGGTGTTGTAAAAACCTTACCCATTCTCCTACACATGTAAATCAATGCCGTGGGCTCCGTGCGCGAACAAGAGAGGGCGCTATTTGACCACTTTCAAGAGCGCGGTGAGCAGTACACACGTCGTGTGCAAACTGTTTGGCGCGCTTGCAATGCAAAGTTACATGGCTAACTGTATTCTGAATGTGCACAAAGTCGTAGCGTTTTTGCGTGAGTGTGAGCTGTTGTTGGGAGTGTCTCTCCCAGTGGTCTCCCTCAACTCTCCCTTTCTTACCATTGAGGGGGTACTTGTGCACGGAGCCCATCGGCCCATTCATTCCATCCATATCCGCCCACCATTCAGGCCCAGCTTACTGCCAAACCCATATTCATGGAGGAGCCCTCCCCCAAGGTAACGGTAGCCGTGGTGCCCGCGTCATCACCGCTGGGCGCTAGTGAGGGAGTGAACGAGGTGGACAGTCCGTCCTACGAACAAATCCGATCCTTTGAGGACGCCTCGCCGCAGGTATGTTACTACTCTGCATGAGCAAGTACAGTCTGGTTCCCTGCCTTCTTGTTATTTCCAACTACACCTCCTGATATTTGGTTAGTGAGTCGGTTGCTACAGGACTACATGGTTAACCGTAGGTAGCATGAAGTTTTAAAACTCCGTATAGACTAATTTAGTGACCTCAATTATAAGACATTTTTGAGGTGGAACCCGGCTCGCGCCCATGCTGCACACACTCCGACTCCTTTGACCAAAATGCACGCGTGCCTTGTCTTTAAGAACACGTGCGACATGCGCTCGAACTTGGTTTCACCTCAAAGTGGGCTTCTCATTTTGTTTGGCCAATTTGTCTACACCCGGCATGCATTTATTAGAACTCTTCAGACAGTTTTTCCCAAGATTGTTCCTGATTCTTTACAAATCAACCACGATGGCAAGACTCAATGGCACATTTTGAGTACACTGGAACTCTCAAGGTTTATCAAAGCCCCATGAAAAGTAAAGGCTTTATTCACGAGTTGGCCATATTGAATTGAAAGCGAGGTAAAATCTTCGTTTTTGGAACTCATGAATAGAAATGAAAGCAATGAAATAAAGTTAATTACAAATTAATACCAGTCTGCTCTGATGCATTTGTGATTAAACATATCCTAATGTTTTAAGCCACATTTAAAAAAAAAAAATGACAGTGAGGCTTGAAACGGATATATAGTCTGGCAAAATGTCCATTCAACAGTCTTCAATTTATTAAATACATTCAGGGAACACGATTAAAAATGGCTTCCTCGTGAGTAAGGTCTATAGTGACTGGGCTCTACCTCCAAAATACTCCAAAACGCCTGATTGATTTTGAAGGATTGAGGAGGGTTGGGTTAACGTTTGAGGCAGAGAATGGTCCAATTCATACTCTCAGTTAACTTCTGATCGATCACAAAACGACATCTCATGCAGTGCTAAGTAACATGTTTTAAAAAAAAAAATATTATTCAACCCTCAAAACCACGCATAAAGTCAAATTAACCCAACCATTCCATTAATTTTCAAGCTGAATTTCATTTTATTCGGCAAGCAGAGGATTTGACTAACAAGCAGCCAGAAGCATTTTCGGACTTGCGATCTTCGCAGTATGCTTAAACCATTAACACATATTTGTATCATTTTGCTTTCTCAAGAATTTGGCCAGTGGGTGGGAATTCTTTTCTTGAATTGTTGGTATTTTAATGTTTTTATTTGATTAATTTTAATGATTTATCCAAGTACATTTACATCTTGTCAACTAGCCTCCATATATTTAGATTTTGTGTTTGCACTGAGGTTCTCTCAAAGCCTGGGGGTTTTTTTGCATGAAGAATGTTTTCAAACACTTACATTTTAAAATCAAGATCAGAGGGCCAAGATGTACTCATTTTTTTTGTTTTAGAGTTTATCATACATGTCTATACGACCTCACTGGAGTGCTGTGGCCTCGTGGTTAAGGGCATTGGATTCGTGGTCTGCGGGTAAAGCTGCAGGTTGTGGGTTCGAGTCCAGCCCGGGGTCATGGTGCGTGTGCCCTTGGGCAAAACACTTTGTCACTCATTGCTTCTCTCCACCCAGGAGTAAATGGGTACCTGTGAGGGCAGAGATGGTTATTGTGATTGAATTAGCTTCCTTGCGCCTAACAGAGCTGTATACTCCCCAGGGAGCTGAGATGGTACTTGTAATGTTTCATTGGCCCAGTGAGCAGGGGTAATAATGATGTAGCGCCTTGAGCACCAGTCCTGGTGGATGGGTTTATAAATACCCACTATTATGCACTCATCAAAATGAATTGAAGTTACCTTTTGAGTCATCAGCAAATGCCAGGGTTCGAAATTAGCGGTAGCCCGCCAGCCAAATGCCAGTCAAAACAGCGGCGGGCTAATCAAACTATTCCTTAAGTAGCCCGGCTGGTGAGTCAAAAAATTATTGGGATACAGCAAAGATGAGCGGACAGGAAGAAACAAATTATTAAATTCAGAAAGAAAGCCTCATCAATTTGTGTCTAATTTTATGGTTAAATTATTAGTTCTGTTTATTAAAAACACTGACAAAATTGCCTCAGAATTGAGCCTGAAAATACGCCATTTTATATTTGAGCCGAAAAAAGAAAGGCGGGCTAGTGAAAATGTCCCCAGGCTAGTTAAGAGGCTGTTTCAGTAGCCCGGCTGGCTAGTGAACAAAAAAAGTTAAGGTCGAACCCTGGCAAATGCCCTCTCATTCTCTCATTCTCTGATTTCTATTTCGGCTTCTCTAGCCTGAAGCGTGTCAACCCCTGCTCCCTTCACCTACGACGTTAAAGAGCCAGGGCAGCCGGTCCTATCTAGGTGCCATTAACGAGGCCATCAAGGAAGGCCTTAAGAACTGCAACGTTGAGGCGGGCCTGCAGGCCACCATCCAGGTCTTCATCACCAACTCGGCCAATGTGTTCCTGCTGGAACCGGTGCCCAACAGCCAGCAGCAGGCCATCAAGGATCAGGTCAGGGCATAAAGACGCAATTGCAATTCGAGTCACAAGATGGGTCACAAGACAGGTCACAGGTTTATCACAAGTCAGTCACAAGTTTATCACAAGTCAATCTCAAGCCAGTCACATGCCAGTCACATGCCAATTACACACAACTCGATCAATATATTCTTACTGGAACCAGCGCCGAACAGTCGGCAGCAGGCTATCAAGGATCATGTCAGACCAGAGAAAATTGTAAACACAAGTCAATCACAAGCCAATCACAAGCCAATCATACACAAATACAAGTTAAATCACAAGACTGGTCACAAGTCAATCACAAGTCAATCACAAGCCAGTCACATGTCAGTCACAAGTCAATCACACACAAACTACAAGTCAATCACAAGCCAGGTCACAAGTCAATCACAGCCAATCACACACAAACTACAAGTGAAATCACAAGTTAATCACAAGTCATTGTCAGTGGTCATATTAATATGCGAATAATTTGGGATCATATTCAAAATCTTCATCAGCGGTCAATTTTAAATCCAACGTATGGAGTTCCTTCAGAATCTGTGTCATTTTACGGAAATACACTTACAGAGTAATGGTTAGAATATAGATTACATTAGAGCCTATTTCAGGAGACCTTTTTTTGAGTTTCGGATGAACACTCACAGTTAGAGCGTGGGCAAGGAATCAGAAAATTTGCAACTGAAGTTCATACCTTGTTTGAACACGAACAGGTGGAGATATGCAAGCGAGTCTTGAAGCTGTACAGGCACGTCGTCATGAACGTCTCCATGGAAACCAGAACGTGGGAGCAGCTCCTGATGGTGTTACTGCGCGTGACGGAAGGCGTGTTGGGCGGGGCGCCCTCACGGTCGCGACTCAGTCTCGGCCAGCAACTAGCGCAGATCCTGTTCCAGGTAAGGACTTGGTTGGACCTCTCGATGCTGGTTTCAAATATGTGAGGCGTTCGGGCAAATTGAGACACAACTGGGCAGAGGTCCAAATGAGGGTTTGCAGGTATTGGGAAAGAGAGTCAGGTTGGCGTAGCGGTACTTTCCTCGCCTTCCACCGCTGTGACCCGGGTTCGATTCCTGCCTGGGCCTATAGTTATAGGTCTCTTCAAATGATGTCATTTCCTACAGACCAGCCACATGCATCGGCTTTTTGGGCGTCAACTTGCATAATGCGCATGGGGTGGGTCGTATTTCGAACACATTTGGAACTTTTTCACCACTGTGCAATGCGTGCTTGATTGCGTTAAATACTCAGTTGCAGCTCTCCTACAGAGATGGCCGTCATTGAGCGAGCCCTATATGGATTGGGTTTTCAGTCCCTACTGGATTCTGTGGGTTTTCCCCAGGATATTCTTCTGGGCTTTTCCTCTCACATCTAAAACTGTGATTTGATCGCATTAGCTTCTCTTTAGTGGGACCCATGGGAGACTAGTGGATTCCACTGAATGGGCTACCCAGTTCAAATAAGAATTAAATAAATAAATTAATAAATAATTGCCGGTTTTCAAGCAGGGAGCCAGGTCTCTTAGGTTTTGTGAAAACATTGACCAATAACCATAATCCTGTGTGAACTTTCATAAGTAGCACTTTACACCAAAAATCCACCACTGATTTATGGATAGGGTTTGTGATATATCTTTCTCTCTGGTGGTCGATTACGTCTTGGCTTTTGAAGCTTGTAGGCCAAGATCACATGAACCACCGACAGTAAAGGAAATGTAGCCCTTCAACCGTGTCCATGTTACAGACTATTTGGACACTGCAGTGGGCACGTACATTGCTTTTTATGTTACATGTATGTTACTACTTAAAGAGGCAATGCCTGATTTGAAATTGCTCACAATAAAAAAATTAATAAAAAAAATTAGCAGAACTTTCCTGGTAGTAGAAAAGTGACTTTCCTCAAATTTGTGTAGGCTTTATTATGACAAGTCTTTCCGTCAACTTTATTAAGACACAACCACAGGGAAAGAATGTTCCATCCTGACATGAATCTGGGACTAGGAAACATTTCCAATTTTGTCAGAAAATACTTTGAAAATGCACTCGACTCTGCATAGACTTTGTACACAACTGAAGAAGTAGCGCCTGGATACTACATTCTTTCCCAACTACAGTCTTCACTTGGGGTATCAGAGAGTCAAAGTAGACACAAAAAACTGCTTGGGCAAAAATGACTTGAACACAATCTATTCTGAGGTCCTACATGCACTCACAATGCATTTATATGTATGTTCCAAATTTGTTCAAGGAATATGTTAAATGGTTGAAAGCAGGTATGTAGTCCAGTCATGGCTAATATAGAGCACTTTTTTGGGTCAATTTCACGAGACCAGGCACATGTTGCAAATCTTATGGGAGCTTGTGCATCAGGGAACCGAATTTTAATTTTTGGTAGTGTGTAATTATTATTTTTTATTTTTTTTTTTCTGTGTTCCCAGACGCTGATTGTGTCCTGGATCAAAGCCAATCTGAAGATCCGCGTCTCCAAAGACTTGTGGGATAGGTTCCTGAATGTCCTGTCGTCGCTGACCCACTGGGCCGAGTTGATCACAGAGTGGTCGGTAAGTGGAAGCCTTCTCTATACTCAAGGTCTGTCTTGACTGCAAACAGCTACAGACAATAGTTTGGGAAAGAATGTCACTTGGGAGTATATGTGCGGCATTCTTGCAAAATGAGACAACTGTGAAGAGGTCAAAATGAGGGTTTGAAGGTATTAGGAACTAAATTCTCCTTACAGTACTGTTTGTTGCACTTCAGCTGGACATTCTGTTGACAAGTAATGGCTGTTTAACATGTTTAAAGTATTCCCTTTTATTGACATTTCCCAAAAAATTAAATTACTGATAAAAAGGCCTTGAATCCTTTACTCACCGTAGTGCCTGAAACTGCCCGCCTATTACTCACTGCAACGCCTAAAATCTATGGTTTTATTGAATTTTCAGTTAATGAATACAATTGTAATACAATGTAGTACAGGGGCTAATGGTTAATGTTTTGACAATTTTGTATTCATGAAAATGAAAGACGCCAATTTGTTTTCTTAAAAAAAACCTTTTATTCCAAGGTACTGTTTCTTTAAAATATGTGTAGTAGAGATATCAACAATTACAAGTATAAATAAATCCGGAAATCGGAAAAAAATAAAATCACCCCTTTCGTTTTTTTTTTTATTTTATTTTAAAAAATATTTTTCTTCACTTCTGCCTGTGACCAGTTATGTCTCATTTTGCAAGTGTGTTTATACCCTTCGTTTGTTCTTACAAAGGATGAAAAAAAACAAATGCAAACTGCTTGGACAAAATGAAAAGAATTCAGAAAATAAAAAAAGGCCAATTTGGATATAAAAAGCTCAAAGAAATTACTCTTTAAGATGATTTCTCAGCTTTCGTAAAAATGTTGTGAAGGGACCACAGGCTAACATATCACCTAAATTTGTGAGGTAAGAGCTTCAGTTCCTCACAAACCGACAAGGAATAGAATATTTCAAAAATGTGGTTTGCATTGACAGAAAACTATGGAAACCCTGACCCGGGTCCTCTCCAAGCGCGTCTACAACATCGACCTCAACAACCTACCCCTGGAAAACCTCCAGGACAACCGCAACAAGCGGCTGCGCGGGCCTCGAGGGGGCGCCCTTCAGGCCGACAGCCGGGACAGCAAGAAGCACGATCGGACCTTCTCCCGCGGCTGGAGCCGGTGCGACTCCAACTCTCCCATGGGCTCGGACGAGACGGACGGCAGCAAGCATCGGGAGAGGATCAGCACGGTGGGCAGCCGGGACGACCTGGACCGTCTCCGGCACAAGATGCCTTACATGAGGGAGGTCTCCTCCAAGGAAGAAGCCACCACCGTTCTTGCCAGCCTTAAGAATTGTGAGTCATATCTCCCTGTGTATGTTGGCTCCTGGCAGCCAAGCCGCTGTGGCGGTAGAAGGGGCTATCAACAAGCTGAATTCAATCCATTGTTTGGACTTTCGTATTCTTTATAATATTCTTTTGAATTTCTCCGAAATCCCCAAGAAATTCCCAAAGCTGGATTTCATTCATCTTGTCGATACAGTGGAAAGCCATTCTAACGAACACTACTTTACTGAACATTCGGCTATACCGAACATCATCCTTGGCTCCCGATCCTTGTGTACAAAACGTACCAAACATTGTTGTTGAAAAATGTCAACAAAAGAATGACAAGTTGCTATTATATATCCCAGAGAAATAGAAGGGAAGAGCCACCTATTGCTGTAGAAGGTAGGCTCAAAAACTGTGCCATTAAAAAAGATTACTTAAAATAAAGTTGAAAAGTAAGCAACATTATTGTACATCCAAACTGTGTAATTAGAAAAGATTATTGTATGTCCTAAGCAAAAAAGGGAAATAATAAATACTTAACAAATCCAATCAAAAAAGGATGCTCTTCAAGTAGGGCACAAGAGGGCGATATTTATTGAAAAGTGAGTACCGTAGCAATGGTGGCTTAAAATCGCTGTACCGAACGATTGCTATTACGAACATTTTCTGTGGACCCCGTGATGTTTGTTATAGGGGCGTTCCGCTGTAGCACCAATTACCACTGCAGCAGCTTAGCAGTGGAATCCTGGCTGCATTAGGGGAGGAAATATCAAAAATCCAGTCATAGGACAAGTCTGTGACATTGGCCTCAGCATTAGGGTATCCCTTTTATTTATTTGGTTCTCATTTCCGACCGACCATATTTTGGGCTCCCGACCCAAGAAAAAAACAACTTTTTATTACTGCCGACCCTTAAAAAAATAACAAATGCAAAAAAATTAACCTTATTCCAAAGGCCAAAAACATAGAATTAAAAAAGGGATGCCCTTATGCTGCCACATGCTTGATTTGTTTGATCCTTAAACCAGTTCACGCGGAGATTATTTTGACAAGAACGGAATGAGGCGCGGGATTGCTTTTCACTTGACCTCATGCCAGGCGAGTTGAAGCCATCACCCTCGGGCAGCACACTCATATTTCCGGCCTCGCTCGCTGCAAGCGGGTCACTGACAGATATATCCGGCCTCGCTCCGTGCGTGTTTATCCGTCATCCGTTGCGAATACCGCAAAAGCTGTGCGTGTGTACATGGCTTCCTGCGCGAACGCGAATACTTTCAGAACAATAAACAATTTAAACTAACAAACCTCTTCAGCTGAGACATGAATTTTCTGGAAAAGACAAAAAAACTGGTCAACTTTTGTTTTGTTTTGTTTTTTTCCGCTGCAGTGCCTCTGAGCACGAGCACCTCTCACCCATCGCTACACCACCAGCAGCCTCTACAGATCTTATCGATGGATGATGCCATGGGTAGCCTGACAAGGAGTAGTAGTGAAGGCAAAATAAGTGACGGAACTCATCGGTTTCAAGGTACAGAATTGGCTGCCGTCCTCAATTCATTAACCCTAACCCTGCTAAATGCAACAAAAAAGCTACAAAGGTAAAAAGTTGTTGCATACTGTTGCATTTAGCAGGCAACTCAAGCCCCAGTGTTTTGTTGCATCTTGTTGCATTTAGCAGGGTAACTGCTCATAGTGCCAAGGCAATACAACAGAATCCACTGTTGCAGTTGGTTGCATTTAGCAGGGTAACTGCTCATAGTGCCAAGGCAATACAACAGAATCCACTGTTGTAGTTGGTTGCATTTAGCAGGGTAACTGCTCATAGTGCCAAGGCAATACAACAGAATCCAGTTGCATCTTGTTGCATTTAGCAGGGTAACTGCTCATAGTGTTAAGGCAATACAACAAAATCCACTGTTGCAGTTGGTTGCATTTAGCAGGGTAACTGCTCATAGTGTTAAGGCAATACAACAAAATCCACTGTTGCAGTTGGTTGCATTTAGCAGGGTAACTGCTTGGTGCCAAGGCATCTCACCTGTGATGTCACCAACTTCAATGCCTTTTCAGTGCCTATTCAATGCTTAACCTCGATTTAGCATGTCCAGCTGAGAATGGCCCAAGTAAAATTTACACCGTTTCGCTTAATTGATTGTGTTTCTGGATCTAGGGACCCAAATGGAATGGGGTATTAGAAGTGGATTGAGAAATAGTCAGGCTTGAGTGTCATATATAATATCATTGAACAACAAAACCCCCATAAAAACAGTTTTAATTATTTGTTGTCCGAATGATGCACTTTTTTTTGGCACACTCTGTAGTTTAGAAAATGCTCATGCGAACATGGCTCAAACTTATTTGTCAAGAGCACTTGTGGTCTGGTCGTGGATGACAGTGATTCTTATCGGTTTACATCTGTCCAATTTTCTCCCAGTTTCAAGACAAACCTCTGAGCCGGAGTCCCAGCCAGTCACGGGGCCAGAACTCAGAAACTCCCTGATCGAGAAGGCGGGATCGCTCCCGGAGGAATACGACGTGATGGAAGTGAAGTCCATGACGGACGAAAACGACGTGTTGGAGTTCAAGACCCTGTCGGAGGACAAAGTCTCCCTGGAGGATAAGATCTCATTGGAGGACAAATCGTCAAAGCAAGACGGGACGGAGCTCAAGACGCCATCTGAGGATACCTCCCTGGAAGACAAGATCTCGTTGGAGGAGAAAATGAGTAAACACGACGAGTACAGATATGGTAAGTAGTATATCAATGCAAAACGTCCAAACCTAATTTGTGGCCAAGTGCAACAACGTGAGACTTTCTTGCAATAACTTGAAAAGTTGAAACTTGGACCCAAAGTTTGTATTTCAAGGATTCCACCCAACATGTTTTATTTCATATCAACTTGAACCCTGTCTCCTTATTAAAGGTTTTGTACCAGGAATCTTCCAGGAATCCCCCCAAATTTGCCAGCACATTCTTTGTACTTTGATTGTCATGGCACATCATGTAAAACAATAGTGACTGAGCTCTTCCTTTTTCTTACCTGAAAGCATACACATGCGACTCAAAGATGACACAGAATTGAAATGTGCCTGCTGTTTTCTTCTTGGAGTTTCCTTTGAAGTTTGCTTTTGTTTTTCTTCTTGGAAGTTGCCTGAAAATTGCCTTGTAAGACATGGCCTTTGGGGTTAATGGTTCTTCTTTGCACTGGTCCCTATTTGATTCCTACAGAAGATACCAAGATGGGGGAGTACCAGTTAACCTACGTGCAGACAGACACTGTCAGTATTGATAGCTCCGAGATTGCCACGCCGGACACCACCCACACGATACTGGACAACAATCGCCTGACCCCAACCAGCCTGACGGACATGATCGCTTCTGAACTCGGCCAGTCGCTGTCCAGCACCCCGTCACCGGGGATGGTCATCAACGGCGAGCTGGCGGCCGGCGTCAAGGGATCGCCGATCTACGAGCCAATCCGATTGGAGGAGCAGGATAAGCTGGATGAAGCCATGTTTGAGAGTGCAGGTGAGTACTACTATTGTTATGTCTGTTTAAGGGACGATACAACATGTGCAAACATCAAAAAAGTCTAAAGCATCCTGTAAACTCGTGGCTCCTGGTGTGCTGACATTTTCAAGAAAAATTGTATTTTTCCAATGCTGGTTGGCCGACCAGCGTTGGAAAAAACTTTTTTTTTCTCAAAAACTGCTCTTTAATTTTCATATTTAGTTATTCCGCATTTTCTTTGCAATTGATTACACACCTGTGAAAGGATACAAGCCTGCTAGACTGATTCTCTGATCATACAATTCCCCAAAGTAAAACTGCTCTTTAATTTTCATATTTAGTTATTCCGCATTTTCTTTGCAATTGATTACACACCTGTCAAGGGGTACAAGCCTGCTAGACTGATTCTCTGACCTTACAATTCCCCAAAGTCTTTAAATTGCTCCGTTTCATCTTAAGTGGGGTCAGGGAACCAGACTACGAGAACATGATTTGTTTTCTTGGTTTTTCCAGTATCCTCCAAATCCATTTATTTCTGAAAATTGCAGCAAAAGCAAATGTTGTACATTCCCTTCAAGCAGAAAAATAAACTACTTTGCAAGTTGGTGGGTACTTCTTATCGTTCGTAAGAAACTACTTGAAAAAGTAATATTACTTACAACAGAACTGACGTTCTAGAGTAGTATTCTCATATAGCCTGTTTTCAAGACACTCTGAAATCCTCGCTGTGCGTGATCTGTTTGGGGCCACTTGTGTGTGTAATCACATTATTCTTATGCCTTGTGCGCGTAATTGTAAAGGCTAAATGGCATAGTGTATGGGTGCAGCAGAGGCCAGTAGGGGCTCTGCGCAAACAAGAGAGGGTGCTTTTTGACCACTTCCGAGAGTCCCATGGACGGCACATACCGTGTGTGTGTGTGGAATAAATGTGTGCTGGGGAGGTGTTAAACACTATGTTTCAGACTGGTTGGCATCTGGATGGGTGATAATTACCCGAGCCAAAGGCAAGGGTAATTATCAGCATTCCAGACTCCAACCAGTCTTCAACATAGTGATTAATACCGACCAAGCACATATTTATTCCCATTCATAAATACATTTTCGGTCAAAAATTAATACTTTTCGGTCAAAAGTCAAAAAATAAATATTTCCAACGATTTTGTTCTACAAGTTGCTTCATGTTTTTCAAAACACCCCTCTAGCTATGTAATGGAGTGTCCAGCTTGCGAGTAAGACGTAAACAACTCCTTTTATGGAGATTGGTGCGCGTGTCGCGCGTACTGCGCGTTGACGCGCAAATGCAGCTGTGGCAAGTGCGTTGTGAATTTAGGACTATGAAATACTGACTCACTGGTAGTATTGCGCATGCCTACGTGAGGATTGTGAACATTCAACCAATACAACGGTGAAGGGCTGGATTTCATAGGAGCCCAAATTTCATGCGACACTGGAAAAGTGTTTAAGACCATCCAGCCATGTCTTCATCTTCAGTTTAAAGCTATAGTCCATCATTTGCAGCCATCCGAAAAAGTAACTGGCGTATTATTGTTGAAAAACATACTTGGTTGAAAGATAGTAAGTGGACTAAACTCCTTGTGAAATTATTCTTTCTGGCAAGCTGTCATTTTGAAGTAATCAACGAAAGAAGGCCTTTCCGTAGGAAAATTTAAATTGGTAGTTCGTTTTGTTATTCAGCGCAGCGCGCGCATACAAGCATTGGCACGATGCACAGGCGCGCGCGGTTGCTATAATTCGTCGGATCAGTGCTCGACATCGCGCATAGCTGCAATTCAAAACAATTCAAAACAATTCAAAACATGTTTCAGCAACTTTTGATTTGAAATTGAGATCCTAGAATGCTGTTTTTCTCGGAATATACAGCTGAAGCTGAGCTGAAACTTCATCGGGTTAGTTGTTCAGTATCCTTCATTAGATTTTGAACACTTTTGTTGCTTTAAACGAACAAAATGCACAAATTACAAATGATGGACTATATCTTTAAGACTTGCACATGACGGGCTCTCGACCAGTGGGAATGGGTAAACTGTCTTAGGTAAATTCATGAATACCGGTTCACACATGTATAGCATGAAGTACACATGAGGTAATATTATTCTGAATGTGTACAAAACCGTAGCGTGAGCATCAGACTTCGTCGGCAGTGCGCTTGAATGTCTCTCCCAGTGGTCTCCCCCAACTCTCCCTGTCTTACCGTTGAGGGGGTACTTGTGTCCGGGACCCATTGGTCTTGACGTGGACTTGGATCTCATGGTCTTGACCTCAGCCCTGCTTTCCGTTTGTCTTTCAGAGTGTGTCCAGAGCCCCGATGCCAGCGTCATGTCTGGAGGGACCCGGCCTGGCTGGCAGCCTGATGTTGCCTTTGTGTTGTGGAGACGTATCCTGGGAGCGCTGGGTGACGTCAACGATATTCAGATTGCCAGGCTACACGCTGTGGTCATGGAGTGTCTCTGGAGCACCTGGCAGCTGCTGGCAAAGGTAGTAACACCCTTCCCCTCCTCTTCACGTTTCACTGCCTTCTCTCATCCGCACACTGTTTTTGTTTCTGTTTTTTTCGAAGGGCTGCACCCGATTTCATGAAACTCATCGTAACTTATGATGCATCGCAGCGCTGCGACGCGTCCTATCTCTACGATGCGTCGCAGCTGCAATGCATCCTGCGATCCATTTCACAAAACAAGTTGTACGTGCGACGCGTCGTATGTGTATTTATAGCACAACTCGGTGACTGTTTTGTGTATTAAGTGAGCGTACAGTAAATAGTCGTCTGATATTCAACAAAGAGTCGTCAGATCTCCGCTCGAAATTTGTTAAAACATAGGACAAAATGGCGGCCGTGCGATGCAATTTTAAGGATAACAAGCTCTCAGTGGACTGTGTAGCTACTTTGAAAAATTTCAACTGCAATATTCCAGGCAAATTCATAATTATTCAATGAATTTTCTATTTACAACTTTACACACATTGCCTCGGTGTTATAATCTCGTTTATGTTATGTTTATGGCACAAAACTGGTTAAGAAACGGACTCTTCTTATTTTGCGACGACCACTAGACACGTCGTAACTTGCGACATGTTTTAAGCCGTTGTCAAGGAACTTAAGAAGCGTTCAACACATCATAACTTTCTTGAAATGGATTATACGACGCGTCGCGAGTTGCGACGTGTTGCACGTCGTAACTCAAGTTGCGACGCGTCGCAGCACTTCATGAAATTGGGTGCAGGTCAGTTCATTATTCCTTAACCCTAACCCTCCTCAATCCTCCAAAATGAGGAGGATTTTGGAGAATTGAGGCTGTATGCCAAAAAGGGTCGTTAGTTTTGAAAGATGCATTGTGTCAGGGTCTTAAGCTGTATCCAGCATTCTTTATGTTTAGACATTCATAATTGAGGCCTACATTATGCTGGATACCATCTGCACTGCTTCTGGATGTCATCTGCACTGCTTCAGTGTGATTGTCAGATGATTTGGAAGGATTGAAGCAGAGGTTACCCTTCCAATGAACAAATTCAAGAAATAGCGGATTATTTTGGAGGACTTTCATATAGGACCTCGTTGCATTGGGTCATCAAAATTAGTTCATTAACTCCCAATTTCGAGGCAATGGGAACACGTCACTATGGTATCCTTCCAATGTTTTATCCTGTCATAGTTGGCAAAAAATAGATTATGAGACAGTTTGACCTTTGAGGAGTTTTGACCTTTGAGGAGTTTTGACCTGTTACACTGGGAAGGCTGCTCACTTTGACAACATTGGACAACTTGTACGCCTACACTGTTGAACTCCTTACCAGAATCCTTCTTTCCCCCTCAACATAATTATCTCACATCAAGTGAAATGTCAGCATTTTTTTCATTGTCTTTAATTTCAACATTGTATGAATATACTTTAACCCTAAAATGGATGGTCCTGTATGGCAGAAATCTTCCTGCCTGATTGTTTGTCACCCTTTGTTTCTGTGTTTGATGTAATCCTAGATCCGGGACAATCTTGGCGTGAGTTCAGACAACCAGAACACTCCTCCACCGCCTGAATACATTCCACCTCTCAGGATTCTCTCACCTTGGCTCTTCAAGGTAATCCTTTTACCATTTTCTCGCACTTAAAGACTTCAGTTCAGTTTATGTTTAGGAAATCCCCAAGTTAATAGTAACGTTGTTGTGAGGATAGTATACAAATATTGAGTGGCTCGGAGTGAAATGAAGGAATTATCGCAAGGTAAAATCTGGACTTTTCTTCGCCTCGTGAACTGGAAAAGTCCAGATTTTACCGAGCGATAATATTCCTCCCATTTCACAATTTAAGGCCACTCAATATTTGTTTTATATAACTGACATATACATGTAGATCCTTGTCATTTAATATACTTGATCTTTTATTTCAATACAAAATTGGTGGAAAATGTGTTTCTCTCTTCCAAACCACCCCTTCGTTAAAATGTTTGAACCCTACTCTGTAGCACTGGCTTTTTGGAACAATACGCGCTATGCGCAACTGTTCAATAGTATTTCCCATTCCCCATGGGCGAATGGGACTTTTTGAGCCCCGGTGTGAATGGGAGCAATAACGAATGCCACGTGATGTGAGTTCCACCAATCAAATGACAAGGATCTGTGTGTCAGTTATATAACATTGTATAAAAGCTACATTCCAATGTTGCTCTTTTCTCAGAAAATGTGCGATTGTAAACATTTTGAATAGGGTTTGTTCTCATTGTGCTTAATAAGACTGTGAAAGTTGTAAATGAATATCATGGTTAATTCTACTTATATTTAACTGTACCCCAGCACTAATGTGGTGCGAAACCGAAAAACGACTTCAGTTCGGGTCGGGTCGGTTTGTCCATCATTTTAGTCGGGTCGGGTCGGTTTCGGTTTTGCGTTTGCGATTTTTGGGTCGGGTTGGGTCGGTTAAGCCATTTTGGAAAACCTGAAATAAACCGAAATAAACCGAAATGAACCGAAACAGAATGGAAATTCACATGGTGCACTATTTAGTGCAGAGTCACTACGCACAGTGCGACTAAAATGTTTTTGCAGTCCGTCTCGATCGGTCTATAACATGTAGGCCCACCAGTAGGTCACGTTGTAAGTGCCGCACGGCATGATTCAGTTACTGAAAGCCAACATTTGTTTACGCGAAGCGGGTCAGTTCAGGCGAAAAAAGTGGACACATTTGCTGAAGCCAGATATTCAGGGTTTTTTTCGGGTCAGTTCAGTTTCGAGTTGATCCGATGCACATCACTAACCAGCACAGGGCCCAATTCGGGCGATTCACAATGCAGAGCGCTACTAATAGTTTGCCACGGAGAGTTCATTTTTCCCAGCGCATTGTGGGAGATGGTCGACAAATTCGCAGCGCGGGAGATTTGAAATTGTTCGTTTTTTCCGGTCAGTAGTTTCGTAAGCATATGATTTCAGTATATGTTTGCCCTTTTTTTTCTTTGTATCAATATGGTGATTTTTGGTAAGGCGGCAGAACGCTATGCCCCAATCTATGACAAATTAGCTCAAGTTCTTTACTGACACTCATTCCAATGGGCCATATTTTGTCGACCGTAAACTTGGAAAGTTGACTCTCCATGGCAAACTCTTGGTGGCGCACTGCATTGTGAATCGCCCGAATTTCATGGCTCCGCTTACCATTAGCGAAAAGTCCCTGCTTAGTAGCAGAATATTCCATGCTTAGGGTAAACGTTTTTCACAGGTAAGCAAAGAATTTTGGCTTCCGCATGCGTACATGTACATCATGTACATGTAACTATGGATTCTGTGCTTACAGGGTTAGCGCAGAGTTTTTCTGTTAGCGCTGTTAGCACAGAATGGTGAGGCCAACAAACAAAGTTGTTCTGCTTCCTCTTACCCCACCTACCCTATTTTTACGGCCATGATCCTAAAAAAAGTTTCGGCAAGTAAAAAAAAAAAAAAATGGAAAACTTGATATCTTTTGTCTGTGTATGTATTTTCCGTGTTCATGAATATATTTCTTGATTGTACCGCTCGTACTTGCACTGATACAGCACAGCATGGTTCCCCGGAAATTCCTGCCACAACACAAGGTTCGTCGCCCGCCACACACAGTGCATCATGCATGCTTATACGGCATGATATACAGACAGTATTGGCCAGTTTCCTGTCGTAGCTAGCGTTGTGCATAATGGTGTGCACGACCTGAATTCTCCATTAGTTTTAAGAATTATTGACTAAATTTTTTTGACATTAATTAAGGCAAGTGTTTGTCACTTTTTGTGGCCATTTATTTCTAAAGCTTTCGTAGCGCAAATGGAAATAGTTCAGGCTGAAATTTGCATATAATTAAATACCCCATTCAATCAGCACAAAAAAAAAAAATTGGCCCCCCCCCCCTAAAAAATTCCAACCTACCTACCATACTTTTTTTGAAAGGCGTGTAAACAGAAGCAGAACTGTTTTCTTTTTGTGGCCTGATCGTAAACACAGAATGCTGTGGTCACCAGAGCCATGAACTTGGGCCCAGATCTCTCCATTAATACAATCATTTGCCAGCTTTTCCTGTCAACTTCAGGAAATGTATTTCATCCTGTTGTCTTTACCTGACAGGCCGTGCATTTATCCGAGCGTTATCAGCAAGGTAGACTGTCGGCCTACAAACTCTTATGTGCAATGACGACAAGGAAACAAGACCACCCGCTACCCAGAGAGCATCTGACTCACTTCTATAGGGTGCTGCACTATGGCCTGGTTGGCATGGATCATGTGAGTTTGCATTAACTTGTGTTCCCATGCTATGTTCATGTTTCATCCGAGAAACATAGATCCTTTTCTAAATTGCTATTTTCTAGCAATACAAGAGTTATTCACTTTTGAATGAGACAGCGACCAAAGAAATCAGCCCATGTTTAATTATTGAATTGTTACTTTACAAATTAAAATTACTGGAATCCAGACAAAAATTCCGTTCTCGCTGGGTAGGCTGGTTCCCGCCCACGATCAGTGTTGGTAATGTATGGTTTTCAGAGGGTTGCAGACATCCAAAATAAGGAGGTTCATTTGGTTGGTAATTCCTACAGGTTGTCCCCCCCCCCAAAAAAAAATAAAAAAATAAGTCTATCTGGAGGGTGTATCAGAATTCTCATAATTCATGAAAGTTCTCAAATTCAATTATAGAATTGATAAGCCCAAACATTTGTCTTTGTTGTGTGGAGTTTTTGTTGGATTATGTGAAGTGGTTTTGAAACAGGGCCATTCACGTAACACCAGTCATTTTTGCTCCATTCCAAGTTTGACAATACAGACATTGAGAGTTACACAATGTGTTTCTCTGCAATTGATTTATTTTAACAACATAACTGTGTACTTTTGTTTGCAACAGTATTTTTATTGCAAGTTATCGTTCACAAGTAATATTATCACTGACTACATAAACTAAAATTCATAAAAACAATACACGTAGTATTCCTCCTGTTTAGTTAATAATTTAATTAAAAAGCCAGTTAAAGCTTCTTTTTTGGAGGGGGGGGGAGAGTTGCTGAAATTAGTTTTGTTTAATAAAACTTCCAGGGGGCTGAAAAAATGTTGGAGCTTTTGAAATTTTTGAAGATCATGGACCTTTTTGTAATGTGACGTTAATTAAATGTGAAACTTGAAAGTGTGCAAAATAGTACAGTGTTACATAATGGCCTTGATTTGGAAAACTGGTGCACCAAATTCAATGGAAATTTTTGAAGAAACTAGCGCAATAAATATGCTTCACAATTATGTAAGAAAACTAGAAATAACAGTTGTGTTTTTACAAATTTTGCTACAACCCTGAGAGGGGGACCTTTAGGCCAAAAAAAAAAAGTCTCCGGTTTCTGGTATGGAGCTTGCCCAAAAAGTGATGCGGCAATGCGGCCTTTTTTTTTTTTTTACCTGATTTTTTTGCTTCAAATGTCGGCTGATAACTGCAAATGGTGCCCGACTAAACTTAGTGCAAATATATGGGAGTCCAGAGAGGCCACATAAAGCTTATTCTCGACCATAACCCAATCTAAAAACACTTTAAAATTGTGCAGCAGCAGGATTCCAGTCAAACCAGTGAGTTTGGCGGTTTTGAGACATCATCTTTCATTGAAAAAAAAACGTTTTCATTTTGCTGACGCGCATTGCTACGGCGACGCGCGCGCATACCAGAAACCGGAGACTTTTTGTTTGCGCCTTGAGCACCAATAATGGCGGATACATGCGTTTTATAAAATACCCATTAATATTTCTCAGAGTTGTAATCACGTCACAAGTCATCAGTCATCTGGTCTCAAGTCAAGTCATAAGCTATTCACATGAGCTGTGACTAAGGCATTCAGTTGTCGTTATTCATCCCTGTTGCTTGTGAACTGACTTGTACATGTAGACTGGAATTGTGATACACTTGTGATACACTTGTGATTCACTTGTGATTCACTTGTGATTCACTTGTGATTCACTTGTGATTCACTTGTGATTCACTTGTGATTCACTTGTGATTCACTTGTGATTCACTTGTGATTCACTTGTGATACACTTGTGATTCACTTGTGATTCACTTGTGATACACTTGTGATTCACTTGTGATTCACTTGTGATTCACTTGTGATACACTTGTGATGGACTTGTGATTCACTTGTGATTCACTTGTGATACACTTGTGATTCACTTGTGATACACTTGTCATTGACTTGTAACTGGACTTTTATGATTGACTTGTGTTGGGCCTTTTATGGACTTGTGATGGAATTTCGATGGACATGTGTTGGACTTGTAACAGACATGTGGTGGACTTGTGATGGACTTGCAATGGACTTGTTATGGACTTCTAATGGACTTGTGATGGACTTGTGATGGACTTGCGATGGACTTGTGATAGACTCGCGATAGACGTGCGGCGGAGTTGAGATGGACTTGCGATTGACTTGTGATAGACTTGGGATTTACTTGTGAAGGACTTGTAACTTGACTTTTGATGGACTTGTGATGGATTTTTAATGGACTTTTGATTGACTTGTGATGAACTTGTGATAGACGTGTGATGGACTTGTGATGGACTTGCAATGAGCTTGTGATGGACTTGTGATTGACTTGGGATAAACTTGTGATTGACTTGAGTTTGACTTTTGATAGACTTGTGATTGACTTGGGATTGACTTGTAACTTGACTTGTAATAGACTTTTCATGGACTTTTGATTGTGATCGACTTGTGACTTGACTTGTGATCGACAGGATTACAAATCAGAGCTGTTTCTCCCCATTTCTTTCAGGAGGTGATCAACACCATCATTCAGTACAGTGCTCCAGACTTTTTCTCCTGTGGCCTTCCTGGATCAACGTTGCTCATCTTAGATTACATCCAAGCTGCCAATATGATCGCATCCCACCATAATCTAGACGTAAGTGAAGCAGCCTCGGACACCCTCTAATTATCATTTAATCGTACACATGGCAAACCATGAAAAACGGAAACAATTACCAAAAGGTGATCATAAAAACTGAATAAAGTAATGATAAAAGTTTGGCATTTGAAATTTAACCCTAAATTTTTAGGTTTAGGGCATCTAAAATTCTATTAAAATTGGAGGATTCAGGATTGTTTGGGTTCATATGATAATAATAGACTTGAATCATAATGATGTTATGCTTTCCTATGGGAGGCTGGAGCCAAGTAGGGACGAGAGCCACCAAGCTCCCATAAAAATGTGCGCATGTTAGCAAAAAGCATGATGTCATTATGATTGACGTTCTGTTGCACGTCAGTCCTGTTCTGGATGACCGAGTAACCACTGTCTACCTCGCTCACTTATTTGCAGTGGTACCATATTATTTGTTCTGATCACAATTCAATAACTGTTCTGTTTTCTCCCATTCCACCCTGTAAAGTTGCCGTTTCCTAACTATTATCGTTCAGACCAGTACATGCAAAATTTTGATGCAAAGCGAATTCATTTGGGTAATACAAGAACGTCACCAAAAAATGTTGGTTGTTGACATTTTCCTCATTGGATTCCTCTTCGCTGTGGTATGAAGCATGAACTGGCCCGTAGTCTGGCCATTATCAATCCGCTGTGTGGGTCAACTCATTAAAGGTAGAGCAGATCATTTGCAGCTATCCAAAAAATAACTGACCATATTATTGTTCAAAAGCTTACTTAGTTTAAATAGAGTAATGGCACTAAACTCCCTGTGAAATGGCATGTTGTCATTTGAAGCAAACAATAAAAGAAGGTCATTTCCTAAGGTGAGTCAAGTGACGCCTTTTTTGGAAATTTCCGTTTGTAGTTGGTTTTTAATTGGGTGAATCCATAAATGGGTGCGCGTAAGCATTGACACGACGCACACGTGCACGGGGTTGCTATTATTCATCAGTGTTGCTGCAATTGACTGAATGAGAACGTGTTCTGGACACTGATTTCGGGCGCAATTCAAAATATGACTTGGCAACTTTTGCATTAAAATCAAGATCTTAGAATATTGTTTCTCAGAATGTACAGGATTCGCAAAGCTCAAATTTCATCAGGTTAGTTGTTAAGCACCCTTCCTTTTGAGCACTTTTGTTGCTTCGAACGAAACAAATGGCAAATGATCTACTCTACCTTTGAAAATTCATAAAACCAGAGAGTGCCTGAGCAGTTGGGGGTAGTACAGGGAGTATCAGGCAGGGTTTGGGGGGGTGGTACAGGACTAATGGGCTAAGTTATGAAAAAAACAAAGATGTTTAATCGGAAGTTCACATCTGAAGTATTATGCTGTTACCCTTGTCTGCTTTATAATTGCAACCTTATTATTGATGTTCTCATTATATAATATTATTGATAATGAATTCAGTATCAGGTTTTGCCCTTCTCCAATGTATTTTTATAAACACTCAGTGTTGTCCTGAATGATTGCGAGAAAAAACTCACAAACTACTCGAGTGGGACTCGAACCCACGACCTCCTGCTTACTACTGCGGACGTCTTAAGCCCGGTTCATACTCAGCGCGTAAGCGAACGCGAATTTGTGACGTCATGGAAAGTATTCGCGCTGCGAATTCGTAAAAGTTGAACACATTTCAACTCGGGCGAATTTCGCAGCGATTGTTTCATGACGTCAAATTCGCTTCGCATTCGCTTTCGCATGAAGTATGAACCGGGCTTTACCCCTCGACCACCGAGCTTACTAGGGTCGACTGACTGGTTCGAATCTGATATAGCAGCCGATACCGAAACCAAAGTATTCTGTCTTTCCAATTATTGATATTTTTGTTATTATATTACATATTTTTTTGGGCAGGCACCAAGGATAGAAGCGTTGTCGCTGCTAGGATCCTTGGTGTGCTTTCCTAATCTCTTCTGCAATATCACCGTGCTACAACCGTCACCCAAAGATATCAACACAATGCAATGCAAGGATGTCAAGGTACGTTGTCAAACATTAAAACAGAGACCTGTCTTCATGTGTCATTGTCTGACTATCGATCTTGGGACAAAAGGATGGACAGAATTTGCCAGAAATGTCAGAATTCTCAAGAAAAATTTGAAATAAAAAAAATTAAAGTGGCCTGATATTTCAGCATTAGCAAGGCCTTGATTTGTTTTTGTTTTTGTTTTGGCCCTGACGAAGGCCTTGCCAAGGCTGAAATATCAGGCCACTTTAATGTTTGATTTGTATATTTCAGGTCAATTCAGTACACTTAGCAGTTTGCAGCAGTTTAATTCATTTTCAAAAAGAGTTTGAAGCAACTCATGACTCAAAGAGAATTAGTTTCGAAAAGGCCAATTTTCTGGGTGAAAAGATTCTTTCTGTAAGACTGCAAATTGTTTATCCTTAAAAACACTTTTATTCCATGATTTTTGTACTATTTCTTTTAAAACATGTGTAGTATATAAAATCAATGATTACAAATATCAATAAATCTGAAAAAAAAAAAAATCACCCCCATTTTTTTTCTTTTTTGGCCGTTTTCGCCAGTACTGTGCCCATTTCCGTCGCATTTTGTCACAAACAATACATACAGTCTGATACTTGGGTCGGTAAGCTATTTTTTGGCTAAAACAAATATCTTCTGTGCTCAATGAATTTCCGTGCTTAAAGGGCTCATGTAACACAAATGATTTGCATAAAAAGTGGCCGCATGAGGTCGCTGTTCGCACTGTATTTTTAATGCACTGCATAGCGAGGATACAAATATAATGACAAACTATAAAGTCTTACTAAAAACTAAGTACTGGTATGTTATGTGTGTGTGTGTCCTTAAAACTTTGGAGAAAAGCGGGAATTTCCGGTGTGGGTCGGATAAAATTTTTACGTCTGATGTCTCACGCGTGACCAAACTTTGATGACCCCTCCTAATATTTTGATACAATTTGTGAAAGTAGACACTATACTCTGAGGTAGGGAGTGAAAAGTACTAACCTGATGAATCAGTGAAAGTAATACGTTAGATGTAGTTAACAAGGGGTAAAGCTTCACAAATCAGACGAGCCCAATTTAATGTCACACAGTGACCAAAGAATGGCCCTTTTACAGCTCCATGAAAATGTCCCCTACACAGGGGTCAGCTTTTAGATCAATCCCAATAGCATAACGACATACAAGTAAGAATAAATACCTGAGCAATAATAAACGGCATATGTTCTTGTTTCAGGACCACTTGATCAAAGCGTTGATCAAGTGTAGTCGTAAGGAGCCGATGTGTGAAGCTCGCTGCATCGCTCTGTGCAGTCTGGGTATCTTCCTGTATGAAGAGATGGCCCATGTCACCTTCCATCCAAGGACCAGGGAAGCAATCAGTGTACTTCTTGCCAGTCTCAAGGTGATAATAACAATAATAAATAATAATACTAATAATAATTACCCTGGATTGGACATTTGGGAGACATCCCCATAGACTTGTGCACCAATTTTTTCAAACTTAAATGTGCCCTTACCCAATATTCCCTTGCTTTGACATTAGAGAAACATGAAAATGTCCGATGTCTTCCAATCGTGCAAAGAAATTACGATAACGTGTCTGTCTCCTTAATGGTACCTTTACACGTATAATAGCAACGGCAAGAATATACCATTATGGAGACATTCCCATAGACTTGTGCACAAATAATAATCTGACTTTCCTGAGCCCTAACCCCAATTTCCCTTATCTTACCCCCACGATTTTCTGTATTTTTTTACTTAATTGAACCATGAGCAATCGATCTAGCCTATTTGGGACAGGAAAATTTTGCCTCTAAATAGGAGCTGAGTTATTAGGGAGACATTGAAATGTCTCCCTAATGCCACATATCTCCCAAAGGTAAACCTCCCATGCTAAAGTGTCTCCAAAATGGTATAATTTGCGATAGTTCTTATATACAGTAAACTCCGGCTAAACCGACATCGTACAACTCGTCAAATCGCTCAAGTCGGCCGTCTGACTAAAGTCCTGATTGTCCGTTATGCATTTCCATTGAATTTTTTATTTCTAAGTCGGCTTTTACAAGTCGCCATTTCGCTCAAGTCGTCGTGTTACTCTCGGTCCCCTTTCCATAAAAAGCATTACAAAATCCTTTGTGTAAGTCGGCATTCAACAAATCATGACTTGGCATTGACTTCCTGTACTGCGGTTGGCAAAGGTCGAGTAAAAAGTGGTTTCGCACGGCCCGCCCGTGATCGCTGCATGCATCGGTGTCGAAAAAGCGCTATAGGATCTTTGCTGCATACATCCAGAGATGAAACTTTTCCGATTTTAATCGGAAAACTGACTTTTTGAATTTTCCAACGAAATTTCCGATTTTTTTACAGTGTGTCCCACAAAATTTGATTTAGTAAGGATTTTTCTCACAAAATGTCATTTTATTTCAATCATAATTTCGAAGAAAAGTCGATGAAAAGTAGTTTTAATCTCTTTCACCAGTCGTTATTGGAGTGTTTCAACGGTAGAAACACAGGGCATAACACTGATCGGAGCCTACTCCGGCTGGACAAAAGGTTAAACATTGACAGGCGACATGGAAAAATCACTCTGTGTCGCACGTGCGTGCATGTATATGTACTGTACGCAATGATACCAGCGTACGTACCGCAACGTACCGTCTGCTAGCACATGGCCGGTCGGGAACGGGTAGCCTTGTGAACGATCCAGTGGATAAAATCATTATGTTGTGCGATTTTTGGAGGTTTCAAATTTATTTAAACAAAATACAATGCCTTAAAAATCGTGATGATTATCTCGAGGATAGCGAAGAGAGCATTAGCGAAACATTTCACTGGCATTTGTTAGAAGAGAAAGACGAGTATGCCTGATTTTTCCCCACGTATGACATGTACCGGTATGAATGCAAGTGGAGTTGTGTGGTTGAATGGACATGATTGAAGCACCATGAAGTGATGAACGGTGCATTGTCTTTCGGACTTTTCCCTAGATTTTTCTCAAGTAAGAAGTGAACTTCTTTATTGATGACTCCATTACTCTAATCGTGATTCGGGCATTTTATGCAATGAAAACACTGACCATTTTTTTCATCGTAAAGTTTTGTTTGAATCGAAAATAAAGCAGGAGTAGGTGTCCGGAAATTGTACATAGTATGCATGTACGATTGTGTAATGCAGCGCGGCCCAGATTTCGGACACGTATTTTTCTTTGGCATATTTTCCGATTTTTTGGCCATATGCCAGTTTCATCTCTGATACATCGCATATGCATCGTGAGCATATCAATACCAGTACCCCCTCTAGGCTGTATGCATGCGCTCTGTCCGTTTTGGGGGTTGTCTTATTGAATGACTACTGCTATGCTGCAGTCAATGTGTGCGTGGTATCGATATAAACCGGACCACGCACGCATTTAATTCGTTACTGTGCACGTACATATGTATTGTGGTCTCCACTATTAATACCCCAAATGTGATGACACAATTCGAGGATTAATTTGCTGGACTCAACTCAAGCATTAAGGATATAATCCAGGGTAAATCGAAGCCAATTAGTGCAATGAATCATGTGTGCAAAAGACCATTCATGTAAGTCGGCAAAATGATGACTTATAGCATATATCGGCATTCGCGTAAGTCATCACAAATTCTCGGGTCCCGAGAATGCCGGTTTAGCCGGAGTTTACTCTAGCATAACTATTATACAAAAAGTCTTCAGGTAGCAACCAAGTGTGTCTTCAGCTGTGATTTGAAATGTTCCAAGGATGGGCTGATCTTCAAGGCAATTTGTTCCATTTTTCTGGGGCTGCATATTGAAAGGTCCGTTGACCATAAGATTTGGTATTAGAACTGCTCATGGAGTTGAATAATGTTTTGAGTTGAATCGACGATTCCTTGACGGACGGTATTCAGGTATTACTTCTGGGGCCTATCCTTGTACAGGAAAGTCTTGAATCTCACAGTCATGGAAAAATCCAGGAAAATGTGGGAATTTAAAGGGACACTAGGTCCTGAAATCCCCAAAAATTTCATGTTTTGGATTGTTCAATTAGCCTATTTCAAACATCTGGTTGAAAGGAAACCAACCTAATGTCTTACCGTTCCCGAGAAAAGACGAAAAAAACCTGGTTGTTTACATCGGACGCAACGGTGTACGAATATGTTTTTCTTGTCGTTCTCAGTGTACGATATACACGTTGTGTGTCTTGGGAACAGCGGTGACCAATCACCAATGCAAAAAAATATGGTTTCTTCAACGTCCGCAAAAGGCGAACACTTTACGAATGAAATCACAACTAACATCAAAACAGCTCGAATTTATGGGGTCGCAAAAGTGGACCCCGAAATTCGTTTTCGCATGTATAATACAGGAATAACACAAAAACGCCCAGTTTTTAAAGGATAGTTGTGTGGATGTTTATATCCTACTTTTAAATGTTCTTTCTGATTAACATCATCTCGTTCAAAGCGCGTTTTGTAGCCCAATTGGGCTGTTCCAGGACCCAGTGTCCCTTTAATGCTATCATGGAAATGTCTTAATTTTGGTTGCTGCAGTTCAACAATCGGATAGTTGCCCAGGTTGCATGTGATATGCTGTTGCTTCTCGCTGACCACGCCGACATGCTGAGGAGCCACAACAATGAAGCACCCAAAAAGATCATTGAAGTGAGTACTAGATAAATAAAAACATTCACAAATTTATACAAATCATGTACCCTCTCAAAAAGTTGGATTGAAATGTCAGACTTCACAAACTTCTATTGTGTTTTCATTGAAAACCAGGTCTCTTTTGTGTGTGTTTTCCTATTCATAATAATTTTCAAAGATTAAATCCATTAATCTTTAACATGACGTCACCTGACCCATGATGACGTCATCGTGACGTCACCTCAATTTTCATCTATAACACATACTGGTCTAGGTACATACCAACTTGCAACCCAATCGGACCTGTAGTTCTGTAGATATAGGCCTTTAAAATATGCACTTTTAATGTGACGTCACGTGACTCGTGATGACGTCATGATGACGTCAATGTTCAGCACACATCTGTGGGTGGTGGTCTAAGAGTGTGCCAGGTATAAAGGCAATCGGATTGATTTTAGTGCCCAAAGTGCTGGGGGGAAAAAATGACTGAAAAAGAAAAGAAATGTTTTGCCAAAACAGCCAAAAAAAAAAAATCTTAACAAAAACAACCAATAACAGCCCAAAAAATTATTTCAAATCCAGTCATTTGGATAAGGATGAAATGATTTGGTAACTGCAACTAGCCTGATTTGTTTGAGGCCAAGATCAGTAAAACAGTTTGATACTTCTTTGCATTCAATTTTTTTTTTTTATTCAAAGTATGCATTTAAAGGGAATATACAACATTTGCAAACATCGAAAAATAAAACTACCAAGTTTTTACGAAATACCTTACTAGTATGTTGGTAAATGACAGTCAAAAGCATCTTGTAAAGTTATGGCACCTGGTGTGAAGTCATTTTCAAGAAAATGGTATTTTTGTAAACATTTCCAACGGTGGTCGGCCGACCAGCGTTGGAAAAACCTAACTATTTTTCAACTACTGCTCCAAATTTACAATTTTTTCAGTACAAATTTTGTTTGCTATTGGTTACATGTTCATGAACGGGTGCAGGCCAGCTAGACTGGTTCCCTTGCCTTACAATTTTCCATCATCTATAAATTGATCCATTTTATCTTTTGTGGAGTCAAGGAACCAGACTACTTGAACATTTTTGTTTTTCTTGGTTTTTCCAACCTTTTCGAACACAAAACTTCAAAAATGTCAGTGTAACAATATTTGATCTATTATACTAACCTCTCAAATAGTTCATTTCTGAAAATTACAGCAAAAGCCAATGATGTACATTCCCTTTAACTATTGTATTTTCAAATATGTATCAAAGCACAAATTTGTGTGTGTGTGTCATATAACAGGTTTTTCTTGCACATCTGTCTGTGCAGTTGTGTGAATTTAATATTCCGTCTTGCCCTGTTTTCAGGTGATAGCAATGACCATAACCAGTTTACTGTCCAACGCCGAGTTTGCCGAGAATGAAGACAACAAGAAGGTGGGTTAAAGGCATATAGACCATTATCATGTTGCGGCCATCTTGATTTTTCAAATTCAAATCAACGTAACCAAAGCGAGGCTGGAAGGAAAAATAGTCTGGTTCCTTTTTTGCACAAAAACCATTATCATTCAGTACTGTTATTGGATACAGGGAACATGACTGAAATGGTGGCAGTATGATAAAGGTCTATAGGATCATTTGCTTTACATGCCCTTTGTTTGTTTCCAATAATAGCACCACTCAGAATCCAAACAAGAATGTTCAGAACCTTAAACCTGTTGAAGTTTCGGCTCAGTTTGTTTATTGTTCGTCCTCTGTTACTTGTGATCAGACTTGGGAATCGACTCACTAAATTTACTTGTGACAAGACTTTTGATGAACTTTTGTGTGATAAGGGAATGACACGCAAGTGTCTTTCAGAAATATGTTTTTTGACATTTTGATCTGTGAGGGCATTGCACTTTGATCAAAAATGGCAACAAACGTAAAAAAAACTGTTGAGTTGATTCACCATAATCACTGTGTGGATCCACAGTTGTTAAACTAATGCCATGTACAGGGTGAGTGACCGAATTAGAAATTATATTTCAAAACATATGTGGCTCACTCAATTTCATAAAAATAACATAGGTATAAAGTACATGTTATTGACTAGTAACTGTGAACATTTCACATAATTTGCATATTCTATTCCCAAGTTATGTCTATTGTAATAAAAAGGTCACAAAATGTAGCTGTCCACCACTGATCATTTACTATTCCATGAACTGATGAATACTCATTTCAATCAATGAAACATGGACGTTTTTCAACTTTCATGAATGAACGAAAAGTTGCAAAGGAAAACAAATAGCAGTCGCCATCAATATTTGAAGGGGAAAAAAATTAACTTGTTCCTCATATTCAAAACATAAAATCTGACTGTAAAAATAATCTTTCTGTCTTGACTCAAATGATTAAAATCTCATTTGCATTTGAATGCCTGTGTGTAATCTGTAATTCTCACTCAGCTCAATAGCTTCCAATGACATTCTATGGAGGTCATAAAAATGGTTCCAATAGTAAAACATGCATAACTTCTGATAGCATGGATCAATTTCAGTAATTAATTTTTTTTGAGATGAGTAGAAGAACATGCTCTTTTTAAACATATTTCATTCGTGTATCAATTTTGATTGCTTTATAAGAAAAAACAAATCATTGATCCAGGTCACGTTTTTTAACTCACCATGTATGGATGGTTTGGTTTGGTTTGGTTTTGGTCATGCAGCTGGTGGTCTCCATGTTGTTCTGCCTTCTGGAGTGGTGCATGGCAGTGCCCCTGACTGCCCTCCTGGAGGTCAGTGAAGGAAGAACCAAGAAAGATGCCAAGATTCTACTGGAAACAGTCTTTAAGGTCAGTTCTGAGTACACAGCCAACGTGAAAAATGAAAAACAACTCAAGTGATGTGCTATTCAAGTAATATTGGACAAAGGCACTCCTTTATCATGGTTCAACTCTTGTGACTTGTTACTTGACTTAACTGTTTTATTTTTGACTTGTAATTGGCTTCATTGATTGACTCAATTGACCTATCGCCGTTTGCGAGTTAGCCATGCCCCTTAGACAACCCTATAAAGTTGTTGTACACTAAGTTTTGTTTGTCTCAGATTTTGCGCGTTCTGCGTTCATTTGTATATCATGTAATTGGACAATATTTCACAAGCTGCGTTGACACGATCCTTACGCGATTGGTCAATTACAGCTGTGGTTGTTTCCTTCTTAAGGTCTGTCCTTATAAATCATGAAAGTGATCTCATTATATTTAGATCAGATTAGATTTAGATTAGTGTAAAGACTAATTTCTTATCGCACGATTGTGGCCTTCAATTCAAATTACATGTAAGTGTGCGATACAAGGAATAAGAACTTCAGTCAATGGAAAAATATAAAAGTTTCACAGAAACAATTTCAAACTAACATGATAATTATGTAATAAACAAGTACATGTAAATTAAAAAAAGTAAATATGTGAAAACAGTCAACAGAAAGTGTCGATAACAAGATGAATGTAATAAGATACGTAATAATTGAAAACATCAATCAGAAAAGTGACAGGGCTCTTTTTGGAATCTATCCTAGGTGGGAGTTGGGATGGTTTGTTGCTCAGAGCCTAATATTCACTTGATGGATAAAGGTGCCCAGCAGTAGAGCATGTAAATCTCGCCAGTCCACGTTCACATTTTTCTGTGAACCTCTTGGCACCAATCACCGACTAGTCTACCGGTAGTCTCAGATCCCGTGTATGAGTTTACCAAATTGTTATCTACGTGATCAGTTGAACGGTCACCATTTTGAATTTTATTGTAGTCATCAATTCGCAGTATTTTCAATATTTTGTAAATGGAAATGTGTTTTTTTTCTTTCAAAGTACCCATTTGTTGCCCTTGATTGGATGGGCCCAGTCAGGACACAGTGTAGATCCTCTGGGCTCCGTGCACAAGTACTCCTTCAACGGCCAGAAAAAGAGAGTTGGGGGAGACCTAGACTGGTTCCCGGTCCATCCACTGCGTTTTTCGAATGATCCAAAGTTATGGGGGCGGGAATTAGTCTGGGAGACCATCGCATGTTAAATTCGCACGTATTCGCGCGCTGACGATGCCTGACGCTCATGCAAAGACGCTGTGGCTAATAGATTTGGCACATTCAGGAAGTCGTGCGTTCTTTGTGTGCAAACCAGTACAACACAGTACGCACACGCTGTGTGTCCTGTCCGCGGGGCTCTCAAAGTGGTAAAAACGCGCCCCCTTTTGTTGTCGCACGGAGCCCATACATAGTGCCTGCATGTGTTGTATTCTCGTAAAGTTTGGCAGTGTTTTGAAGTCAACTTGCACGCTCTATTTTTTTTGTGGAAACCAGGTTCTTCAAAATGCCTCGGAGGGTGTCTCAACTAACCAGAGGACCAGCGTCAATTTCTCGGAGCTGGCCTCGTCTGACTACGACCCCCACATCAATCTGGACACAGTGAGAGACGGACAGTCATTTGGAGGCAAGAGCCCCTCCCAGTCCGAGCAACTGGACCAGGTCTTTGAGGACGGTGAGTAGTCTACGAATACCTCATGGTCGGAGGGGAAGTAGTGTATGTTACTGGTCTTAAAAGTAATATGCAACATTTGCTTTTACTGTAATTTTCAGAGATGGATGGATTTGGAGGTCAGTATTTTATAGCAAATATTGTTACACTGACCTGTTCAAAGTTTTGTGTTCATAGATACTGGAAAACTCAAGAAAAAAATGTAGTCTGGTTCCCTGACCCTATTTCAGATTAAACGGAGCAGTTTATAGACGCTGGAGAATTGTCAAGTTAGGGAACCAGACGAGCTGTCTTGTACCCATTCAAGAATGTGTATTAAAACCGATTGCAAACAAAATTTGGACAACTAAATTTGGTAAATTGGGGTTAGTATTTGGAACGTGCCATTTTTTTTACAGCGATGGTGGGCCCAACAATTTTGGAAATCCATACAAAAATTTCACTTTTCTTGAAAATGACAGCACACCAGGTAACAGGATTTCACAGGATGCTTGAGACTTTTACTCATTTATAGTCAAGTAGGGTATTTCATCACAATTTGGTAGTTTTTTTTTTATGTTTGCAAATGTTGTGTATTACCTTTTCGGTTGGCTGATTCGACCAGCTCCTAACTCGAAGCAGAGGGAGGTATTTGAGCGCGTATTTGCAAAAAAAGAATATTCAAATTTCATGTATGACTGTGTCTGCTACGTGTCCAAACACTCACATTTTCTACTCATTAAGTCAACATTGTGTTGACGCTAAAGCTGGATTCCAATGCAGAATACTTTGGGACTCATAAAAGAACCTGACCACAACACTTCTTTGCATGGTTGAGTTGAGAGGCTCCAATGGATTCATACATAGTAACAACAAGCTGGTTTACCAGATCATGATCAGTAACAGTACTGCTTAGCTTTCCTTCCAGTGTGACGGTTTGGTGCAACAAGCACAAAAGCACACTGAAAGTTTTGACGGTGATAATTTGTGACATAGCAGACCCAAAAGCATTTAAAATCGCAAGGGTCTACTGATCAAGATCTTCATAAAATCCAATTTGCCTCAGGGGAATATTTGGCTTTTCTGCAAGTTGTGGAAAAACCTTTGTTTTTGTTCTGATTTTTTTGGTGTTTTTTTTTTGTTTTTTTCTTCTATCCCAAAACCCCGCAGACTTTGTACATGTTTTTTCTAGACAGCACTTTTGTTACTTCTAAAGCTTATATCTTAACCAAACTTGGCATGACTACATGCAGACAAAAAAAGAGCACAAACTAAAAAAAAAACCATCAAAATGCAGAAAAGCCCTATATTCTGTTCTTAACAAACAAAGACGTCTAGTTTTGATTGTGAACTGTGCAGTGCATGTCCCTCGTTTGAGATTCTATACACTATTGAAGAATATCATCATCCATCTCTGAATATAAATTCACTCTTAATTCTTGACTGATTTTTTTTTGCCATTGCAGCTGAAATGCATGCTGTTCAGTTCAGTGTGCCCTCATCCAAAGTTGTCAGGCTGGCTGCAAAGACGGTAAGTGTATAACTCCTTGAAGAAAACCTGAGAGAAACAACTAAGTTCACAGTGTTTTTAACCCTCTGAGCTTCTACTTTCGATGCTGATACCATTCTACTTTAGTTCATTGCTCTAAAATCTGCACCTTATGAACAAAATTGCATTTTTTTTTCAATGAACTGAGCATTCCTTGATTTGAAGCATTTTTTTTTATAGATTTTCTTCCCAATATTCATTAAAAGAACAAAATGACACCTTTTGTCTTTTATTTCATTCTTTGCAATCTTTCAATTCAGCCAAAAATACAGTTTTTTTGTCTTCAACCATTCCAAAAAATCTTAAATTTGCCCTCTCATGCTTTTCAACAAATTCAATTTTTCTCTCCTGACAAGATTTCAGTCTTTGTGATTCATTTAAATGAAAAAAACAAAATACTCTCTTTTCATTTAGGGTGAGTGCATCCCTCTAAAGAAATTATTTTACTTTGGATTGCTTTCGCACCTCTTACACACAAAAAGATCAGCCTTAGTTATTATCAGGATGCACATAATTTGAAATTTGTATAAAAGTAAGTATTCCCATTACTTAAACTGTCAGAATATTTTCTTAGATACGTTATTCAAAAGTGAATCACTTGTGTTTTACCAGAACAAAATAAATGGCAATTTAAAAAAAAAAACTTAAATCTACTTTTTTGGTGAAAGTCAAAGTGTAGAGAGAGCAACCTTAATACTGTTTTCTGAAAAAAATGTGGAATTGTGTTCCAAACAAAAGATCAAAGAAGTATTTTCTATTTGTTCCTAGTTACTCATTCCTCATTATTTATAGTTTTTCTGAACCTGATAGTTGTTCTGCTCCCGTCTTTTCACGTAGGTCATGTGTCATCTGGTCAACCATCTGAACCACTTCCCTCTTGGGGGCGGTCCCGCCCTAGTCACCTCCCTCGTCAATGAACTCGATGACCTATCATTCAACGGTGACCCCGACGCAACCTCATCGGCGCTCTTCAGCTCGCCCAATGTGCAGTTCTTCATCTTCAATGACTCGTCCCTTATATCATTTGTGCAGCTGTCTGACAAGGTATGCACCTAAATCCGCTTCAAGTCCTTTTTTTCGAACACCATCACTTGTAAAAGCATGCACTTGTGTTGCAGTCGAGTTTCAACACAAGTCTATTACAAGTCTAGCCACAAGTCTATGGGTTCCATACGCAAACAAGAGAGGGCGCTTTTTTACCACTTTCGGGAGCCCGTGGACGGGGCACACCGCGTGGGCGTACTGGTTGGCGCGCGTATAGCGCGAAGTATGCATGACATATTTTATTCCGAATGTGCACAAACCAATAGCGTCTTTGTGTGAGCGTTAGTCGCCATAAGCAATGTGTTCAGTGGTCTCCCCCAACTCTCCCTTTCTTACCGTTGAGGGGGTACTTGTGCACTGAGCCCATAACAAGTCTAGTCACAAGTAAATCGCAAGTCTTTTCACAAATACAGTCACAAGTAACGACCACAATCGGGTGCAGAGGGTAGTTAGTGAATTTATTATAAAAAAAATGAATTCTTCCAAAATATACCTGCAGAAAAATGGGATTAAATGGGATTTTTCTTAAGGGGTTTAAAATGTACTGTAAATCAAAATTAACCCTCATTTGTCAAAATTAACCCTCATTTGTCAAGTCTTAAATTTCCTCTCTCATGAAGCGAAGTTGTTGCACAAGTTTGGTTTATTTGCTATGATTTTCTTTCTTTTCCAGGAACCCAGTCCTGACTTGAGCGGTAGCCTGACCACGGCTGATTCCCACGCCCGCATTGTTGTCCGTAACGTCGGAGGCAAGTTTGTCTGGGACACCAGCATACTGTATGGGCCGGGAGAGAGCAGAGTACACACACTCCCAGGTCAGTTATTATGGAGAGAAATCGTAGTAATCCCAAAAACCTGACCAAAGCCAGAGTTTGTAGTCAGTTCCTCACACATTCTGTAACCGGTTAATTCACAAGCACTCCAGGCTATGCATTGAACTGTAACAGTTCAGTTAGAAAGGTTCCTAACTTTGTCTCTGCTCGTCAGTCTGCTACTTGGGACATTCCTTTTGATGGATTTGTGATTTGGCTTGTGATGGACTTGTGATTTGGCTTGTGATGGACTTGTGATTTGGCTTGTGATTTGACTTGTGATGGATTTGTGATTTGGCTTGTGATGGACTTGTGATTTGGCTTGTGATGGATTTGTGATTTGTCTTGTGATGGACTTGTGATTTGGCTCGTGATTTGGCTTGTGATTTGGCTCGTGATTTGGCTTGTGATGGACTTGTGATTTGGCTTGTGATGGATTTGTGATTTGGCTTGTGATGGACTTGTGATTTGGCTTGTGATTTGACTTGTGATGGACTTGTGATTTGGCTTGTGATTTGACTTGTGATGGATTTGTGATTTGGCTTGTGATGGACTTGTGATTTGGCTTGTGATGGATTTGTGATTTGTCTTGTGATGGACTTGTGATTTGGCTCGTGATTTGGCTTGTGATTTGGCTTGTGATTTGACTTGTGATGGATTTGTGATTTGGCTTGTGATGGACTTGTGATTTGGCTTGTGATGGATTTGTGATTTGTCTTGTGATGGACTTGTGATTTGGCTCGTGATTTGGCTTGTGATTTGGCTCGTGATTTGGCTTGTGATGGACTTGTGATTTGGCTTGTGATGGATTTGTGATTTGGCTTGTGATGGACTTGTGATTTGGCTTGTGATTTGACTTGTGATGGACTTGTGATTTGGCTTGTGATGGACTTGTGACTTGGCTTGTGACAGACTTGTGATTTGGCTTGTGATGGACTTGTAATTTGGCTTGTGATTTGGCTTGTGATGGACTTGTGATTGGATTTTGATGGACTTGTGATTTAATTTGTGACGAACTTGTGATATCTGTGGCATTCTGGCAAAGTGAGACAGAACTGGGCACAGGCCGTAGTGGAGAAAAATGCCCCCAAAGAAAATGAATGGGGTAATTTTTCTTCGATTTTTGGATTTATTGACATTTGTAATCTTTGATATGTCTACTACGCACATTTAAAAAAAAGATAGAACAAAAAATGTGGAACATAAGTGTTTTTTAAAAAAACAGTTGCCATCTATCATTCTCACGAATAAAAAACTCAAAACTTTAAAGGTCTTTTTCTCAGTATTTTACTTTTTTGACTTGCCAATAAATGTGAGCTTAAAACAGCCATAACTTGTCAACTGAATGTCCAATTGAAGTGCAATTTTATTCTCTTTCCTAATACCCACAAACCCTCATTTTGTCCTGTGCCCAGTTCTGTCTCATTTTGCCAGACCGCCTCACTTATGACTTGTGATTTGACTGGGGATGCACTCAAATAAAAAGCTGACGAAAATCCAGTCATTCGTGGAGTGCTGTGGCCTCGTGGTCTGGAGCATTGAATTTGTGGTCTGCGGGTAATTCTGCAGGTTGTGGGTTCGAGTCCAGCCTGCGGCTTTTGTGCATGTGCCCTCAGGCAAGGCACTTTGTCACTCATTGCTTCTCTCCACCCAGGATTAAATGGGTACAGAGATGGTTATTGTGGTTGATTGTAGCTGCTTTGCTGCCAAAATGGCAGCATCGAGCTGTATACTCCCCAGGGAGCTGAGATGGTATTTGGAATGTTTCATTGGCGCAATGAGCAGGGGTAATAATAAGCGCCTTGTACCCTTTGGCAATTTGGCGCTCTATAAATCCAGTTATTATTATTATTCAATATTCTGGGTTGTTTTTTTAATTTTTATTTGCAAAAAATATTTTGCAGAATACAATATTTCTATTCCCCCTGGATGGGTTGCCAGTCCATCGCAGGTTACTCCCCTGTTAATGCCGATACCCATTTATACTCCTGGGTGGAGAGAGGCAAGTAGAGGTGAAGTGGCTTACCCAAGGACACAACATTTAACCAGCAGCTGGATTCGAACCCCTGACCCTCTGATCATGAGTCACAAACCCTATAAAGTGCTTACAGTAAGGTTAAATTCTGGTGTTTTTCTGTTTTTTCGTTCTGCGTGAATAGAACCTCAACGCAGACCTAGCCTGAACAGTAGCGTATTTCAGTATGCCTCCTCCCCAAAGAGCAAGGCTCCCGTCTACAGAATACTCAATAAGTCTGTCACCAGGCTACCATCCTGGATCGATGTGGATGACTCCTTGGATATCTTGGATGAGGTATGTCTTTGTAATTCGAATATCGAGATCCGTTAGGCGAAATGTACAATATGCCAGTTCGGTGTTCCAAAATAGTCTGGTGCACAGCAAGATTCAACCATTATTTTTTTCGGGATTACCGCGGTAGATAAATGCACACAAGGCTATGGGGGACGTGGTAACCAAATCTGCATTCTGTGCAAATTTTTGTGCAGTGGAAAAGAGATGGAACTTTTGTTCGCACAAAAGTTTTGACACATAAGACACCTAAAAACACTTCACTGTTTTTTTGCAAAATGTTATCATAACACGATGATCCCTTCAATTTTTCTGGTACCTCGCTATGGTTTTGCACGCATACGATTAAAATTTTATCCTGAAAGAAAAATCGGCAAATCTTGATGTGCACAGTATGCGCAGTTGGAATACCGAACTAAAACACCCAGTAGCTCATGGGAGAGGCTTCTCGTACTGTAACATCTTACCCATAGATTCAGCAGAGTACTCAACCAAGTACATATTTCCATCTATTCCATGGTATAAGAACCCATTGATAGCTTGTTGTCTCTCTGATCTCACTCTGTTATTAGCTCCAGCAGTTCATAGGTTTCACCAGCCCCGAGTGCCTGCTGAAGCCTGGCGTGCCTCTCAATCTAGTCTCCCCGGCTCCCGAGGAGATCCCTCAGGAGCTGGAGAACAGCGCCATCGCCTCCTTGAAGAAACAGAACAGCAGTGAGGAGACTTATGTCAATCAGCATGGAGAGGAGTACAGGTACTAGACGTTTAGCGCTAGACAGTTCTTAGGCTGCATTCTGAATATTCGTGGTCTGGAGCATTGAACTCATGGTCTGTAGGTAATTCTGCAGGTTGTGGGTTCGAGTCCAGCCTGGGGTTGTGGTGCGTGTGCCCTTGGGCAAGACACTTTGTCACTCATTGCTTCTCCCCGCCCAGGAGTAAATGGGTACCTGTGAGGGCAGAGATGGTTATTGTGGTTGATTGTATCTGCTTTGCGCCGAAATGGCTACATCGAGCTGTATACTCCCCAGGGAGCTGAGATTGTCTTTGGAATGTTTCATTGGCCTGATGATCAGGGGTAATAATAATGTAAAGCACCTTGATCTTTATTTAAAAGCTTTATGTACATGTAAGTATCCATTATTGTTATTAATATTACTTGGCTTGCATCTACACAAAGATGTTATATTCATGTTTTACGAATGTAGATCCACACGTGAGTATGCATCACTTTTCGTTCATTGGACAGATAGTGAAGAGCGGCAATTAACTTAGATCAGGTCACAAATGGGCTCAATTTCTTGGAGCTGCTGAGCAGAATTTATAACTCGCCACATTTATGTGTTAAGCACAAATCGGTCGGGAACCGGTCACGGCCAATATGACTTTGCTAGGAATTATAGATGGTAACCGGCTTTTTATCCCCCTGGCTTTCAAGCCAGAGGGGGGGGGGGGAATATTGGGATGGCGTATTCCTTCTGTGTGTGTGTGTGTGTGTTCCAGTTGACTGTAAGCTCAGTCATCAATCTCAACCAGAAGGCCAATGTCAAAAAAATCCTTTCCAATATGGATATTTACGAGGTCTCTGGAGAGCTCAGCTCAGTATTACTAATGACTCTAACATGTGGGCCTTTCCTCACTAAAGGGGTACAAAAGTGTGACATGGGATTGGGAACTGAAGCAGGATAAAACTCACAGTGCTACTTGCATCAATATCTCAGTTTGTTCTTATTTTGCTGTATCATTTGCTGTGTTTCAAACAACCCATTGCTCTTTTCCCCCAAAAGGCCATAGATTTTCTGAGGCCTATCTGCAGAACTAAAGGTCCAATTCAGTTCTAGCTTGCTGAATACAAACTGCCAGCATGCCAGGGGGGTCGTGCAAGTTGTACTTGCAGTATTATTATTTTGCTAAACAAACATTTTCTCTGTTTAGCAAAATTTCTGTGATAAGCAACTCCACAAAACAAGCCCCAGGTGGACCGTTGCATAGTGCTTGCCCGTGATCACTGACGTTTTCTTTTGTGATTCCTTCCGTTTAAGTATGGTGACAGAGCCACTGATCCAGACTCCACACCAAGAGCCTACCTCACCGTTCCATATGTGTCGTCAGTTACTAGACCAGCTGGGAGTCATGACGTGGGATAAGAGGTACGGTTGTCATCTTGAGCAGTCCTGGAGTTGTCCTCGGAAAATTATCGACACCTATCCTGCTACATTCTGATTGAGCTGTAAACATAGGAATTTTCTAGATGATTTTTTTTTTCATACCAATATTGGCAGGTGGAATGCTGCATCATCGTTACCCCATGTTCATGCTCGGCGCCCTGCAGCCGATTTCATGAAACAGTGCGTACGTTACGCCATGCATATAGGACTTAAGTTAGCTGCGCAGCTGCGCAATGAACTTACAATCAATTCCACGAAACTTGGTGGTAGCTGCGCAACTTTCTAGATCATTGAAACCTTTTGGACAAGGAATATAACTGCTTCTCTCCGGTTCGTTAGTGTGACGTCATCTCAACTTAACCATGCGTACTTCACACGATGAAGTATTGCGAGAGTGGAACCAGAAATTAACGCAACGTGAGTGTTTAGCCAATGGGCGCTAGTAATTAGTGGTGCGCGCGTGTGTGACGTTTTTACTAACGACCCGGATAGCGGCTGTTTGTGCATAGTTAGTGTTTGGCCACAAAAACAGTCATTGAATCACCTCTGCCAGAAAATGCCGTCGTGATCGCTTTTGGAAATATATTCCTTATTTGTCAGGATATTTGTCTAACTAGGGAGAATTCATAAACTCACAAAACATCACAACCTAAATACATTGGTGTTTAGCATGATTCTCAGTATCCAGTCTTGACTTTTCCTTAATCTCTTTTGCAGGTCTCAAGTTAACGTGGTAAAAAAGAATGATCGTTTGTTGAGAGAACTCAAGAATCTGGATTCAAGGCAGTGGTAAGATACGCAATGACATCTTGCTTTTATTATCTCGTAACACAGAAAAAAATATGACAATTAGTTTTTTTGATGACTGAATTAGAAAAGTGATGTCCTCATTTAGCGATGGTATTATTTCCTTACAAAATTTACAAAGTTTTTCCCCCTGAGAAAAGATCTTGTTAGGATTGAAACACCCGGCCGTCTTACTGTTATGATTTTCAAATCATAATGCACAGATCTCATTCCAATGCAATTTATTTATCTATTTTTTATGGATTGATTGAATTGATGAGGAAAGAGATATTTTGTTTCTGAATTGTTGCAGTCGAGAGACACACAAGATAGCTGTTCTTTACGTTGCGGAAGGCCAGGAAGATAAGATGTCGGTGTTAGGCAATGATCAAGGAAGCCAAGCATTTGAAAACTTCATCGCTGGACTAGCATGGGAGGTAAGCCAGTAGGTTTGGTACATAACACTCCAACAACAACATGGGATCTCTGAACAAAAACCTCCTCAATGGTTGTAAAATGAGTGTTGGGGCGACCACTGGGAGACATTTGAAGGCATTGCTGACGACGCCTGACGTTTACGCAAAGACACTATTGTTTAGTGCTCATTCAGAATAAAATCAGTTGGCGTACTACCGTGTAGTAGCCTCAATCCTCCAAAATCCTCCGTTTTTTCTTGAATGTGGTCCTTGAAGGGGTGACCTTTGCCTGAATCCTGCAAAATCCTCCAGCAATCAATGTCAATATGTTGAGGCAGAGCCAGTGACATCCTGGAGCAGTGCGGAGATTTCAAGTATAATCTAGGCCTAAATTTATGCACGGCTGAGCATAAACAACACAAGGTCCGGCCCAAGACCTTGACACAGTGCATCCTCTGAAGACAGCCACACACTTTTGCCGTAACCTTAATCCTGCAAAATCCTCCATTTTGCAAAAAGAGGATTTGGGAAGGTTAGGGTTTAACAAGATTGAGTTCTGTAATGTACAAAAAGGAATACAAATTCTGAAGGCAATTTTCACTACCAAGTTCATACAATTTTCATAGATTTTGTAGGCACATTAATGTGTCCATCACGCTTCACTATCATTCCCGTTATCAAAAATCGGCTCCATTTTGCTCTGATTACGTTTGTCGCAGGTTGACCTTTCAACTCACCAAGGCTTCCTAGGGGGTCTACAGCGCAATAAGAGCACCGGGGAGACGGCGCCGTACTACGCGACCTCCACTGTGGAGGTCATCTTTCATGTCTCCACCAGAATGCCGTCTGAAAACAACCTCCTGCATAAGGTAAAGGAAGTGTTTGAACGTACTAATTACTTTGTTCTGATATGGGCTCCGTGCAGAAGTACCCCCTCAACGGTAAGACAGGGAGAGTGGGGGGAGACCACTGGGAGAAACTTTCGAACGCATTGCTGTCGATGCCTGATGCTCACGCAAAGACACTATGGCTTTGTGTACATTCAGAAAAAAGTTAGTCATTTGTACTTTGCGCTGTACACGCGCGGACCAGTAGGCACACTTTGGCCAAGTTCGGGCACGGACCATTATTCGACTAGTGGTTGATTTGTGACGTACCTTACGCCTGCGCACTGGTAGCAACGTGCGAACGTCTCTAGTCAAACCCTGGTCAAAGTGTCATTGCAAAACTTCGGGATCCTGGCTCTCTGCTAGCGTTACAAATGCGTGCGGCTATTGGTTACCAGTGATGCAAACAGCCCCAGTAGGTTGGTTCCAAATAGTCGACTAGCGTAGTCAACCACCGTCGACTAGACAGAGTTCGGGCAAGCGTTAGTCGAACTATGGTTAACCATTGGTCAACTATAGTCCTCGCGCGAACTTGGCCACAGTGTGTCCCATCCGAGGCTCTCCAAAGTGGACAAAAAGCACCCTCTCTGTTCGTACACGGAGCCCATATTCCTGAGATGATGTGCAAACAATTTCTCCTCTCACTTCCTCTGATTTATATTTTGATTGAGATTTGATTCAAGATCAAGTTACCAGCAAGTTTTTTTTTTTTCAACATTATAAAAAGAGACCATAATAAATGAATAAGTATGCAAATTATCTGTACACAGTTACCATAGCAAGGTGTACTATCCATGTATTGTATTTATGGGGAAATTCCTCAAATAAAGTCGCAGCGCGGTGACCCAAAGGTGAATTTTTCATAAATTTGGTATCAAAATGTGCGCAAGACTTGAAGCTAGAATGTCATGAAATCTCACTGAGAGAAATGCATGTTTGGCGAAAATACTGTTAAAAAGTGCAGGAGGGGTGCAGACTTTTGATGATTGGGTTACAATGCTTATTATAAAAAAATGTAAACAAAATTTATAAATATACATCTGAAATTGTTTTAACAATTTTGTTCTTTAATTGAAGATGCGTCACCTTGGCAACGACGAGGTTCACATCGTCTGGTCTGAGCATACCAGAGACTACAGACGGGGGATTATCGCTACCGAGTTTGGTGATGTCATCATCGTCATCTACCCCCTGGAGAATCAGCTCTTCAGGATACAGATCCAGAGAAAACCAGAGGTAGGAGGAGTTTTTGGCTCGGAATCCTCCGGAAATCTTCCCAAATCCTCCACCGCACAAAAACCCAACGTCAATTTTTGGTGCATTGAAAGCTTGAACATTTGCGAATAACCGGGAAACATTCATACCGATTTAATGAGAAAACCCTTGCTCAAAAAGAAGATAGGACTGGTAGAATATAGGACTGGGGTACAGTATCTCCTTTATTATTGCGCCTGAAATGGTATCATTTTGGAGTAACTTTGCTGCTTCAAATGAAAAATACACTAAAAAGCAATTTTTTCCCCATGTACCTCTAAAACAGTCCAGGGGCATCAAGCCAATAGCGTATTTAGGGGGGGGGGACAGAGTGGCAGATTGCAACGGGATGGAGATTATAAATGCAAAATCGGACGCTGATAGAAGTGAAATCGTGACGGTGAAAATTGGTAACGGGACGAAAGTTCTATTTTGCAACGCAATATATTTTAATGATTGCCCTTTTTGTCATGAGTGCCACTTTTCACTAGCGGCCTTTTTTTTCATGAGTGCCCTTGTTTACGTAGCATGAATGTTTGTCATTGTGTCGCCTTGAAGAGCGCCACCTATGGTCCGAAAGTCTCCTGTTTGAACAGCGCCCCCATAAGAAGGTGTCCAGCCCCCCAGCCCCCCCCCCTCCACCCCCCCAAAGCCCCCCCCCCCCCCCCCCTCTCCTTTTGATTTTACGGAGGCCGGGTGTCTGGTGAAATAAACCTGTGTACCGTTCAGCATGAATGCCGAGTGGCCTTGCCATACCCCATTGCAACAAGAAAGCAAGACTTTGGGTGCACGCATCCATCAAAATCCTCCACAAATCAAAAGTGAGCTCAATATTTGTGCTACAACTTAAGGCTATGAATTTTTTCACCCATTGACATTTGAGCAGTTTATTGTTGAGTTTTCTTTAAAATTGGATTTTTTTTTTTACAAATAATTGCATATAATGACACTAAAAAGTAAATTCATCAGAAGATATTTTTTCATTTCTTAATATATTGATGAGTCAATTTATTTCATTAGACAGGATTACCAGTGATTAACTTGACAGGACATGACAACTCTGTTTGTATAGGATTGAGTTTGAATAACGATTTACCAGAGTGAACAAAAATGGCCGTCCAGTTTGGTAACAGACCCTGAAAATAATGCTTGAATACACAGTTTACTGTATTTCATGTCCAGCGCCCTCTATTGGCCAGTTTAGGTCCAATTTCTTTTCTTTTCCACCAAAACTTCTGATAAACAAGGCTAATGGCTGATCACCAAACATTCCAGTTTTTTCCTGATTTCTTGCCTTTTTTGTGTCGAGAGAGGCATCAATTTTAATTTTACAAATGAGGTGTGTTTTTTATGAGAGTCACTCATCACAAGGCCCTGCTTAAGGGACACTCTGCCCATATTTTTGCCAATACATGTTCCATTTTTCAGACACTTGTGAAATAAACTCAAAGTCTTCTCTCTTTGACAGTTTCAAGCGTTCCATTTCAGTGTTTTGAAAGGACCATCGTACCTGTAAATTGGTTCTATAACACATAATCAGATCATAAGACTATAAAGACCTTGTTTGGTCATACTAGCTTTAGATTAAAATTGCAGTTATATGAAAAAAACACCCACTTGAATAAAACAAAATAACTTATTCTTCTAGTTACTCCTAGCTTTGTCACAAATCATATACCCCAAATGAAGAACTAGTGTCCATATTTTTGCCCGTACAGGTTCCGTTTTTCGGACCCCTGTTTGACGGTGCAATCGTAGACCACAAAGTCTTGCCAGGTCTTGTGAGGGCGACGGCCATCAACGCAAGCCGCATCAAGAGATCTCAACTGCCTCTCTATCAACGATAGTATCCTTTTTTTTTTCATACAAAAACCAAAACCAACAACTGTATTTGGTGAGTCCTGCAGATCGAGGTAAGTCATTCAAGATTTTTTTTTTAACATTTATAACATTATTTTATTTTGTATGTGGCAAAAACATTCATTTATAATCTTTTCCATCCAGCATGTACATGCTTTACCAAAGTACATGTATTACACCACTTCTGTCTTATTTGTTCATTACAAAATTGGAAATATGTGTGCTTCATGCCATTCCTTTCAAATGCTTCTAGTTTGTCTGGGTTTCTTGGGGTGTTTGTTTGTTTGTTTGTTTGTTTGGGGGGGTTTTCAACTCAAAGAGTGATTTTGAAAACTTTAATTTAACCAACAGCATGCATGAATGTATGTACCGGTATTGTTGTTTCAAAGTGGGTATAACGGTAAAAGTTGAACACTGAAGTTTAGTTTTCAGATACTCTGCAAGTCTTTTTTTTTTTTTTTCTCATTATACAAATATTGAGTGGCTAAGAGTGAAATGGGAGGAATTTTATTGCAAGGTAAAATCTGGACTTTTATTATTTCACTGGACGAAGCCCAGAGAACTGGAAAAGTCCAGATTTTACCGAGCGATAATATTCCTCCCATTTCACAATTGAAAGCCACTCAATATTTGTTTTATATAACTGATATATAGATCCTTGTCATTTGATTTTCATTTAAAATGAACTTCTATTTCAATACAAAATTGGTGGGAAATGTATTTCTGTCTTCCAAATATGGAATATTACTCACAAATATGAAATAAGGATGATCCTAACTGTTGAATAATAAATCCCATTCACCATGGGCGAATGGGACTTTTTTAGCCCTGGCGTGAATGGGAGCAATAATGAATGTCACGTGATGTGAGTTCCACTTATCAAATGAAAAGGATCTGTACATGTATGTCAGTTATACAATAGACGATATTCGCAGCACAAAACATGGTGATGCGAAAACGCTATCTGTGGTTTCAGATTAATATGAAATAAATTTCCTTTATAGCCTTTAGGATAAGTCAACACACTAATAGGCCATGTTCATACAAGGCACTAGCAGACCTGTTTGCTGCCCTCGTGCATTCAATCGTGTCCACTGTAAGAGTAATCCCATGGTTTGTGAATGGTCTGTAAATTCAACAGTTTGGACCTGTGCCAACTCATATTGTGCTTATCAAAACATGCCAAAATAAATATACAATAGGAGCCATAATTATTTGGTTTTTATTTTATTATTATTTTTTTTTTATAAATTTTATTTGATGTAATCCGTTAGTCCCTGAACCACTCCAAACGTTCTCCCCTGTACTGCCTGAAACAGCTCCATCATCCCATGACTGTACGTTTGGGGGGTTGGGGAAATCACAGAAATGTTGTCATCAACAGCTTGTCTTCATTTTATTTCTTAAATCATATTCCCAGTTGGTTGCCGTTTGTTTTCTGATTGCAAGATTGGAAATGGATGATTATAATAGGTTTGTTGTACCATGGGAGTAGTAGTTTAAGTACACTGTAAAAACACCATCAATGTTGCAGCAGTTGATCCAACACTTAAAAAAACAGCGGATTTTGCTTGGTATTTGCTGTTGCAGGGTTCCCGCATCTTGGGAAAAAACCTGGAAAAGTCACGGAATTCTAATTTTTCTGTTTCCAGGCCTGGAAAAGTCCTGGAAATTTGTAAATATGACAAAAGTTTTGGAAAAGTCATGAAATTTTGTGAGGAACAATTTATTTCAAATTTTAAACTTTGAACAATCCTAATTTAGCATCAGAAATCTGATTTTTGTACCTGACAAAATGCAACACATTTTCGCTGATACAAGCATTTTGATTTTGGAAGACATTATTGCTTTGTTTTTCTTTTTCTGTTTTACAGTTTCGATCTGCATTTCTATGAACTAAGTCATGGATTTTATAATTCTATAATAATAATAATAATAATAATAATTACCCTGGATTGGACATTTGGGAGACATCCCCATAGACTTGTGCCCAAAATTGTTCAAACTTAAATGCGCCCTAACCCAATATTCCCTTGTCCTTTTTTTACGGATTTCGGTATGTTTACTTAAATTATACCACGAGCAACAAATATAACCTAATTGCGACAATAAAATTGTGCCTCTAAAGGGGGGCTTTGACATTAGGGAGACATGAAAGCACTTTACAATTATTACCCCTGTTCATCAGTTCATGAGACAAGTTTTTGCTACGCGTCAGACTGAGGTGAATGCTTACATACTGTGTTATGGAAATACTTGTTAACACAACCAAAGTTATCAAATCAGAGAACAAAATCATGGAAAAGTCATGCAGGAATTGGAAAGGTGCGGGAACTCTGCTGTTATATACTTTCTTTCTAAATGTGGTTGTTTTTGCTAAATTGTAAGGACTTGGTTATAAAAGAGTTGATGTGTGCGTTTAAATTGGCCCCAATGGGACTGAAGCATTAGACGTGGTCTCTTCTGTGTCTTCCATAATTTCTTAATGGGTGGTTTCGTTCTCTGATTTGACAACTCTGATTGTGTAAACATGTCCATATCACTGCATGTAAGCATTCACCTCAGTCTGACGGGTAGCGTATTTAAATATAACGGAAGTTATATCACTACATTTAGAGGGGAAAAACGGAATCAAAATTGATTCCAAATCTCATTTGCAGTCATATTAGCATTGCATTTAGGTTTGTGAGACTGTAAAATTCCATCAGCTTGATTTCCACGTACTTAAAGATGAATGGGCCAATCTCCCCCATTACTGCTTAAGAGGAGCACGTTGCAACACTCAGCGTTCCCCTTCTTTAAAAATATAAAAAATCATAGTCGTGAAGTGCTCGTCTATCATCACGTTCCATCACGGTGGACATTATTTCCCCGTCTTTCCGCCGCGCGCCACGTGCCATCTACACACATGCTCTTTTGGGTGTTTTTTTTTTTTTTGCTACTGTGTGTTCGTGCCATCTGGTCTTCAGTCATCCGACGAGGTTTAATAGGCTGAATCAGCCTCCGATTTTGGGCTCCGCGTTCCCCTAAGCTGCGGATGATTCACTTGCTGTGTTGACATTAAAAATCCAATCAACCAAATAAACCCCCAGAAAGAATAGACATAATTTCTAAAAAGGTCGTCGGATTCTGTGGTTGGAATTGTAATCATCTTTGCTATTTGGCCTTTTTTTTTTTTAATGAATATCATTTTGGAAAAGCAAAATAAATGCACTACCTTTTTTTTTCTCTGTCCTTAGTTTCTGCCCTATTAAAATTCATAAAAATTGGCTTGTTTATTTAAATATGATGACAAAAATTGCAAAAAGTAAATGGCAGTAAAAGAAGTTGTTGCTCCAGATTTTCAACATGAACCGCGCATCAGAATAACAGATGTTAATATTGTGTAATACATGTAGTTAAAAAAAACATCTATGTTTCTTGCTAATCTAAAGTTGTTTCTTGCAAAAAAATTCAAGGGGAAAAAAATACATTAGTTGTAAAACACTAAAACACTGATTTACATATAATATTTATTTTATTTTATTTATTTCTTATTTACCCTGGGGAAACCTCTCAGTGGTACACTGTTTTCCAGAGGTGCCCAGCAATATTGGACGTTTCACTGTGTATCAGTTACTTTGACAATTTCTTTGTTTGTGTTTCTCAACAATAGCATTTAGAGCATTTTTTTTCGTAGAAATTGAGCAAAAACGTATTATTTCACATAAAGTGGCATAATTTGAAAATGAGAAATTTTTATTTTGAGCAAATATTTCCACGAGATTTGCCACGAAACACATCAAATTAGTCTCTGAATTATCTCTGCATATTGAAAGTGAAATAATACACAAAGCCAAAGACTTAACATATGCTTCAATTAATGTTTCACAATTCATTAAAAACAATCTTAGCATTTTAAAATAATCTAATAATCAACTTTTCCGTCTCTAATCACCATCCCCTCCTCGCAAAAAAAAAAAGGAAAATGAATCACCTCTAAATTCTTAGTCTTAGTTTGAACAAGCTGTCTCGTGGAAAAAAAAATATATATTCATAGTATTTGGGGTTGTTGTGCGTATAGCCCGGACGCAGACACACGTGCGTGTTGCGGCGTTTGCGGTTGTTATTGTTCAGCGGAATGGAGGGGGGGGGGGGCTCGGCACGGCGATAGTGAAGCAATGAGAGGTTGGTGGTGTAGTGGCAGACATACAATGCCGGGGAAGCCGTTATGCCCACAGGCTAGGCCGGCTATGATTAGGCTACGCTGGACGGCTGAGCTCAGCTCCCCGTACCCAATGATTCAGACAGACAATACCACAAAGCCACCCCCCCCCTTCCAATACCAGAAAGGATTTTTCTTTACTCATTGACAAATTGAGTGTAGCCGGGCGTTTGTGAGTCAGCCTGTCCCGCTCTCCATCTTAAAGACACAAGATGCAGCCTCTTGGGTTCTCGTGTTGGTCTGGGTGTATTGTTCATATGGAAGAGGACTATGCAAGGGCTTGGTAAAATTCTGCTTCTGCAGGATGCAATGCGGTGTCTGATGGCTCACCTATTATCTGGGGTCATTGCTTCCATAAAGCACTAGACAAGTTGAAAAAATGTTTGGGATATGTGTTTAAAGAAAGTCTCATTCGTTGTTTAGTTTTTTTTTGTGATTTTAATAAATATTTTTGTTTTTATTTTTTGTTATTTTTTATTTACATGTTTTTGTGTATTTATTTTGTTGACATTTATATCCCCTGAATCGCTATCATATATTTAAATTATCCCAATTGAGCTTACAATGATAATAATAACAATTGTTTAACTCTGAAAATTAAAATTGAAGCTTTCCTTATTTTATATTCATAATACTATATTTGTGTGTATTTTGTATGAAATTTCTTTCCCTTGCATAATATTAAACTCGTCTTTTGCACTAATGTTACAAAAAAATCACTTTGTTGCACTATGATGCATAATCCTGCTCTTAGAGTACAAACGGTTAAATAATGCAGAACAA